TTGGAGATTTTCCATAAAGTTTATAAACGTGATGTCACCGTGTGATGGCGCAGAGGACGCAGCGCCAAGAGAAAAATGGCGGCTCGCGCATCAGCTGACTGGTGTCTAAAAACCACCCAACTTCTGCAGTTTGGGAGTTTTCTGCTGGTGCAAACAAAAGATGACCCGAAAGACACGCTCCGTCAGAACCGCGGCTGAAATAGCACCCGTCTGTCTGGAGGCCATATTAAAAGACAACAACGCGCTTTTCTGGTGAAAAATAAGCTGCCAGCCTTCCCCAGCCCTATTACACATGATAATGACGAGTCGATTCAACATTTAATCGATGCATCACGATGTAACACATGTCGTGAGAAGGCTCAAAAAGCTGTTGCAGAGTTGGTCAGACTGGATGACCACAGATTTGGAAATCACCCTCATGTGCACCATTTTTTTACACGATTATGCTCCCGACGAGGGATTTGGCTAAGACGGCTGCAAATCGCAGTGTGGGCCGGGCTTTAGGAATGCGGACTTCACTGAGCACATGAGCAGTCTGTGATGTCACGAGCGCATCTCCGAGCATGTGGGCGGAGCAAAAGAGTGGGGAGAAGTCAGTGGCATCTCCATTATTAAACAAAAGCGGCCTGAGCAGTCCGTGATCTCTTGACTCACTTGGAGCTTACACACTAGCGTCGGCACGGCTCCAAAAGGTATCAAACGGCACCGGAATTTGGTTTCACACACAGGTAAGATTTGCGTTTTCGGCTCAGAGGTGACACTTTTTTTTCAGACCTCTTCCCCAGCAGTCAGACTGGGACCGAGGCGACACTACGAACTGATTGGCCGGCTGAAATTACGCCTACTACCTCCAATCTGCGAGAAGAATGAGTCAGCAGAGGGATTTCCCGCATGCCCGACTCATTTTCATGCTGGATGCTGTGGAGTAAACTTCTGTCTGTAGCACGGAGCTGCTGCTCAGTGGGAACGGGAGAGAGCGAGAGCTGTCTGTCTGTCTGACTGTGTGTGTGTGTCACAAGATTATGAGGACACACAGCAAATTAATAAAATAATGTGGTTCAGTCTCCAGAAGCAACACAGCTCATGCCCGCCTTCCCTGTGTTTCAATAAAACTGACTGTGGTGCAGAGAACACGCCAGAGTTGATATGACGGAGGCCTGGAGAGGCTTCCGGCCTGTCTCTCTACGCCGTCTCCGACACAGCGTAAAACCTACTGACGTCTCTCCTGTGTGTGGTTCATTATGGGTTTAGTTTCAGGATCTAAGAAGTACCTAACAGCTGTAAATGAAATAAATAACTGTTTAAAAGTCTGCAGTGATGGGCTCAGCCTATCGCTGACTGATTTGTCCAATCACCAAACCTTAGTAAAATGGCTTTTATGGGCAGATTTGTCTGCTCTCTGAGATGTTTCATGTGTGAAGAAATGTGTGTATAAAAGATCTAGTTAAAGTGGACAAAGACGTGTACTCAAGACACCGCATGTACTCAAGACACCGCATGTACTCAAGACACCGCATGTACTCAAGACACCGCATGTACTCAAGACACCGCGTGTACTCGAGACGCGTGTACTCAAGACGCGTGTACTCAAGACGCGTGTACTCGAGACATGTGCTGTTTTAGAAAGGAAGGGAAGTAGCTAAAAGGTCAGATTGATATACGTTTGCAAGTGTTCTGTTACAATTATAATTCATACATCAGATGAGTGTAGTTCTGTATTAAGAACACATTGTATCATGTGATGATGTCACAATTCCAGTCACACCAGTGTCATAACCAGTCACTCACCCAGTGCCCCCTGAGCTGCTGCTGCTGGCACGTTCATGTTAGCGAGGATGCTCTGAAGGTCACTGAGCTGGATGGGCTGGTGTGGGGGGGGGCTTCCAACAGAGGCTGGAGTCACCTGTGTGGGAGCTGGAGCTGCAGATGGAAAAGTAATAATCACAAGGCTGTGTGTGTGTGTGTGTGTGTGTGTGTGTGTGTGTGTGTGTGTGTGTGTGTGTGTGCGTGCGTGCGTGCGTGTGAATTGAAAACCGGTTCTTGTTGAGAATCGGTTCCTATTGTTTCCATTCCTAGGAATTGTTCGCCACTTTTGCGATAACGTAGTTATTGACGTGTTTCGACCCGCTCCAGACTAGCGAATTTCAACGCAGCAGCAGCGGTGACGTTCACACGTCCTCTCCTGTTAACACTGACTATCATGTTGGCATCATTTACCATTTAACACACCTCCACACTAGCTCCAGCGACAAAGGCCTGACCTGTGGTGAGATTTTTCCCACTCTACAAAAGCTACAACAACACTGCACTAAACACGAAGATGGCTTGCCTTCAAAGAGAGAACGTTTGGGAAGATATTTCCAACCAGTGTAGGTACAATTGATTATTCATCATTAAGAAACTGAGTTAAATTGCAGGAGCCATGTGCAATTAGTTTTTGCCACTTGTTTAACTACTCTGGAATTGATAAGGAATTGGATCGATAGACAGAATTGACAATGCCATTGATATTGATAAAAACCACTATGTGTGTCTGAGCATGTGTGTGTATGCGTACACACATATGCGGGGTGTCTTTCTACACCAGAACAATTTAAATCAGAGGTCCCCAACCAGGTGCCCCCTGGCCTATTCTGAAAATAGCACATTTCACTGCTCAGCAAAGTCTAAAAGAATTTTTTCTGCAGCTATTTTTTTAATTGACACCTTATGGCCATTTCTCATTAGGCATACTCCTCTGAACCCGTGCACTCACATCCTTGTAAAACATTGTGTCGTAAACCATTATACTCCCTACATCAGAACAGTGCACTGGACAAAGCAGATGGAAGTGACCTTTTCATCAGGATGGTGGGGAGAAGGTAAAAATCCGTCCAGGGAAGAATCCTGGACTCTACTCAGATGTCCTTGGACTAAAACTACACCAGCCCTGGTTGCTGTGCCTGAGGCCTTGATGCTGAGAAATCCTGTTTGACCACATTCTCCAGGAAACAAAGAGGCCTGAGGATCTTTTCCTAGCTTGAGCTGACCCTTCCATCTACTTTAACTTGAATCCTGCTAGTAAAAGCATGACCTTCCTTCTACAACAGGTCAGACCTTTGCTAGCTTCAGCCTAGTCTTCCACTACCTACAGCCTAGCACTGGGCAATAAATCGACAATTTATTGTTATCAAAATTTCTGACTCTTATCGTGATAATTTTTCCCATATCAATACATCTGATAATAAAAGATGTGTGTAGGTTGGCAACGTTCATGTCCCTTTAAGAAGCTGTACCACCTTGAGTCACGTAAAAATGTGACTTTACGCAATACAGCCCCATCTAGTGGACAACTTTTGTTTGAGCATACCTGTAGTTATCGTCCATTTTATCGTTACTGAGGTGAAATCCTCAATATGTCGTGATCAAGGATGTGTATTTTTGAAATTCTGGCGATACGATACATATCACGATACAGGGGAGACGATACGATATATCACGATATATTGCGATACATTCAGTCAGACGTTACAAGCAATTTTTTTTTACTGAATTTATTGTAAGAACGTTCAATAAACAATCCAAACTGACACGTAACATGTTTAACATGAAGTATCTGACCCATGATGGAGGGATTTACATTTCAATGGTGGAAACAAAACCCGTTGCACACTGCTGCCAACTAGCGGGTGGCGACTGAATTGCACAAAACGAAAAGAAAATACTCAAATGTTTGCATGTAAATTCTTTCAAGAATTAAATACATGGCTGTTGAATATCAATGTAATAATCGCAGGAAAAAAATCACTATATATTGCCATATCGATATTTCCGATACACGGCTTTTGAATATGGATATAATATTGCTGGAAAAAATATCACGATATATTGCCATGTCGATATTTTCTCACATCCCTAGTCGTGATATTAATTTTAGGCCTGGACCTCAGCTGGCCTGCGGCTATCCTTCTACCATCTACAGCCTTTTGAAGGCATCATGGCCAGTGTTGTGGAGTACCGGAATACTAGTACCGCCGTTACATATTTAGAATACTAATTCTGAGTAACTGTATTCTGTAGGGATGCACCGATCAGGTTTTTTGCTGCCGATCACCGATACCGATATCAAAGAATGCTGATCACCGATACCGATCACGTGGATTGGCCAGAAATTTTCGACAACATTATAATGAGTGCTACAAACTACATAATCTGGGAATAAAGGAAATGTAACCTAATCTAAAATGGTCTGTATTAGGGTTGTCACGGTGTGAAAATTTAACCTCACGGTTATTGTGACCAAAATTAACACGGTTTTCGGTATTATCGCTGTATTTTTTTTAAACGTGCTACATTTTCACAGAATTAAATAAATATACCAGGAAAATATTGTCCCCAGTTTGTGTCTAAATTTTGCCTAAAATGTGTTATTTTGTAATTATGTTGTTTATTTTTTTACATTTTTTCCCTTTAGTCTTTAAAATACCAATATTTGCCCATAACTTCTTATTTTATGTCTGTTTGATGTCATCATTTAAAAATATTAGATCAGATGATACTCAGTACTCAAGTAGCCTTCTAATCAGATACTTTTTTACCCTTACTTGAGTAATAAACCCTATATCAGGAAAATATCGTCCTCGGTTTGTGTCCTTCCAGTGAGCTTTGCAGATGTGGGAAAATGTCATCAGGCAGTAATCGTTGTTAAATTCATAATTATTCTCGGAGAGAGACCAACTCTTATCGGCCCCTGGGAGCCCCGTAATGCATAGCGTCATTTCAACATGGGGGTGTCCGTGACACGGTTTATATGCAGGTAGCGGCGCTGCGGCTGCTTTATATAGCGACTCGTTGCATTCTCCCTCAACCCAAATCCTCGGATCACGCATTTTAGCTAAAGCGCTAACGTTAACTTGCCTTGCGTTGACTGTAGAGTTGTGGGTGATGGTCACGAAGATGTGTCATGAGATTTGAAGCGTTGCTGCCTTTCACAAACACTTTTTCTGCACGTGCTGCAAACAGGATAGCCGTCCGTCTTCTATAAACTCCCTCGGCATTCTTCACATATCTAAAAGATGCCCGTACTTCCGACTTTGTCTTCTTTGAGGGATAATAAATGTCCTCCTGAGCGCTGCCGTCTCCTCCTTTGACCATTATTTCAGCTTTAGCTTCAAGAAAGTTTTGTTGTAAACAAAGCGTGCATGTGCCGACGGCAACTTCAGCCGATGATACGGTGGCTGGTAAGGGTCACCGCGCCTACACCACTGCAGCCACGATAAACCCACCAAGATAATATAGTTTTTTTAAAAACAAGACGGTTATTATTGTCAACTTTTTTTTTTTTACCGGGGTTTACCGCTACACTGGTTACCGTGACAACCCTACCTGATCGGTTTGCTTTGATCTATTTTGAAAATTCCAATCAAAACCGATAGGGGCGCTATCGGCCGATTACGATCAAATGCCGATCCATCGGTGCATCCCTAGTATTCTGGTACAGTTACTATTTTTAAATGTGGTGCTTAGAATAGAGTTACTTTCGTAATATCATTGGAATACTTGGAATACTTCTGTGTTTTTCACTTTTCACCCGAAATATGAATAAAGAAATTCAATAAAGAAATAAAGAAATTGTCGGGCAGTGTCTACAGTCCACTGACGGCTCTCAGCTCTCTTTCTAGTCTCTGCTCTAAGCGTGGGGTGGGATCTATGGTCTTTCCCCGCATGCTATTGGATACCAAACAGCCAGACGTACTCACCGCTACGGATGTCAAGTCAACGATATGGTCCGCCCTACTCCGTCAAAAAAGATGCAAATACATCCTTTTCGAAATAAACTTAAGTACCTCAATCCATCTCCCCTTGACTCAAAGAAAACCATAAGTCAAAAATATTCCAACGTAGATGCCAAAGCTGTTTCAAACGATCCGCCGCTATCTTTACATCAGTAACATCCGGTCCACCAACAGAGTGCTGTGATTGGCCCACCAAAACAACGCTGTGATTGAACCACTACGGAGCAGGGGCCATCTTGGTTTGCTAACTTGCAGGTACATCCCGCCCATTTGCCTGACAGAGTGCTATGATTGGCCCATCAAACATATAGAGCGCTGTGATTGGACTGCTTTGGATGTCTGTCGATGAGGCAGTCTGCCATTCCATCTTGGAAAAACTACAGAACACATAAAAAAATAAAAATAATACATCGTTTTTTCTAAATAAGTGTGCTGCGATTGGCCAGTCCCAATTATTTAGAAGTGTTTTGTCTTGACTACTTTTTCTTGCAGACAGTAATGCTGTGCAATGTTCAAGCACTTTCTCACAGAAACAGAAATATAGTTTCTATTGACTGTTTAATAAATAAAAGAATCGAAACGAGGAATTGGAATCGGAATCGTTCAAAATCAAACAATGCCCAACCCTATTGGTGCTGCATCTGCAGTGATGCGGGCGTTGTACCGGTCTGTCGTGGTGAAGAGAGAGCCGAGTCAGAAGGCGAAGCTCTTGATTTACCGGTCGATCTACGTTCCTACCCTCACCTATGGTCATGAGCTTTGGTTGTGACCAGAAAAACAAGATCGCGGATACAAGCGGCCAAAATGAGTTTTCTCCAAAGAGTGGTTGGGCTCTCCCTTAGAGATAGGGTGAGAAGCTCTGCCATTCGGGAGGGGCTCGGAGTAGACCCGCTGCTCCTCCACATCGAGAGGAGCCAGTTGAGGTGGCTCAGGCATCTGGTCAGGATGCCTCCTGGACGCCTCCCTGGTGAGGATTTCCGGGCACGTCCAACCGGGAGGAGACCTAAAAGTAGACCCAGGACACCGTGGAGGGACTATGTCTCTCACCTGGCCAGGAAACGCCTTGGGATTCCCCCGGAGGAGCTGGCCCAAGTGGCTGGGGAGAGGGAAGTCTGAGCCTCTCGCCTTAGGCTGCTGCCCCCGCGACCCGACTCCGGATAAGCGGATGAAAATGGATGGATGGTCTGGTCTTGGTGTGATTCATATGAATGTCAGAAGTCTACTCCCTAAGATGGATCAAGTGAAAATCTGGGCAAACTCAACTGATACTGGTGTTTTGGTTCTGACAGAGACTTGCCTAAATAAATCAATCCCAGACAATCACATTGTACTCGATGGTTCCAATGTTGTTTGCTGTGATAGGCCAAAGAGGGGTGGAGGAGTGATCATTTTATCAAATGAAATCTATATCTATATCAACAGACAGACAGACAGCTCTTGCTGAACACACACTTTCCCATTTTTTCGGTAACAAGATGTAGACTTAACTCATCAGATTTTCAGCTAGCAGCAAACAAGCTACAAACTCTCCATGCTCCACGTGGAGTAAGCGTTTATAACCTGCAGTTATCGCGAGACTTGTAATGTATTCACATCGTACCAACACCGCTCCTCAGAAAAAGGCAGATACTAGATAACTGAGTTTTACCATTTTATATGGCGAATGCTCTCCGGGACTAAACAACCTAAAAATTAAGACTCGACCAAACAAAATGTAAGAGTCTGGAAAAAAATCCAGACATTTTTCAGACTTTATAAGGCTTTAAATTTAAATTGATTAATTTTCGACCTTCTTAAGACCCCGCGGAAAGTCTGAATAAGCACAGAGAAAGCATATAATGGCACTGAGAGGAGCTGTGGCACATGAAGTGGTCTGGGGTGACATAGAATGTTGGAGTGGTTCAGAACATGTATGAGACAGCAGTGAGGTGTGCAGTAGGAGTGACAGAGGAGTTTGAGGTGGAGGTGGGAATGCATTAAGGATGCTCCTTCTTGTTTGCTTTGGTGATGGACAGACTGATAAGATGATATTAGACAGGAGTTTCTGTGGACTATGTTGTTTGCAGATAACCGTGATCTGCACTGAGTGTAGGGTGGAGAGGAAAAGCTAAAGAGGTGGCGATATGGACTGGAAAAGAGGAAAACAGAATCCATGTGTGTGAATGAGAAGGGCAGAAGTGGAGCGGTGATGTTACAGGGAGTAGAAGGAGGGTCTGTGGTCCAAAGTGCCAGAGACGGTGCAAAAGAGGTGTGGGTATACCTGGTGTGGAGGGGGTAACACTGGTGGGAGAGGAAGCTGCAACTGGAGGTGGAGCAGGGGTGGTTGGGACCTGAGGAGAGCTCAGCCTGGGACCTCCACCCGATGGAGGAGTGGCTACAGAGGCGGCTTGGCTACGAGAGCTGAGACAAGCAAGGACACAAAGGTCAACAGAGGATCGACCACATGATGGGTTCATGCTAATGAGATGGTGGAGGCTCTCACCTGGATGAGGAGCTGCTAGTGGGTGGACCTCCACTGCCCAGCAGGTTGGCGAGTCCTGGTCCAGCTAAAGCTCCCAGGCCTCCTTAGACAAACATGAACGAGGCTGAACTCAGTCGATATGAAAGGTTGTTAGGAGTAAAGATGAGACAAATACAGAGCTAACAGGATTACTGCCCCACACTGAGGGCTAGCATAACACAAGCCCAGTATCTAAGTGCCCTTACCCAGTCCACCCAAACCAGTTGGTCCAATCAGCTGCATCAGCTGGTTGTGGCTCATATTTCCCAGAAGGTTTTGAAGGCCTCCCTCTCCTCCAAGTGCAGAGAGCTCATGCCCACTGCCCCCGCCACTGCCCGCTGCTCCAGGAACTGGAGGATTGTTCAGGAACTCGTTCACCTTACGACAGAACTCCTCATCCTTCTCCATTTTCGGCTCCTGGACGAAATTTGGCACAGTAGAGGTTTAAGGTTTAAATAACAGTTACTGTTGCTCTATTAAATGTTTTCATTAAAAGGAACAGCTGAAGGTCAGGAGTCCAGATGTTTGTTGTAGGACAAGCAGCGTCTTCTGACCTGCATCCAGAAGAATAGCCGTTTGGATCCAGCCTTGAACTTCAACACATACACACGACCAGTCGTGCACTGGTTGACTCGCTTGAATTCACAGTCATCAGGAAATATAATCAGGTCCTAGGATGGAGGACACAATCTGAGTCAGCGGTTACATTCAACATAGGGGTGGGGAATATAAGTGATGTAAGGTAGAAACGATAAAAAATTGGGTAATGATAAGAGTTTTTGGCTATATCGCAATACCGCGATAACACATGACGTCACTAAGATGTGCGCCCTGCTGACATTGGGGCAACAGAATGGCCGTGACTGCAAGCATTGAGTGGGCGGAGGAGGAGGCCCAAGTGCCTCAAGTGGCATATATTTACCACATGAGGATATTTCAAAGCATGTCATTTTGACATATATAAACAAAGGAAATAATATATCGCAATATATATCATTACCGCACATGCTTCAGATTATATCGCAATATAGATTTGAGGCCATGTCGCCCAGCCCTACTTCAACACTAAACTAAAACATCTGCATTTTTGAACCATGTTGAGCATCAGCTGTTTCTGGTGAACAGATGAGTTTCTAGTTGAGTCATTTAAGGGAATTTCAACCAACAACTTGTTTTAGTCAAGTTTAACCAAAAGCCTAGAAAATGTGTGAAAAACTCCTGAAAAAGTGCCCGTTAGTGATGGGACAGTTGAAGCGAGGTTTGAGGCTTTTCAAATCAATCAAACCAAATCAGGTTTATTGTCATTATGTTCATAACAGAGTACAAACACAACGAAAAATCATCAAGCAGGAAGCGTGACTGGTGGCAAAAGAGGCCCTTACCTCAAACCACGCTGTACAGAGCTGTTTGAGGCTGAGCAGTGCTTGCAGAAAACTAACTTTGGTGAAGCAATGTGCTGCAAAGCCTCATTGCTTAATCTGTCCCATCAGCACAAGCAATGCAGTTACCATCTAAAAGATCTAAATATAAAGCATAGCAGTAGTTTGAGACTTCATATAATAAATCTAACCTTAACTGTAAAAGGGTAAAGAGAAATAAGGAATGTTAAAGTTGCGGCCAGTGGCTGTTTAGCAACTATGGTAACTGATTAGTAAATATCAAGCTTTGAACAAAACAAAAACAAAAGCAGTAGCTTTACTCACATCATCAACATTCCCCGTGGTTCTGTCTTTCCAACAGAAATGAATCAGGGAATCATCGGACTGCTGGATGTACACCGTCCCCTTGCGTTTGTCTGGTGTAACAGTGTTCCCCTTCAGGGTCATTTTACCAGCACGAAACTCCACCAGATACTTGCTGGAGCTTCCCCTGGAATTGCTGACCAGGCTGGGAAACAGGGCGCCTGATGACATCTTTACTCTTAACTCCCAAGCGTCTGGCCTGAGGAAGGAACCGAGTGTGTTCGATCGAATGACGTACAGGCCAACTTTCAGCAGTTAGGTGACCCAACTACAACTTGGACCCACACACTTGCCTCCAAAATAACACGCGTCGATTTAGATGCGCCTAAAAATGTATCAACTTATACAGATAAAACATTAAAGAGGCGTTTCCAATATCTGGCTGTTAGCTTAAATCGCGTGTATAAATAAAGCCCACTGGTGGTCTTCTGCTACAGTTGTTTCAGACGAGCATAAAAACATCAGCCTTAGGTTCTTATACCGTTTAAAACTTGAATGAAATTACAGCGGTTACACTCAACTGTAGACCTATTAGCATAATGAGAAACTTTATATTTTTATTCACTTTTAAAACATCAAAATCACTAACTTGTAAGTCCGAGTTCTCAGACTACTGCAGACCTCGCGATAACAAAGCACTTCTCGCGGGAAGCTAACAAACTTTCTGTTGCTAACGCCTCGGTTCCACTCTGATAAGGTTAACTGAGTTCATGCGCTTTTAAACACTAAAACTGCACTTATAGGTCAAAAGGCACGTTACTGTTACTTAGATGGAGTGAGGTAGAGGTTATCACATCGGTTATACACACCTTCTTAAATGTTACATAAAGATAAGTCAACGCTAACCATGACTCGGCTAAAACCACAAACGACTAGGTCGAGGTGGCTCTTCATAAATGTTTAGAACTTTGGAAAAACGGTGGTGCCTGATGCTCTTTGACGAAGAACAACGAGTGAAAAAGAATAGTTTGAAACAAAAGCTTACCTGGCTTTAAACAACCAACAGTCTTCTCTGGGTAAGTCGTCAGCTGAAAATGTGGCGTGATGACGACATGACTGACGGTGGTGCCAGTGTATGGCAAGAGATTTTTACATATATTTGACAGATCTGGAGAAGAAGAAGAAACGATTTTTACACTCTCAAGACAAACATCACGAGATGCTTCACGAGAACTGAAAAAACAACAACTTTAAAACAAATATTAAAATTATTTATAGAATTTCATAAAAAAGGGAAAGCTGAAAATCTTTATACTGAAAAATGAGGAGGAAATGCATGAAAAGAAGGAAGTGAGAAAGAATCAGCAGGTAGTAGGGCTGGGCGATATAGCCTGAAATTAATATAGCGATATATTGAGGATTTCGCCTCAATAACGATAAATGGACGATAACTACAAGTATGCACAAAAACAAAAGTTGTCCTCTAGATGAGGCTGTCACGTGTATCAGTTGAGTCACATTGGCCATGTTCGAGATGAGCCAGTTCTGCGCAGATTAGATCACCGATGATCGGCCCGCAGTGCATGTCTGTTAGATTTGTGTCCAATTTGACGCCAACTTGCTCTGATGTCATGCATACGTAGGCAACAATAACCTGGTGATCAAGGCGGCCGCAGATTTTGGAGCAAGGCGCTGCAGTTGCTCTCCACTGGCTACAAAACCTGGGGCATGACGGGAAACACCTGGCTCTCACCTGATCTAAGATCTGATTGGTTCATATTCTGATCCAAACATCCGGTGGTAGAACATGAAATGTTAGTTGGTCACATGTGTTCTGTAAATCATGTTGCAATGAAGATGATAACTATATAGGCCATTAAGAGAAACATGATTTGTGTTCTTTTGTCACGTTTCCAATAAGCACACAAAAACTCTACAGCTGATGACCTTTACTTATTACAGTCATGTTTTCATTTGCACATGTCTACAACATATGATATCCACAAGCATGTGAGGATGTGTTTCGGTTGCTAACAGGCACCAGAATTAAAATTAAAAATTAAACAAATATGAACGCTAACTCGATATCGTCATCCGTCATCACCCGTGAGCTACATGTGGGGAAATCTGTGCGACTTAAACGCCGGCTTTCAGCCACGCCCCCTGCTGCGTCCGTCCGCTCTTGTCTGTTTTCCAGGCGAGGAGCTGCTCAACTTGAACAAGGCCCTTTTTACACGACTCAAGGTGGTACAGCTTCTTAAAGGGACATGGATGCTGCCAACCTACACGCATCTTTTCATTTTTTTTTTATTATCAAATTTATTGACATGGGAAAATTATCACCATAAGAGTCAGAAACTTCGAAAGCAATACATTTTTTATTTAAAGTCCCATTAGTTGTCACACACACTGATGTGTGTGCGAAATTCGTTCTCTGCATTTGACCCATCCCCTGTGGGAGCGGTGAGCTGCAGACACAGCCTCGCTCGGGAACCATTTGGTGGTTTAACCCCCCAATCCAACCCAGCCCTAGCAGGAAGTCACACCAAAGCAGCCTGAAGAGGTGAGTTTTCAGCTGTTTTTAAAGGAGGCCACTGAGTCCGCTGACTAAGGGGGGAGAGAGTTCCAGAGTCTGGGGGCCACAGCAGCAAATGATCTGTCACCTTTGGTTTTTAGCCTGGTGCACTGTAGGGTGATGTGGGTGTGTTTGGAGGACTTGGTCAGAAGCCGAGCACAGGCGTTCTGAACCACCTGTAGACGGTTCAGGGAGGTTCTGCTCAGACACGTGAAAAGAGAGTTGCAGTAGTCTAAGCGTGAGGAGATGAAGGTGTGGAGAACTGTCTCAAGTTCAGAGCGAGACAGAATGGGACTCAGCTTAGCAACGTTCCTGAGATCAAATCAAATCAAAGCTTTATTTATAAAGCGCCTTCCGCAACCCTGTCAGGAAGCCCAAGGCGCTGAACATGGAACACTACAAAGTTAAATAAAGTGAATAAATCAGAAAATAAAACAATTCAAATTACAGATTACAAATTACAAAAAAGGTGAAACATTCTAGTAGAAGACAAATGTGTAAAACAAGGGAAAAAGTGAACCAATGAAAACTGTGAGATAAAGTCAACAAAAAAGAGGGCAAAATTCAAACATGTTCAGGAAATGCCAAGCGGAGGAGGTGGGTTTTTAGACGACTCTTAAAGATTAGCAGAGATGGGGACAGCCTAACTGAGGGTGGCAACTGGTTCCAGAGTGACGGTGCTAGGACTGAGAAAGCCCGGTCCCCACGAGTACGACACCTAGAACGAGGGACAACGAGCAGGCCTTGGTCAGAGGAGCGCAGAGCGCGTGATGGGGAATGTCTGTTCAGGAGCGTGGCCAGATAGGGGGGAGCACCACCCTGGAAGAAATTAAAAATTAAGACGAGGAGTCTGAAGTGTGAACGATAGCAAACCGGAAGCCAGTGCAGGGAGGCCAGAACCGGACTGATGTGGTCCCGTTTCCTGGTCCCAATCAGGAACCTGGCTGCGCTGTTCTGCACAACCTGTAGGCGAGATGGAAGAAGGAAGAGCGAACAAGAGAACTGACATGAGAATCCAGGGTGAGAGCTGGGTCAAAGGTCACACAAACAGCTTGTCTGGGGCACAGATGAGGATCTCAGTCTTATCTTCATTCAGCTGAAGAAAGCTCCCACCATCCAGGTTTTGATAGTCTAAGCAGGTGTGTAACAGCTGCAGCTTAGACATCTCATGGGGCTTAAAGGAGATGTACAGTTGGATGTCATCTGCATAAAGATGGTAGGAGATTCCTTTGAAGGAGTTCAGGATGTGCTGAAGAGGAAGCAGATAGAGGAGGAAGAGCAGAGGCCCCAGCACAGAACCTTGTGGGACACCAAGGGTGAGGAAGATCAGAATCAGAATCAACTTTATTGTCATTGGACAATAAAGAAAGAGGAGGATTGAAACTTGAAGACAGCCACAGCGAAGGAACGCTCAGACAGATAGGAGGAGAACCACTCCAGAGCAGATCCTGATAGGCCTACCCAGTCTCTCAGCCTCTCCAGTAGCAGGTGATGGTCAACAGTGTCAAAGGCTGCAGTCAGGTCCAGCAGGACCAGAACAGAACAGTCCCCTGCATCAGGGTGGATTACAGCATTCTTAAAGTAAGCAGGGACCTGACCAGAGACCAGAGATGCATTAATTATAGAGAGCACGCTGGAACCGATGGACTGAAAAGCACTTTTAAACAAAGATGAGGGTAAGACGTGGAGGGGGCATGCAGAGGTCTTCATAGAGTTAACTAGTTTGGTTAACTCAGGCAAAGAAACAGGAGCAAAGCTATCTAGGATGCCTGGTTGGAGATAAAGATAAAGCTGAAGAAGGGATGCTATCTAACCTTATTGTCTGACTTTATTCACAAAGAAAGACATCTTTCCTAGCCTAGTGAACTAGACCAAATTCTTGCTTTGCAAAGAATGGTCTAGGCATGCTCCATTGGAACCTCAGCAGCTCCTACCAGGACTCTGGCTGGCCAATCACAGCTCTCTAGAGGGGTTTCAAACACATAAAGAGCTGTGATTGGTCCATAATGGTGGGCCAATCATAGTGCTCTATCTGCTTAGTGAACAAATCACAGAGCTTTATCCGCTTTGTGGGCCAATCAGGGCCCTCTATATGCCTGGTGGGTGGGATGATGCAACAGAGTGAAACAAGAGTATGTCACATTCATTGTCCAGTAGCATGCGGAGATCATTTGAAAGACAACGGTAGATCCCGCCCCACAACCGAGAGCTGTCAATGGAGCGTGGCCAGACTAAATAATACATTTATTTAGTCTGGCTTGCCAGGCTACATCTTTCCTGTATCAGAATCAGAATCAGAAGTTTTTTATGCCATATGTCTGCCAAGTCACAACATTAGGAAATTGCTGCGGTATTTTGGTGCAGAAGGTAAGATAGAAAAATATATTAATTAAGAGATAAGCAAATATAAGAAATAATAAAACACTCATGATAAAATTATTAATGTAAAAAGTGGCAAGAATTGTACATGAAGTTTTCACAGTCTCCATCAGTGTGGATGGAGGCTGTAGGTGAAGCAAGAGAGACAATACTGCTGACATCATACACATTTAAAATGTGAATAAAAATATAAAATGAGAGAATCTCACAACTGAATTATTTCTATGTAGAATGAAGATTGTGGACATCATAAGCAAAAGTCTTTGTTTGAGGATTTACCATTTCGGGTGTGTATCTCACTTTTTGTCTATTTACTGTTCATCAGCACTGTTACGAAATTCAACTTTGAGAGTAAATTCTTTCGTTTTTTGCCTTTTGTGTAAAAGTAAAGTAACCTCTTGTGATTTTTGTTGTTGCTTTATTGGTTTTCTCTTTCCCCTTTTTTCCCGTTTATCGTGCTGTTAATGTCTGCTCGACCCTCACTGTTCTGTGAGATTGAATTATAACATTTAAAAAAGAATCTAGACGTGTAATTTCCACTCTAGCACTGTAGAGGGCGGTAACGCCCTAGCAGCGAACTACCGTTTGAAAAACAAAGAAGAAGAAATCCCGCCGCGCCGTGAACGCGCTCCGACTGGACCTGTCACGGATTGACAGCTCGCGTCCTCCACTGTAGCTGCTAGCTCGGCCGGCTGTTTGAGCGGCTTGGAAGTTCTAACCTGAAATGCGAGATTCATAAACTTTAAGCAGGCGTCGAGTTGGAGATAAAGAAAACAAACAAAAGTAAATAGCAGCTGCTGTACTTTATCAAAGACAGGTAAGAACACGCGCCGGACTATCAGTCATTGGATTAGTTAGCTAGCTAAGCGCTAAATGCAGACTAGGACAGGGACCAACATGGATGCTGGTTGCGTTCATTTGATTACGGTGCCTGGAGATTATCCGCTTTACCGCCGTTTGATTCCCAGGCTGACCGGACAGTTCTAGTCTCGGTGGGCGCTACCGGAGTCCCTCACTCCCTCATTCACGGTCAGAATGAAGCGGATCTCTCCGCTGACGGAATTATTTATTACTATTATTGGCTCAAACGTGACAGAAGTAAATCCTGTTCTTTAGAAGACAACACGACATCGAGCCGGGTACTGTTCTGCTGCTTGTAGTCCGTTGGGTCAGCCGGACTGATCCCGAACTACCACCACCCGTTTTGTGATGGTGCTGCAGCTGGGACACAGCAGGTGGCGTCCACGGGACAGGTGGGGGGTCACAGATTAGTGGCGGTCTGTCCTGAACTACATACTGTTGTTAAGATCTGGGCTGTTTTCTTCTTTAGAGTATTGATCGACCTGCTACAATTAAAAATTATGCGTTTGTTTTTGGAAAAAATGTGTGAAAATTGAATATTAGACCAATCAAAAATTATTAGATACAGTTATCACTATAAATGTTTATACTTGACCTCTGGTGAGAGGAGCAGGGCTCAGGAAACGTTCCAGCTAAGCTTCATGTCTCCATTCAGTTAATCAGCTGACTTCATACAAAATATCCAACCTCAAAGCTTCTCTTTCAGTTAATGCAGAGACAGAATAGGCCTGAACTGTAGGTGAGTTGATAATAATAAGGACCTTTTGTGCATTTGGTTTAATTTTGTTTCACTAATCAGTCTTTGTCACGACTCACAACACCTTTAGGACTGATTTTAGACTTGGATCTTTCTTCCCGTGACTTAGCCACATGTGATCTGATCATGTGAGAGATTCACTTTTACTTTTGTTCTGTGACTTCACCTTTTCTCTCGTCTCTGTTGAACATTAAAAACAGGAAATGAGAGCAGCTGAAAGGCTCGACAACATGCAGGCACACTAGGAATATTCTAAGTAGGGCAGGGCGATATGGCCTAAAATCAATATCACGATATATTGAGGATTTCACCTCGATAATGATAAGTGGACGATAACTACAGGTATGCGCAGAGACAAAAGTTGTCCTCTAGATGAGGCTGTCACATGTATCACCTAACGTGACTCGAGGTGGTACAGCTACTTAAAGGGACATGAATGTTGCCAACCTACACACATCTTTTCATTTTTTTTATCATCGAATTTATTGACATCAGAGAAACTGTCTCAATAAGTCAAACGATCAATTTTCGATTTATTGCCTGCCCTAATCCTAAGTGAACCATATTTTAAAATTTGCATCAGAGTTGTGTATTGGTGAAATTTTGGTGATACGATACGTGTCGCAATACAGGAGAGACGATACGATGTATCACGATGTACAGATTCAGTCGGATGTTACTGATGATATTTTTAGACTAGACTTTATGTAGGAAAATTCAATAAACTGTCCAAACTGATACGTTTAACTTGAGGTATCTGAACCATAACAGAGGGACTTCCATTTCAATGGTGGAAGCAAAACCCATTGCACACTGCTGCCATCTAGTGGTCAGTGTTTGAATTGCACCAAACAAAAAAAGAAAATACATAAATGTTTAATTCTTCTTGTTACGTCCCCGACATGTGTTGGTAAAAATGTGAAGGATGGGGGTAACATAAGAACTGGCGGCGGTGTTTAAAATGGGTTTATTCGTACAAAAGGTATTAAAACACAAGCAAACAGATCTCTCTAAAAGGTTAACATCACGAATGATCAACTACAAAACACCTGGTAGAAACTTATATTAAAAGTTTACCGAAACAAAGGTGTTCTAAAAAGCCCGAAGCTGATAAAAGTCCCAAACAATTTACTGATTAAAATACCTGGTAAACGCATATTTTAAAAGTTTTACCCTCACGAAGGTGTTTAAAACCGAAGTCAGTAAAATTGCACAAACCAAGTTAACCTTTACAAAAAAACCGAGCACACAAAAGATCCCCCTGGATCATCCAAACTATCACCAAGAGTTAAAACTATCACAGTTTAAAACTCCAACAAATCCAAATGCGTCTAAACGAAAGGGGTTGAGAACACACAAAACCCAGGAGGACAGCAGAACCCCTGCACTGCTGCCTCCCAGACTGCTGAAGGCACAGCCCTTTTATGCAGGAGTTTGCTTCATCAGGAGGATTCAGCTCAGCTGTGCTCCTCAGCAGCCCGGGAGAGAGGAGGAGGAGGGGCGGTGTCAGGCTGATTCACTGGAGCTTGGTGATCTTGGCTCCTGCTCCTCCCTCAAGGCTGGCAGCCGTGACACTTCTAAAAATTAGACACACAGCTTTTTAATATCAATATCGCTGGAAAAAATATCACAATGTATTGCCATATCGATATTTTCTTCCATCCCTGATTTGTTTGTAGGCTGACTTATTAATATATTTAGTAAAGAGTCGTTCTGCTCTGCTTTAACAGTCTTTGAACCGGACTGTTTGGCTCATCTGAGCAGTGACGGACTGCTGATTCTACATCAGCTAATGAATTACACGGGCTGTTCTCCACCACTGTGCCAAGATGTGCCCTTCCGTTTACAAGCAGAGATGATGATGATGATGATGTGTGTTTAATAAAAGTATAGCTGTGTGTTTCTGCTCTAAGCTCAGTAACATGCTGCTTTTACTCAGCCCTATGTTTGTTGGGCTAACATGTTTTGGTATGATTCATGCATAAACTGGTGTCCCGTTGTTACTCAGCATCTTCTATTGAAGCCACATAATAAATGTTTGTACGGCCACGCCACAGGTATACGGAGGTGGGCAGGACGTCACCGTGCTCTCGCTTCAGGAGAACAAAGAAGCTGTAGAGCATCTGCGGCCACCTGTTCTTGTTAGGGTTTTTATATTGGCCTGGATGTAACAGCAAATGACCGGATCAACAAGTTTGTTGTTATTGTGGCAAGGTGGAGAAACGAGGGCCCGGGCGGGATTCGATCCCCAGACTCCCGGGTGAGTCATACGCTCTAACCAGTCAGCCAAAGGGACATCCCCTTAGCCAAGTAGCCAGGGCACATGATCAATCGGGACACTGTGACAGGACGCTCACACTGCCACATTATTTTGCTGTGACTGTCTGACATGAGTCCTGGATGGACCTGTTGTGTTGCCAGCCATGTGCCCTGGGTAAAATGAGCACGTTTTACTTAACAAACTAGATGTTTTATTGACTTGTTTTAAATCCATGTGAACAGGTGAAGCGCTGCGTGCACGTGGAAACGGGTGAGAGGCAAGGAGACCGCTAAAGGCCATGGATCACCAGAGACAAAGGACTCTTTCTACATCGGGAGAATCCCTGTACGTGGTGCTGGGAGTGGATAAGAACGCCACAACAGAAGATATCAAGAGATGTTACAGGTACGTTTACAATAAAGTTGTGTTCTGCTCCTGCTGAGCGGAGAGGAGCGCCCCCTGTTGTCGGGGACAGGGGCGGAAATCCCATTTAATTTTTTTGGGGGGACAGTAAGCAGTAAAATGTCAGAGTAATTTTTGAGGGGACATGAAAAAAATGGCTGTTTTGCAACTTGCAGGGCAGACCTCCAACATGAGCGAGTTCACTAAGATACCAGCCAATCAGAGGTGAGCTGTCTCAATATCAGGAAATGATGTCCAAGACTGGCGCAGCACGAGCTGCAGCCAGTTACAGCAGCTTTTGCTTCTTTACTCTTTTGGTATTGTCTGCTTGTCTTGTATCGTTTTTAAAGCCTTTATTGTGGGCGTATGCCCCCTCAGCCGTACGATCCACAGGAGTACTTTTGTATCTTTTGTTTATTTTACTGTTTTCTGAACCTGTTGGGAACGCACTGGGAAATTCCTCCGGCTCCATCCATGCACCCATTGTTTACACCAGAGATCAGCTGTTGGCGCTGCGGACACGGGTGATCTTCTCCACAGAAGGGCCGATTCTGCCCCACAACTAAGGAGGAAATGTAGAGTGCAGAGCAGGTTGTGAGCTTCAGGAGAGAAAACGGGGATATAAACCATATTTACCCTCCATGATTATGGGAAATGTCCAGAGGTGGAAAGAGTACTAAAATTTCCTACTTAAGTACAAGTACCAGTACTTTGATAATTTTTTACTCAAGTACAAGTAAAAGTACTTGCCTAAATTTTTACTCAAGTAAAAGTAAAAAGTATCGTAAGTAAAATGTACTCAAAGTAAAAGTTACCTACCGTAAATCCTCTAATATTGGCCTGTATTTAATTAACTGCCGGGTATCATATTTTGGCCGGTGTCGGAGTCGGCGGAGGTGAATAATGGCCGGTTTTTTATTGTGGCTGGGTGGAATGTGGCAACAAGCAAGTACGGGGGCGGTTGTGTCTTTCGTCTCACTTTTGATTTGCCAGCGATAGACCGCGAGGATAACTTTAACCGTGCGGAGACGAAGAGGAGGCGAAAATTTGATATCAAGTTCAAAGAGAGCGTGCTGATTATGCTGCAGAACACTCTGGGGAGCAGTATCAGGGGTTGTATGAACTAGTCACTAGTCGACTTCACCGCTCTATAGTGACTTGTTATGCCTGTCATCGACTAGTCGCTGTCACGTGATAATGACCGGCAAGATGCAGTCCACGGAGAAGACAGCAGCCTGCTGTCAGCAGGTGACAAGCTCCTGCGCGTCGGGAGGCAACGCGCTGTGCCAGAGCATCGGTACTGACACCCGCCGTAAAACAAACATTTAACTAAATTGTGACCTTTACCCTCTTGCAATTTAACCTTCCCCTCACCCCCATCTTAACCTTAACCAGCTTGCGCATGCAAAGCTCTGATTGTTGACGCGCTCCAGACATCTGCGTCCTGAGCACGGCCACAGTAACATTATCAAATCAGGTGTCGCCACCTCAAAAACTAATTTAACACGCGATCGTTCATGTCGGCTCATTTCCTTTCATGTTTTCTGTCTTTTATTTGTGTCTGATGCGTTTCGCTGCTGTGGAGCGGGGCGAGCACTCCGCTGTTTTAGCGGTCGGTAGATCTTTTAGAACTGCAGTTCAAAGGTAACTCATGAGGTGAATATATATGAACCCAGGTAGCAGTTTCTCTTTAGGATTGAGAGGAGATGCAGGAAGATAATAAACAGATAGGACAGAAAAATAGTCAAATAAAAACAAGTTAGTTTTTGTACCTGCTGGTTGCAACAAACAGACACCATTGAAGGTAATCAGAAGTGAGGAACAGAAAATAAATAATTATTTTAATGTTTAGAGCAGCAGGAACTCTGAGAGGCTGCAGGCGCATCAGTGAGTTTGTAGCCGCTGCGCAGGGGGAGGGGGGAGAGGGCTGAAGCAGAAACTACCGTTGTTAAGAGAAATGTGTTTAACTTTGAAAATGTGGGCGCAATTTTAATTGTCAAAAACTCCAGCGAACCATTAGTTCATTTTGCTCAAATAGAAATAGAGGCCCGCCTCTAATTCTGGCCCTCCTTCCAATAAAGGCCTGGAGCTTGATGAGCTTCAGTCAAATACAGGCCCGAGCCTGTATTAGAGGATTTACGGTAGCTTGATCATTCCTACTAATACAACACACTGCATATTTGTATTTGTAGCCCTTCTACGCTTAAACACAGGCCCATGTCCAGGTCTCCCTGCTAGTGCCCACTCTTTGGAGGCCTGGCGTGCTTCAGCGTGGTACTCAGACACACGCTCTCTCTCCAGCTTGGTCTCATCTTTGTTTTAGTTTTATGTCTGTGAAAGGGAATGCTAGCCTTATGTAGAGCATTCACTATGTCATTATACAGGTTACCTACTGCTGAGATCTTTACAGTCCGTTTCCCTACAGGTGGCTGCTGCTACCCAGGGCAGGAAAATACCAGCCAAGAGTGTCTCAGTAAGCAGCTGATAGTTACATATGTCCTCCTCAGAGAGGGTAGGCCAGTCTAGAACTTTCCTGGCATTTTCACTGTCCTGTTCTTCAGACAAGGGCACACACTCCAGATTGATTTTGAACCTAAATGGGATGGGATCAGAGCTACAGTATATAGCTCATATAAGATGCCGATGTGTGACAGGGAGGAGTTAGCATCAGCTGTTGGGACACAGTGATCCAACCATGAAGCCGTGTGCCATGCTTCACTAATAAAAGTCTAGCTATCTGCAGGTAAACACACCTCAGCTGACAGCAGTAAGGCACCATCTTCAGAGTTGTTTCAGGTGTCTGGCAAAGATTGAGTTTCCATCAGTAACATCTGCATTCATATGACCAATAATACACACATTACCTTTTATGAAACCATTAATAAAAGCAAGTCTATTAAGAAACTCAGCTTCAGTATTAAGGCACTGAGACGGCATACACACATTCAGGATGACGTGTTGTGTAAGGGTATAGCTATACACCAGTCCTCATCACATTTATATACGATATAGTTTCTTGTTCCACACCATCTGGTTTTCTCCTGCTTATTCATCCATGTCCAGTGACACTAGTTGACTCTCCAGCCCCATGAAAATGATTATTAGTGGAATTTAAACCATTTAGATCCTGTTTTGTTAAAAAGGTGATCGCACCTTGTCAAATCGCATCAGAAAGGTGAGGAGATGACAAGTGAAAGCAGGAGGACACGCAGAGAGAGCATGTCTACAAAGGGAAAGTCATTTTAACAACTAATCAGCAATCAGACCTCTCTCTAACTCCTGCAAGTCGCACACTGAGCAGAACATTTTGCACTAAGTGTTCTACAAAATAAAGCGAGAGCAAAACTTTGTTTTTTCTGTTCTTTTCCTCTCTGCTGATCCGAAAAATGACCTGACCCGTGACTGAAACCCGTGATCCGATCCAAACCGTGAGATTTTTCATTAGTCGAACCACTAAAGACAAGCATGGCTACAGCAAGTCTGAGATAGTAGGCGCTCCAGTCAGTCAGTGTTGCAGCATTTCAAAATGTGTTATTGCTGTCAGTCTGGGAGATTATTGGCTCACAGTGGAGACAAGCCTCAGAAGGTAGGCAGGAACCATAAACGGTGCAAGTTCCAATGAGCGTCTCATTTCCATGTGAGATGTACAGTACACGCATCAGGCATGCACCAAGCTTAACCCATCTGCAGTGGTATTTAGTATACCTTATCTATCTAGAAAGGCATGTTTCGTGCACCACCCCTCTCTCCTTTCCAACGATCAGAGGTGTGTGTGTGTGTGTGTGTGTGTGTGTGTGTGTGTGTGTGTGTGTGTGTGTGTGTGAGTGAGTGATTTTGGATCATTATTGTATTTTACAGGGTGTTACGTCCCCGACAGGAGATGTTCAAATGTGAAGGAGGGGGTAACATAAGAAATACGACAGTGGCGTTTAACATGGGTTTAATTGTGATAAAAGGTTCTAAAAAAACAAGAGCAAACAGACGGCGAGCATTATTAAAATAATGCTAAACGAAAAATTCACTATAAGGTTAACAGTTAAAAGACAAATTATCAACTATATAAAACACCTGGTTAAAACTTTATTAAAAGTTTTACCTAAACTGAAGGTGTTTTAAAACACAATGACGTTGATAAAAGTCTAAAAACTAAATCAGAGTTAACCTTAAAACACAGTCAACACTAGGTGACATGCACAAAAGATCCATGTGGATCACTCAGAGTTAGAACTATAAGTTAAAACTCATCACAACGACGGGGTTAAACCAAATGAGACCTGGAGGACAGCAGAACCCCTGCACTGCTGCCTCCCAGACTGCTGAAGGCACAGCCTTTTGATCCCAGGTGTGGCTCATCAGGAGGACTCAGCTCAGCTGTGCTCCTCAGCAGCCTGGAAGAGAGGAGGAGAAGGGGCGGTGTCCAGTCAATCACCAGAGCTGGGTGATCCTGGCTGCTTTTTCCCCCTCTTCAGGCTGGCAGCCGTGACACAGGGGAGCCAAAATGCTCCCACACATGCGACTTCAGTGATGCAGGTGAGCTCCTTTCCTCCTCCGTCCGTTATCACCCCCGCTGTGTTTCTGCTTTGGGTTAAACCGGTAGCGCCTACGCCCTCCACCAGACCGATCCACGGACCGTGTGCCGAACCGATGCGTACGAATCACAGAACATTAATAATAATAATAATGAGGATTTATTGCATCCCTACTTGTCTCTGTTCTGATTAGCAGCACTTTTGGTGCATGTCTGGCACAAGCAAGCATGCCCTATGACGTAATATCTGCGACCGTTGTGAATCGACTTTCCTTGTTTCTATGACGACAGATGTTTACACTAGTTAGCACGTTTTACATCCACTCTCGGGTCATCGTTACATGAAGGTTTAGATGAAGGTCTCTGTTTTTCACTCATGCTATTCTCAGTTCATTCGTGTATTATCTCATTTCTTTCGTTTGATGGGTGTTTTGTGTACACGTGTTTTATTGTTATGATTTAGACTGACTTGTGCAATCATTTGGTTTCTGTTTGCAGGAAACTGGCGTTGAAGTTTCATCCTGATAAAAACCCAGAGAACCCAGAGGCAGCTGATAAGTTTAAGGAAATAAACAACGCTCACTCCATCCTGGTCGACCCCACCAAGAAGAACATCTACGACAAGTACGGTTCCCTTGGCCTCTACGTGGCGGAACAGTTTGGCGAGGAGAACGTCAACACCTACTTTGTTCTGTCCAGCTGGTGGGCCAAGGTGTGTTCCATAAGGTCTTACCTGATCTGCTGTTCCACCACTAGATGTCACTCTTTTACTCCAACCCAGGGGTGTCAAATATGCGGCCCTCCGGCCGCGAGAGGGTTGTGTAAACTTTATTTTCATACTTTACAATGTAGAGTGAAAATAAACTTATCTTTGTGAGCAAGTTTTCTCTGTAATGAGTATAAATAAAACAAAGCTGCGCTCAAGGCTCACACAAGAACTTGAATCACATCCTGAAGTTGGCCGCCACTCAGGGCTGTCGTTTTATCAGACAGGAAGGATGGCTCGCTGGCAAGTGACATTCAAGTGCGTCAGGAGCTCCTGGTAGATAGTGAGCAAAGTGTTGGAGACCTCTGGTCTAAACTCGTATTAACAGACCGCTGAAACAAGAACATCAACTACGGAAAGTTTCATCTGGTTAACCGAACCTGCTTTTCCTCCCTCAGGCTTTGTTCGCCTTCTGTTGCTTGGCAACAGGTTGCTATTGCTGCTGTTGCCTGTGCTGCTGCTGTAACTGTTGCTGTGGTAAATGTAAACCTCGACCACCCATGGACCAGGACCCAGAGTTCTACGTGTCTCCTGAGGACCTGGAGGCCCAGATGACTGCAGATGAGAGAGGTGGGGTTATTCTGCTTCTGTTGCTTCAGGGAACATTCATGTAGGTTTAAACCCATTTTTGTGGATACAGGAGCAACTTGAACACGGAACACTGATTTTTTTTTAATGGATTGGTCACTGAGTTTTTCATCCAGGCTGAACATGAAAATAGTCTCCTACACCTATCTCCTGCATTAGCTTCTGATATTAAACCAACGGTGAAACTCTAGGATTAGATAAGCCTGACAGATCTACGTCACACTGTCTTAACATTCATGGACTCGCCCATCCTCACTCAAAATGGGGAAGGCTGTTTAGCATCCAGGAATAGCTAAACGTTAGCATTAGCAACTCCACCTCACAGCAGAACTCCTTAAGGCTCGTGTTATTAGGAGTCTGAAGTAGGGATGCACCGATGGATCGGCATTTGATCGTAATCGGCCGATAGCGCCCCTATCGGTTTTGATCGGAATTTTCAAAATAGATCAAAGCAAACCGATCAGGTAGGGTTGTCACGGTAACCAGTGTAGCGTAAACCCCAGTAAAAAAAAAAGTTGACAATAATAATAACCGTCTTGTTTTTTAAAAAACTATATTATCTTGGTGGGTTTACCGTGGCTGCGGTGTAGGCGCGGTGACCCTTACCAGCCACCGTATCATCGGCTGAAGTTGCCGGCGGCTCATGCGCGCATTGTTTACAACAAAACTTTCTTGAAGCTAAAGCTGAAATAATGGTCAAAGGAGGAGACGGCAGCGCTCAGGACATTTATTATCCCTCAAAGAAGACAAAGTGGGAAGTATGGGCATGTTTTGGATATCTGAAGAATGCCGAGGGAGTTTATAGAAGACGGACGTACGGCTATCCTGTTTGCAGCGCGAGCAGAAAAAGTGTCTGTGAAAGGCAGCAACGCTTCAAATCTCATGACACATCTGCGTGACCATCACCCACATCTCTGCAGTCAACGCAAGGCAAGCTAACGTTAGCGTTTTAGCTAAAATGCGTGAGCCAAGGCTTTGAGTTGAGGGAGAATGCAACGAGTCGCTCTATAAAGCAGCCGCAGCGCCGCTACCTGCATATAAACCGTGTCGCGGACACCGCCATGTTGAAATGACGCTATGCGTTACGGGGCTCCCAGGGGCAGATAAGAGTTGGTCTCTCTCCGAGAATAATTATGAATTTAACAACGATTACTGCCTGATGACATTTTCCCACATCTGCAAAGCTCACTGGAAGGACACAAACCGAGAACAATACTTTCCTGATATAGGGTTTATTACTCAAGTAAGGGTAAAAAAGTATCTGATTAGAAGGCTACTGGAGTACTGAGTATCATCTGGTCTAATATATTTAAAATGATGACATCAAACAGACATAAAATAAGAAGTTATGGACAAATATTGGTATTTTAAAGGCTAAAGGGGAAAAATGTAAACAAATAAACAACATAATTACAAAATAACTAATTTTAGGCTAAATTTAGACACAAACTGAGGACAATATTTCCTGACATACAGGGTTTATTTAGTTGTGTGAAAATGTAGCACGTTTAAAAAAATACCGCGATAATACCGAAAACCGTGGTAATTTTGGTCACAATAACCGTGAGGTTAAATTTTCACACCGTGACAGCCCTAATACAGACCATTTTAGATTAGGTTACATTTCCTTTATTCCCAGATTATGTAGTTTGTAGCACTCATTATAATGTTGTCGAAAATTTCTGGCCAATCCACGTGATCGGTATCGGTGATCGGTATCGGTGAGCAGCATTCTTTGATATCGGTATCGGTGATCGGCATTAAAAAACCTGATCGGTGCATCCCTAGTCTGAAGCTCAGCTCTGATCTGACTCACTTCTACTTCTTGAAACAGGCGAACTGGAGCTTTTGTCCTCGCAGGAAACGACTTGCCTCATTTCACACTGGAAACATCAGCCGAGCTAAAAACGGCAGGTTTGCGCAATTTGCTCGCGACTTTTACTGTGTGCTACTACACACCGGGAGAATCTCAGCTGCAGAGCGGCTTCTCGTCTGTGCTACTTGCTGGACTCATGAGATCACAAAATCCCTAGAGACTTCATCAAAGGTCACAGTTTGCTTATGCAATCCGCCATTAAACCAAAAATATATATGTCATATATGTAGTTGTTCCTCTCCACTGCCAGGACTAAAGCTGCGACAAACACACCGCTGCACTTCTGGAACTATGCAAGGAGTAAATAAGCTGTTGGGTCACACATAGTGACGTAACCTACGTAGATATAAAATGGCACGAAAAGACTAACGCACAGCAAGGAGATTAGGTTCTACTAAACAGACACTAGGGGGCGCTGAAAGCAAGCAAAACTGCTTAGTCTCCCATTAAAGATGGAGCCCAGTGGAGGGTGGGGGCTAAATATTGTTCATAGAAACATCAATAACAAATGTGTCATAGCTAGAAATACTAATGTGTGTGTGTGTGTTCCAGATGGCAGTGATCCTATCGTCATGCAGCCGTCTTCAGCAACAGAAACCACCCAGCTCACCTCTGATGCACACCACAGCTACAAGACCGACTCGTACTAGGAGCTCCCTACGCACACTAACCTTAACCCCTCCCAGCACACACACACACACACACACACACACACACACACACACACACACACACACACACACACACACACACACACCTAAAATTATCTTTTGATTTCTGTCCATGTACTTTAACCATGAAACCAGGACGGACATGTGATCCAGTTAGATGTGGAAGATCCTGATGTCTCTGTAAAGTTGTTCCTTGAGTTTGGATCCGTCCTCTCAGCACAGACCTGCCTTCACCTGCCCTATGTGTCTGTTAGCAAACCTGCTGAGTTACATTCTCTCATGTTCCATAATAGACTACATCGTTTTTTATTTTAACTAAATGAAAGTAAAGGATTAGACCAGATCTTCAACACACGTTCCTGTTATCACCAGCAAGTTTTGAGAGCCTTTTAAAGCTGCGGGCCTGCAGCCTAAATGCTGTTTAGCTGCAGTTTGGATCCATGTCGTGTCTCTATACTTCATCAGCTTCATAACAACACAAGATCCAGTCAGCTCTGCAAGAGCATGACAATAAAAATTCTAAAGGATGCCCTGGCTTCTAAGATTATATATATATATATATATATATATATATAGGTGGGGGAGTAAAGCTTTCTGAAAATATTTTTGATTAAATGCTAGAAAATTAATTTGTTTTCCCAACACTCCATTTAATGTTTACTCACTTCTCACTAGGGTCTCAGGGAGCAGCTGTCTAACTTCATTTGGCACCAGGTGAGAGGCGGGGCTAAACCTGGACAATTCTCCAGTCCATCGCAGGGACACACAGAGACAGCCACTCACATCTAGGGACGATTTACTCTCCATTTAAGGTGACATACTAGTTTTTGGTCTGCAGGAGAAACTCATGCACACATGGGGAGAACATGCCAACTCCACACGTGCTTGGGGAGAACATGCCAACTCCACGCGTGCATGGGGAGAACATGCCAACACTCCACGTGCATGGGGAGAACATGCCAACTCCACACGTGCATGGGGAGAACATGCCAACTCCACACGTGCATGGGGAGAACATGCCAACTCCACACGTGCATGGGGAGAACATGCTAACTCTCCACATGCATGGGGAGAACATGCCAACTCCACACGTGCATGGGGAGAACATGCCAACTCCACACGTGCATGGGGAGAACATGCTAACTCCACATGCATGGGGAGAACATGCCAACTCCACACGTGCATGGGGAGAACATGCTAACTCCACATGCATGGGGAGAACATGCCAACACTCCACGTGCATGGGGAGAACATGCCAACTCCACACGTGCATGGGGAGAACATGCCAACTCCACACGTGCATGGGGAGAACATGCCAACTCCACGCGTGCATGGGGAGAACATGCCAACTCCACACGTGCATGGGGAGAACATGCCAACCACGACTGAACAAACAGCTGATCAGCTTATCTTCTATTCCACAACATGGACTTGGTGTCTCAGTAACATGTCCTGATTCATGATGTGTAGTTTCCTGCGTGGTGGATCTGAGGGTTTGTTGACGTGTGCTAATGTTTTTTGGTGTTTTTGCTCCATTTTGTCTTCTCTGTAGTTTGAGAGCTAAACACCATCTGTCTTCTACATGTGAAGGTGTGACTATTATGTGTGCAGAGGATCTGACTGAAGCAGTGTCTCCATAACCTGGTTTTACTTCAGTAATAAAGAACAATGACAGATATAAAACTGTACCATACTCTAGTGACCACATAATTTCAAAGGTTTAGCCCCTTTCATTGTAATTTTAGTTCTAGTTTTATTTTGAGTGAAGTTTTAATGCTGTACATGTTTTGTAAAGTCTTGTAGATTTACTGTATTTGATCAGGTCGTTCAGATGTTTTAATACTTTTTCATGAAGGGATCGTATTTATATCCAAAGTTTTATTTGTTCAGGTGGGCTGGTGATTTGTAAACAAAGTAATGTTATTGTAGCAGAATAAATTTTGTTAGGATCATTTATTATTATTATTATTATTGTAGGTTATTTTTCCATTTTGTAGTTATTTGTGTCTTTCCCACTCTCTTTCTCTCTCTCTCACACACACACACACACGTATTTCTACATATCACGAGGAAGTGCAGTAAAGAGCCATTTTCCTCTCTTACCTCCAACTAAAACATACTAAATTTTTAGGGACTCTGCTGGTTTACAGTGTTTTTCAGTTTCACGCACTAAATAAAAGTAAACAGAAGATTGAGATTTTTGCCTGATGGGGAGGAGTCAGGACACCTCCACCCAAACATCATCTATGGGTTTAGCCTACAGGTTAAAGCAGGGCTGGTGCAGTCTTTTTGGTAGATTTAATGTTTAGGGATGTGTAGAATGTTTGATGTGAATCATTTTGACAATCAAGTGACACTGACAGTTGCCATAGAAACCAGATGTTAACATGACTGTGTTTGGGTCTGAAGGAAGTTTCTGTTGTAAAATAAACTGCCAATGCTTCAGAAGGAAGTTTGTTTAATACAGAAACCTTTTCATTACCAAGGGTCTTTTTCTCCCATTAAAGCTGTGAGGAGACAGCTGCTTCTCTCGCTGCTGTGAGGCTCAGAGGGGGAAGGAGAAATGAAGGATATTTCTCCACGTCCTTCACCAGAGGAGAGGGATAGGAGGAAGGACTTTTGGAGGCCAGCAGCCCTCAGCTGCTCTTGTATCCATCGACATTAATATATGGACAATGGGTTTCCATAAACTCCAATAAGTTTTTGAGCTAAAATGGGAGGTGGCCACCACCGCCATGTTGACCGTGTCACAGGTTCCGTCAAGCCCAGACAATTCCATAAAAGGGAAGAGAGGTGGAGCTAGCTAAGGGTGGGGCTGTAAAGCTGGGATCAACTGACGACACCCGGTCGAACTAGCTACAAGCTAACCTGAAGTTAACCCAAAGCTAATGCGGGGGTGGGAGCTAAGCTAACGGAGGTAGCAACCTAGCTACAACCGGAGTGAACTGTGCACAACACCAGAGCTTCTAAGTCAGAGATACGCCGGGCTGACCGCTGGGGAGAACCGGGTGGAACACAGAGGTCTCAGAGAGCTCCACAAGCCGGCAGCCGCACAGCAGACAAGCGCCGCTGCGATCTGAGATGTGCAGAGCTGCAGCTGGGGAGAACCGGGTGGAAAGGTTTCCATCCCAGAGCTCCACAAGCCGTCAGCCCGTGCAGCAGACAGAAGCCGCGATCAGACAGAGATGCGCCGAGCTGCGGGGAGGCGAGAACGGGTGGAAAACATCGGTCTCCTGAGAGCTCCACAAGCCGATAGTGGGAACCCAGCTCCACCAACATGTTATATTTCAACCCATTTTCTAAAGTGCAGCATTATGTTAAATGCACTGGGTTTTACCCTATTACATTTACATTTCATGGTTAAACAGTACATGTTAAAATCTAAGCTCAGCTCGGCAGTGACCTAAAATACATAAATATAATTTTACTTACCGAAAAAATGAAGTGGAGACTCCTTGGACGCTCTATTAGTGCAATTAATGCCACAGCAAGTCATTTTGTCCAACAATTGCACAAATAATATCCAAAACAAGAATACACACACACAGAGACTCAAAATCCCGGAGCAGTTTCCAGGCCAGACCGAGGCTCTACTGAGGCCTTTCCACGGAGCTAGCTCTGTGGTCACGTGGGTCTGATGCTCATTAATTATACAGAATTTTAGGCTTTTAATACACTTAAACAGAAGAGTGAGAAAACATTCACCCCCCTCAGAGTTGTCATGAGTGTAAACTAGATCATTTAAACCTAAAACATGTTCTGGTACCAGGCTGTAAACATGTTTATTTCTGCTGTGAAATTGGTATTTTTAACATGGGAGTCAATGAGGATTTGCTCGCTTCTGACACCAGCCCCTAGTGGATGAGGGTGGAACTGCAATTTTTGGTACTTCCGGGTTGGGACCAATTTTAGAGCCGTAATGTGGGGGCTTGATCGTATCGCTGGAGGCGTGGCTGAGACTATGCTGCAGAGCAGCCACATCACATATTGGCTAATGGACTGCACCTTAGCATGGCTAAATATTATTCTGCCTGGCAATGCGCCATTGACAGCTCTTAGTTGTGGGGCAGGTTCTATCGTTGTCTTTCAAACGACCTCCACTTGCTGCTGGACAATGAACAACGTGACGTACCCACCACAATGGATCTCTGTAAACGAGGCGGTCCGCTGTTGAAGGTAAAAATGCATCCTTGTTCTAAATAAAGGACTCAAATACATCTATCTGCCACTGATTCTCATAAAGCCCAAGTCCAAATAGTTAAAATTGATGTAAAAGCTGTTTCAAACAAACCCGCCATCTCGTTCCACTCCACCGCATCATCCCACCCACCAAACGAACCAAATAATAGAGTGCCTTGATTGGCCCACAATAGGGAGCTGTGATTGGCTGGCCAGAATCCTGCTAGGGGCTGCAGATATTCCAAATGAATGAGGGGCTAACTCATTTCAGGCCACGCTTGATTCTGACTTGCTCTTGATTTTTACATTTCTGCCTCTGTTACCATTAACAGTGTACTTACAATACCTGCTATGTGGCCAACATATCCCATCCTTCCTACTTCATCCATGTGCTCTCTGGCAAACTTCAGACGGGCCTGGACATGCACTGGCTTCAGCAGCGGAACACGTCTGGCACTGCAGGATTTGATTCCCTGCCGTTGTAGTGTGTTACTGATGGTGACCTTTGTTACTGTGGTCCCAGCTCTCTGCAGGTCATTCACCAGGTCCCCCCGTGTGGTTCTGGGATTCTTGCTCACCGTTCTCATGATCATTCTGACCCCACGGGATGAGATCTTACATGGAGCCCCAGATCGAGGGAGATTATCAGTGGTCTTGTATGTCTTCCATTTTCTGATAATTGCTCCCACAGTTGATTTTTTCACACCAAACTGCTTGCCTATTGTAGATTCACTCTTCCCAGTCTGGTGCAGGTCTACAATTCTTTTCCTGGTGTCCTTCGAAAGCTCTTTGGTCTTGGCCATAGTGGAGTTTGGAGTCTGACTGTTTGAGGCTGTGGACAGGTGTCTTTTATACAGATAATGAGTTCAAACAGGTGCCATTAATACAGGTAACGAGTGGAGGACAGAAAAGCTTCTTAAAGAAGACGTTACAGGTCTGTGAGAGCCAGAGATTTTCCTTGTTTGAAGTGACCAAATACTTATTTTCCACCCTGATTTACAAATAAATTCTTTAAAAATCCTGCCATGTGAATTCATGGATTTTTTTTCACATTCTGTCTCTCACAGTTGAAGTGTACCTATGATGTAAATTACTGACCTCTGTCATCATTTTAAGTGGGAGAACTTGCACAATCGGTGGCTAACTAAATACTTTTTTGCTCCACTGTACTTGTACCTTTGTTATTATTTTTCTTCAAATTATTCTCCTAAATGTTGGTGCTGCTGTAACAAGTGAATTTCTCCACTGTGGGATCAATAGTCTATTCTATTCTATTCTATTATCAGCCTCAGTTTAGAGACACACATTAGTTCTGAACGGACTGAGGTGCTAAAGGCTAGTTCCTTTAATGTAGGACCTGAGAACCACTCAAATGTCCTGGTGAGAGTGTTAAGGTCAGTGAGATGGGCTGGGTCTTATTCTGTCCACATAGCAGCTGTCCCCGCATATGGTGTGTTTCAGGATGGGTTTAGAGGCAGAAACCTGATGCCCCTACACACACACACACACACACACACACACACACACACACTCATATCAAGCCCCTCTGCCCACAGAGCCGTTCTGCATACAGAAGAGGCAGTTTCTCTGTTGGATTAAAGAGGAGCTGGTTGGGTTTTAGTGCTGCAGGTCTGGTTCACAAACCGGCCTCGAGGTGGGACGTGTTTAACTTTTGACTGACTCACTGGAGCTGAACGGTAACCAGAAGTAAGCTTTACTCAGAGGGGACAGCTGGTTATTTGCAGCCTCTGTGAATTCCTCAGATCCACCGGGAACTCCTTCAGGTCCAACAGCAGGTAAATCACAGCATTTGAAATCCATTCGGGCACCAATCCGGTCCAACTTTCCCCTGAGTCCAACTAAAGAGTCACTTTGAAATATTAGTAGCAACAGCTGTTGGTTTTCTTCAATTCTGACTGAATCGGGCTCCTGTGTGGGAGCGCACTGGGATTAAAGCAGGATGGATCACTAAGTTGTTCAGTAGTTTGAAACAATGGGAGTCCTCTCTGCAGGAACTCACATATATGAGCAGGAGTAACCGAAGCAATGTGTTAAAGATCATTTAGTTGAGAGACTCATCACTGTTCTTATCCATTACACGCAGCTGTGTAAACAACAGCAAAGTTAATCTACTGAAGTAACATTACAACATCACTTTTGCACTAATATGATCATACTTGCACAAACAAGGTGATAAAGGTCACACCAAAGCATGAACAGGTGAGTTTATAGGAGACCACTGAGTCCACTGATCTCAGGCTCAGGGGGAGAGAGGTCCAGAGTCTGGGGGCCACAGCAGCAGATGATCTGTCACCTTTGACCTTTAGCCTGGTGCTGCACAACCAGTAGGCTGTGGTGACTGGACCCCAGGGACCTGCTGGGGGTGTAGGGACTAAGAAGATCACCAATGTAAGATGGTGCTTGTCCATGTAAGGCCCTATAGACCAGAACCAGGATCTTGAAATGAACCCTGAAGTTGACTGGCAGCCAGTGAAGCTGGAGGAGAAGCGGGGTGATGTGGGTGTGTTTGGAGGACTTGGTCAGAAGCCGAGCACAGGCGTTCTGAACCACCTGTAGACGGTTCAGGGAGGTTCTGCTCAGACACGTGAAAAGAGAGTTACAGTAGTCTAAGCGTGAGGAGATGAAGGTGTGGAGAACTGTCTCAAGTTCAGAGCGGGACAGAATGGGACCCAGCTTAGCAACGTTCCTGAGATGGAAGAAGGAAGAGCCAACAAGAGAACTGACATAAGAATCCAGGGTGAGAGCTGGGTCAAAGGTCACACAAACAGCTTGTCTGGGGCACAGATGAGGATCTCAATCTTATCTTCATTCAGCTGTAGAAAGCTCCCACCATCCAGGTTTTAATAGTCTAAGCAGGTGTGTAACAGCTGCAGCTTAGACATCTCATGGGGCTTAAAGGAGATGTACAGTTGGATGTCATCTGCATAAAGATGGTAGGAGATTCCTTTGAAGGAGCTCAGCATGTGCTGAAGAGTGAGCAGATAGAGGGCCCAGTGCAGAACCTTGTGGGACACCACGGATGAGGGAGGTAGAGAAGGACCAAATCTTGGTGACAGCCATAGAGAAGGAACTCTCAGACAGATAAGAGGGGACCCACTCCCGTTCAGTTCAGTTAGTCTATCATCCGTCTTGGGGAAATTTAGCACAACAGCAGTCAGGATGAATGAACACCACAGCACAATTCACACATTCAACATCAACCCCATTATACCCTTCGTAAAGTTAATGTACCTGAAATAAAAGATTCCATAAAATAAAAACAGTAAACAGAAAAGGCCGTATATGAATGGTTAAGGACAGTCAAATATAACAGAGAAATACTGCAGATTTATAGCTTTTATAGCCATAGGTACAAATTAATGTTTGTACATATTGCTTCTAATAGAATGCAATAAGAATGAATGGGGACAAGCTCATCTAACAGAGGATGGTTCCTGCTGTTTAGAAGAATGCTTTCCTTGCTGGCTACTTGTCTGTGCCAGATTTCTATCAGGATGCACTGTTTAGACCCAATTATTTTAATGGATATTTATTGTTGACTATCTCTGCCAGGTGAGACTTTTAATAAAGCAAAAGTTTTAAACTGATTCAATAAAATATCTGTAGAATCAAATCCTCAGGGTTCTATCCACACCAAAACGTTTCAGCCTGTGTAAGAAACCGAGTCTCTGCAAACACATCCCACAGATGTCCGACATGTGCTGGTCAAAGTTGAGTTTACTGTCAATGATCGTACCCAGATACTTGTAACTATTTACTCTTTCAATACTGGATTATTAGTGGGTTAGAGCAGTCATGGGTACTCCTAGAATCTAACGCCATGGCTTCGGTTTTGTTCTATGTTCAGTTTAAGGTGATGCTCCTCACACCATTCAACAAAATAGTCAATTACAGGGCCATGCTGTGCTTCTTCTTCCATCAGCAAACGGACCACAACTGTATCATCAGCAAATTTAATACGATTCCTATTATTAAATGTGCTTATGCAGTCCTTTGTCTATGAGATGTAAAGGAATAGTGATAGTACACAGCCTTGTGGGGACCTTATAGATTATACTATTTCTCTGATAAGACCCCATTTGCTCCGACTGTGTGAGGCCTACATGTTAAAAAGTCTAGATCCACTTGGCCAAACTGGGATCAAATCCTAAAGTGTGCAAGGGTTTCCGTGCCAATATGTGTGGGTGGATCGTGTTAAAAGCTAATGAAAATCAATAAAAGCAAACCTAGCATGCGCTCTTTCCTTCCAGGTGTTTGAGTAGCAGGTTTAGCAGACACTGTAGCATCCTCAACCTCCTTGCACTCCTGATCTGCAAACTTCAGAGTGTCGATCCTATCACAAACCCTTTCAGCTATCATAGACCAAACCTGTCTCTCAAAACATTTCATAACAACTGGTGTTAAAGCAATCCGTCAGGTCAGTCATTTTTAGGGCTGAAACAGATCTTCAAATGGTTCGATTCATTTGATTTGAAGCTTCGTTGAGCGTGCGCACCATAGTCTGAACACAGTTTACTGGCGCACAGTGTGGTTTATCTAGGTGCTGTGGAGGAAACGGAGAAACTAACAAAGACACAAATCCTTGTAAAAAGGCAGAAACGGTTCTGGGTTTGGGATCACGAATGAAAAGCAGATTTACTAGTGCTAAGCTAGTGTGTAGCACGCTCACAATCAAGTGGGGTTCAGAAAAACATGATGGTTGTGAAAAACTGAACTCTACAAGCAGAAGAAAAATCCCCACCATCTTCATTTTATATAAACTCCTTCTCAACCTTCAAGTCTAAACTCAAAACTCACACGTTCCGCCTGGCTTACTCACTAACTGTCCTCCTTCCATCTACTCTTTTTAGTCTATTATCCATCGCACTGCTCCGACTCTACCTTTGGGAATTACTTTTAGCATTTATTTCTTGTTGTTTGTATTGCTTGCTCGTTATATTTTGTCCTGTACAGTGACCTTGAGAGCTTTGAAAGGCGCTTGAAATAAAATGTATTATTATTATTATTATTTTACTTGCAGTTATTCACTAGAGAAGAAAACATAACTTTCAAAAACCCATAAAACTCATTAAAGCAGGAGAAAATGTTGTTCCTGTTTTCAGTGGCGGCTGGTGAAAAATATTTTGGTGGGCAGGGTCCGAAATTAACACTCGCCACTCACCAAATGCGAGCAAATTGCTCCATTTGGCGAGTAAATTTTTGAGCTCTACCTGCCACCTGGCGAGTAAATGTTTGCACCAAATTAGTTATGTTTATCAGTCATCTTCCACGGATGTCTGATACTCCTCCCACCTGCATGCAACGTACACAAGCGTACGCGAAACGTGAACACCGCATCCAACGTCATTTCCACCTATCCCATTCAATCGGTTTATCAAGTTAGCGGTTAGCTTCATGTTAAAACTAGCTGTGAAATGTGGCGGTTTTTAACTGGAGTCAGCCAGCCTTCCAAAAGAAAACTCGTTGAACTGGAAGAAAAACCACCAGGACCAGTGGCAACCCGAAGATTTTGTGAAAAGTGGCGAACCGGAGACGGCGGTGTCGTGAGACAACGGCTACATTATGATGGCCACGTAGCGTTGCTGCCTTTCACAGACAACTGTCCCTCAGCATTCTTCAAATATCCACAAAATGCCCGTACTTCCCACTTTGTCTTCTTTGAGGGATAATAAATGTCCTCCTGAGTGCTGCCGTCTCCTCCTGCCATTATTTCAGCTTTAGCTTAAAGAAAGTTTTGGTCGTAAACAACAAAGCGTGCATGTGCCGCCGGCAACTTCCAGCAGATGATACGGTGGCTGGTAAGGGTCACCGCGCCTACACCGCAGCCACGGTAATCCACCGAGATAATATATATATATTTTAAAAACAAGACGGTTATTATTATTATTGTCAACTTTTTTACCGGGGTTTACTGCTACACCGGTTACCGTGACAACCCTAGCCCTGACACTTTCAGATATTCTCATGGTGCAGCTGTGTTCTCCAGAGATCAAGGACTAGGACCCAAATGAGGCTGTAATGCTTTGGCACAAAGACGGTGTCAGAAGCAGGAGGCCAGACTTCATGGACAGAGAAAACAAGGAGTCTGACTAGATTTCAATGAAAGAGTTCATAAAAACATCTCTAAAAATAAATAAATAGTAAAAATGACAAAAGAGTTGTTTTCCTTATTAACTGATGTTTTAATTATTTTGTCACTCTGTTTGGAATCAACATAATATAGAATTACATGCTTTAGGTAGATCTAAATCATTTAGAAATTTGGCTGGTAGATTTTCATCATCTACCAGCCAACTTGGCCGGTGAGTAAAAATTTTAATTTCGGACCCTGTTGGTGGGGCTGTGCTATTTTTTATTTTTAAACAAACTTGTGCTTTCTGAGCTTTGTGCACAACTTCACTATTTCCTGAATCAAGCACAGCTCTTTTATTTCCTGTCTTACATCATTGGACAAACTGATTAATCCAGGTGTGTCTGACTATTGGCACGCTGCCTTGCAGACCAAGGTTGAAAAATACTGCATTAAATTGCACATAAAATAACATGACCATATATGGTAAATAGGCAATGCAAGAGGCAAGTAACAAAAACATTTTGTTTAATTTCAACATTTGAGTGAACACCAAAAATTATGAGCAGGTCACTGTTACAGTAATGGTAGTAAACACCACTTAGACAAAATGCCAGAAATTTACACTGTTAAATATTTCTGGAGTGTTGTGCCAAGGTCAACTTTATACAAAGATCAAGTGTGTGTGTGTGTGTGTGTGTGTGTGTGTGTGTGTGTGTGTGTGTGTGTGTGTGTGTGATACCTCATTTGTACAGAAATGTTGCCCTTCTGTCCTTCTGAGTGGCAAAGCTCTCGATGAGTTTTATATTGAAGTCAGGAATGTTTGTGACAAGCTTTTTTCCATGGAGAGCATGGCAAGAGCATTCAGCCCATCCTGTGTCATGGTGTTCCTCAAGGAAAGTCTTAATCCTCTTTAAAGTAGATAAATAAAAAAAACAACAGATAAGTACATAGGAAACACTTTCATAGGAAATAACGTCATCAGTATCCTCTTACAAATGTCATATTTCCCAGTTTTTAGGACAATAAAACATTTCTGATTCTCAGATGTTTTTACATTTGAGGTTAAAACATCTAATTGAGAATCAGAAATGTTTAATTGTCCCAAAAGCTGGGAAATTTGTTTGCTGCAGCAGAAGTGTAACAAGTAAAATGGAATCAGATTGATGTATGTACAAATTTACATGAAATACACATTTACGTGATTGAATATGTATAATATGTATGCGTGTTGAAATTAGTTTTTACAGTTATTGCACATTAAACATGTAATTAAACAAATGTCCCGGTTTGTGGGACAACCAAGGATTTCTGATTCTGATCGTCTTGTTCACAGAAATGTAATGTACAGCTTACCTCTGCACCCAGCTGCTGTTCTCCCTGCATGGCAACGTTAGCTCTGCTGCCTAGCATGGCTAGCTTCACCATGTTGTTGTCCATGTGTGCCCGGGATGACTCGTGTTTCTTCACCTTCTCAGAAAAATGTTTCATGTCTGTAACTCCTGACTCATCCATGCCTTATCTGTCCCAGCCGTTTTGAATAACAAACACGGAAAGCAAAATAACGCATTAGCGTGATTGCATCCAGCTAGCCAAGCCTTCCTGGTGTACCAATTTCGGGAGAAGCCTAGTGTGTACAGTTTACCTCTCTCCTTCTCCTGCTGGCTTATCTTTACGTCGGGCTGATCTGGTCCAAGCTCTTTGACATTAAATTTTTCCACCATAGTTCTCCTCTGAACGGATACTGGAGATGAGACCGAACTGAATTCAGTGGCTGCTGAGATCCGGTATCCATGCTGGTTGTAGTCACCGGCAGCGTTCATGTTACATCTGCGTCAGGACCAAAAACGACTCTTCCGAGTTCTACCGAGTTCTACCGAACACCAACGAAAGCCTTTGGCGGTAGCTCCATCGCCCATCATGCTTCTGAATCAACGTCGACGCTGATTGGATACATTCCCATTCCTACCCTTTGATTTTCTTGTCAGCAATTGGTCGGCTGGTGCCGTGCAGTTTGGGTGATTCAAAAACAGCCAACAGCCTCACCGCTTGGCAGAGATCTATATATATATATATATATATATATATATATAAAACAAATTAAAAACACTGGGGAAAACTGGGAGGGCGGCGCCCTATCGCCCTCTACTGGCCTGCCGCCACTGCCTGTTTTATATCTTTTACTTCAGTTCAAACTATTCAGATTTTTGTGTTTTCATCACATTTAGCTTGAATATCTTCAGTTTTATTCATTTCATGAGAATTTTTGTGTTGCATGTTTGGAAACATAATCATAACTTATCAGTTACTTGAAAGGTTTTGTATTAAATGCCATTTAAAGAACATTAAATGCTCTTTAAATGGCATTCTGTAGTTTTTGGAAGTATTTGTTCGTTTATGACAAAAACGCTGAACACTATGAAAAACTGACATTGCTGCTTAGGTCCTGTGCAGGGCGCAGGGTCAGGGCCTGAACAGGAACAGGTTAGCTGCTCCTATGTGCTCAGAAAGTCATGTTACTGATCCATTCTAAAGAAATCGTCAAATCATTCACACAAAGAAGATTTATATTTCATTATCTGAAAGTATCTGATTAGTAAAAAACAAAAATGTTTGGTTTAGTTTGATTTTCTAATGTTACTATCTTCCTTGTACTTTTTATACTATTGATGTTTTGAATTACAGAGAAATCAACTAGTGAATAAAATACATGTTAATATAGTAAGTATACCATATTTAACATAGTAAGCATGTTCGCACATGCTGGAGGAGCAGTGGATCCATTCCGAGCCCTTCCTGGATGATCAACCCTCTCATTTTATCTCTGAAGCCCTGATCATATTGTGAGATTTTTGGCCATTGCATTATTTAGTCTGGCTTGCCAGGCTACAGGATTGTTCATGTCACTCTGTGAGAACTCCAGAAAGGTGTCACACTGTACACAATTTTTCAGTGAGTCAGACTGCACAAAGTCTCGCTCCAACAGGACATGCTGCGCCATGAGCGCACCTCCCGAAAGCATACGACCGCTAACCAAAAGACTGCTGAAGATAAAATAAAGCGCTGCTGTTAACACTTCTTTTTAGTGTCAGCTCATAACCCAGCTCCTCTTCTTCAAAGAGGAAGGATGATTTAAAAAAAACTTTGACCCTTGCCGAGACACTTGTGCCTGGTCTCAGCACCGATTCAGAAGGTGTCTGCTAGAGAAGATCTCAGCTCATGTTTATGCAACGTTGGAGAAATACAGATTGGAGAATGCTGTTTTCAGCAGCTCCATCACAGACGCTCCAGATGTTCTGACGGAGTGTTTCTGATTCTAACAGGTGATAGCAGCCATGTCTCTGTCATCAGACCTGAGCTTCCTGCAGAGAAGTCATGGAGCAGAACGAGAAGCTGAGCTCACAAAGCTGGAAAAACAGCTGATCTGTCCACTCTGTCAAGATATCTTCAACAAGCCTGTGGTCATCCTGCCATGCCAACACAACCTCTGCAGGAAGTGTGCTAACGAGCTGTACCAGGTGCACTCAGTTCACACCAGAACGGTTCACACATACAGACCTGTGTGTGTGTGTGTGTGTGTGTGTGTGTGTGTGTGTGTGTGTGTGTGTGTGTGTGTGTGTGTGTGTGTGTGTGTGTGGTAATCCAGTATTGTAACACAGTCACACATTTTAACAAGGATATACTGTTTATACATAAAACCAAGACTTAATGAAATGTCTAAACTTATTTGTTTGAATTTGATTTGTAAACTTTAGCCTTTAAAACCTCTACTCCAGCATCTCAGCGTGGATGAGAACCAGAAACGTAATGCAGCCGCCGGGCTGGTTCCTTCTTACAGATGGATGTAGGCTGGGTAACCTCTGAGAGAGAAACGTAGTCAGGACTCTACTTACTGTCAGCTCTTAACAGGCAAACTAAGTTAGAATTCAATTCAAGTTTATTTATAAAGCGCCAAATCTCGACGAGTCATCTCAAGGACCTTCACACAGTAAACACTCTAATACAGGTCAGGTCATTAAGCCAATCAGTAACAAGTTTCCTATATAAGGAACCCAGCAGGCTGCATCGAATCACTGACTAGTGTCAGAGTCTTTACAGCAATCCTCATACTAAGCAAGCATGCAGCGACAGTGGAGAGGAAAACTCCCTTTTAACAGGAAGAAACCTCCAGAGAATCCTGGTTCAGTATAAGCAGCCATCCTCCACGACTCACTGGGGATCGAGAAGACAGAGCGCGCGCACGCACGCACGCACGCACACACACACACACACACACCAAGTAGTGTTTCTATGGTTACATTGTGATTTCTTAGTAAATATTCTATTAGGTGAGAGATTAACTTTATTGTATTTATCCTAGTGAATCTATAATTAAACGGATAAACTAGTAGTAGCACATTCAACGTCAAAGAGAGTAAAATGTTATTATCAGGAGAGAGAGAATGTTTAAGTGGTTAGCAGCAGTGTGCTAGTCGATGGCCCCCTCCATGAGGCCACCACAGCTCAGCAGAACATCGTTATAGCTTCTTCTGGGGAGAAAAACACTTAGAGAGAAAATAAAGTTAACAGCTGAAATAGCAGGAAATAATACAGTTAAAGAGCAGACTGTAGAAGAAAGACCGACTGTACACTCCACCTCCCTCCACTCCCCCACTTGTCCCAATCTAGGCTAACATCAGATTTTAACCATAGGCCCTATCAAATAAAAATGTTTTAAGCCCATTCTTAAAAGTAGACAAAGTGTCTGCCTCACGGACTAAAGCTGGGAGCTGGTTCCACATGAGAGGAGCCTGATAACTTAAAGATCTGCCTCCCATCCTAATTTTAGATATTCTGGGAACCACCAGTAAACTCTTTGTCCTGCTCTTCCTCTTCCTCCTCCTCTTTCTCTTTCTTGCCCTCCTCCTCATCCCCCACCTCGCATACGCACCTGTCTTCTCACATGAGTTCTTCTATCCATTGTCACACTTTCTCATTCCCACCTTCAACAACCTGTTTGCTCTCTGAACTTGCTTACATTGGTTGTCACATCATTTGAAACAAGTGAAATCTATTTTGACTAATTGTGTTCAACCAATGACATTTGTGCTCTTGTGGGTAAATGTGCCGCTTGTGTTTACCGTTATGGACGACACGTACATTAGAGTGCAGAATGCGTTTAGAGTTCTACTAAACCGTGTGAACGGTTTAAGGTTTTGGCAACAGGCTCAACAGTTAGCTCAATGAGTTCAAGCAACTGAGAACTTTCTTCAGTCAACGGATTTTAGTGTTTTAGCATCTGAGAGAAACTGTAAGCATGTTAACCATCCATCATGGTAGCATCTTTGTATTCTCTTTTGAATGCAGCCATCTTTGTTTCATGCTCGAACCACCATGCTGGTGAACAGCGGGCACTTCCGATGTCCATCCTGCAGACGTGAAGTGCTGCTGGATCGCCATGGGGTCTATGGCCTGCAGAGGAACCTGCTGGTAGAGAGCATCATTGATGTCTACAAACAGGAAATCAACAATGCACCAAGGTGGAGGGAGACGACACACGTTGATATGTCTACCATTAAAAAAGAAGACTAATGCATCCTCGTGTCTTCCCTTCCAGCCTACTCCCCCCTCCGCCCCTCTCCCTGCCTCATGTCACATGTTCTCACCATGAAGGAGAAAAGCTGAACATCTACTGTCTGACCTGTCAGATTCCTACATGTTCTCTCTGCAAAGTGTTTGGTACTCATGAGTCGTGCCACGTGGCTCCTCTGGCAGAGGTCTACCAGCAGCAGAAGGTGTGAATGATGAGCACATGGTCACAGAATGATCTTACAGGGTTTTCTATGCTCTGGTGTCTAAAGTCCAGGAAGGTTCCAACTTCCAGTGGAACCAAAGCCGATCAGAAGACAAGCGGATGAAGCAGGGGTGGAAATGATCAGCATCATCAACCTAAACTCCAAAGAAACTCCTAAAACCAGTTTCTTTTTGTTTTTCAGGAGGTGCTCAGTGAAGGCGTCACGTCCTTGATGGGATTCAGTGACAGAGTCCAGATGCTCATCAGTGAGCTGGAGGAGAGCTGCAGAAACATCCAGGTGTTCTTTAGGTGGTCAGTCGGGAGGAGGAACCTGCTACCTGTGCTGTCGTCAGAATGAGTTTTAGTATCACGGAGTTGTTACAGATGGCTCTGATCCAGATCACAGACTTGGTTTTGGCCTCACAGGCTGGAAGTGTGGATCCCAGCTGGGTCAGGTGTTAGCTAACCCTAACCTGACCTCTGCCGGATCCTGGAATAACATGATGTGTCTTTATTCCATAAGGGAGCTGTGCTCAAGTCAGATTTCAGACAAACCATGTCTCTGAACACGGTGAGTCAGAGCTGTTGTTGGTCTTGGGTGCTGACCTTCCTTCTGCCCTCCACAGGAGAACTATAAGACTCAGAAACAGAAGGTGTGTGACACATTTGACCACATGGTCTCCATCCTGGAGGAAAAACAGAAGGTAGGAGTTTCATTCTGTATGACTTGTAGCTACAGAGCCAACAGGAAGCAGCAGCAGCAGCACTTCCTGTGACCTTATTACACTCTGATGTGAGGTCTACCTGAGCGGATGGGCGGGGCTTGCTCACGTGTTTGTATTTGATAGTTTTGTCTATGAAGTTCCACAGGAGCACTCCCGCTGATGTAAACATCAACCGTTTCTGTTTTCAGAGCTGAGGCGTGTGAAAACTGATGAATCAGAACTCACACCTGGTGCTTCTGATAGGCTGGATGATGCTCTTTAATAAAGAGTGACATCATGACCATGCTTAGACACCAGCTCTAATGCTCTTTTTACCTGAAGGTAATGACACAAAAAATCAGCTCTGAAGAGGAACAGAAAATAGGTCAAACACAGATGTTGGTCCGTTGCTATGGCAACAGCATGGAGGCAAACGGCAAGCTAGTGGAGAGTGCATTGAGCAGCATGGTGGAGCTGGACATGGCTGCGTTTGTTCAGGTGGGTTGATGCGAGCAAGTCACATGATGTTTCTGGCTTCATGTCGCTTTCTCACTTGTCTTTGCTCAACCTTCAGGATTCAGGAGCTCTGATCACAAAGTGAGTTTTTATTTTGAAACATACAAATTTGGAAGTCATCGCTCCTCTGGTTTGTTTACCTCTTCCTGTCCTCCATCTTCCCTCTCAGAATGACAGCGGCAACCTGCTCCTGTCCATCAGAGACACCCAAACCAACCCACGAGACTTTGAGCAGATACAGTTTTGATTTCAGCAACCAAGAGCGAGCTCTGAAGAGCCTCAGCTTCATCAAAGGCGAGTAAAGAAACCATGGTCTTGTTCTAGTTCATCCGTTTGTCTATCCAGCATCAGTCCAGAGTCCTCCCACAGCTGGAAGCAGCAGCTAGTCTACCTGTCCCTAGTCTTAACGGACAGGTAGACTAGCATCACTTTCATTACTGACACCGCTCAGTGTGAACAACACCCGCATCAGAACTCCATCCTAAAGAACAAGACCAGTGATAATAAAGTCTTAGTCGTGGTTGGACTGGACTCCAAATAAACCGTCCATTTGGACCTCTGACTTCAGAGACAATCAGGCATGAGTCAGGAGCCATCAGGTCTTTCATTTGGCTGTCGCAGGTTCTGGTAGTGCCTGCTTTAACTCCACTTAAACCTGGTGAGCTGTAAAGCAGAACCCTGTAGCTGTTGGTCCCAAGGTGCGAGAGGTCCAACTAAAACCAACCCTGAACCTGTGGTACCCATGAGCATGAGTTGCAGGTTCACGCCCCATCAGTCGCAGTGCTTGTGTCCTAAACCTGGACACCCTGCTGAGGCCTGTCAGTGAGCCTCAGGGCAGCTGTGGCTAGACGTGTAGCTCCTCATCACCAGTGTGTGAGTGACCAGTAGTAAAGCACCTTGGGGGGTTACAGAACCAAGCCATTTAGAACCCATTGGTGGTATTTCTTATTTTGGTCTTTCCTTTAGTTGTGGAGAAAAATCCTGAAGATCTAGAAGTTCATTCAGACCAGGAGGAACCCAAAGAACCTTTAAAGCAGAGCACAGAACTGGACCAGCAGCAGCAGGAACCTTCAGAGCACAACCTGTTGGCTGTTCTGGAACCAGCTCCAGAGAAAATTCCAGAACAAAGATCTCCCCCTGAGGAACCAGTAGAGCTGATGGATCAGGAAGAAGCTCCAGTCCTCCTGGATCCAGCACCGGACAGAGACTCTTGGGAACTGGACACTCCAGAGCCCGTCTCAAATGAGCTAGAACCAGATCCGATTAGAGCAGAAAGGAAGGAGAGAGAGAAGACACACCAGGAGCTGGAGGCACCTCCACCTGTAGAGGAGGAAACCATCAGGGAGCAGGAGGGACTGAGCACACAGCAGGTATGGATCCTCCCGTCTCAGACTGGGGACAAAACCAGTCCATTCAATGGTGAATGCAGACACATGGAGGTTAGACATGTCCACATGTGGATATGTGTTGTCTCACAGCTTTACTTAAAGAGAACCATCAAAATCGGTAGAACTTAAGCTTAAACACCAACGTAGAGAGAGACGTCTCCATTACTATGAGCTGGAGGAGGGGCCAGGTGCACCTCGTCTTAGTCCATCAGTAAGGGAGCATGTCCTCCACACAGCTGGAGGACAGTCCTCCTCTCAGAGACGAGCTCTGACAGGGAGGACGAAATGAAAGGAAAATGATATTTTAGGAATCAAAGACGCTTCAACTCTCAAAGACGTGTTTGTCTCTGTTGTCTCTTCTCATTTCTACCCTTGTCCTCTCCTTTCCATGAACGTCTCCGCCGTCCACCCAGGCTGTTACTCTGATATTCTACTTGTTGGCCTTCCTGATCATCCTGCAGCGGGTTTGGGCTCATGTCGGCTGCTTCATCTGCACATAAGTCACCAGGAAACACACGGTCGTGCCACACACACACGCACGCACACACACACACACACACTGGAAGCCCAGCTGAAGTCTTTCCTCCACAAACATGAAGACCCAAGAGACACTTGGGATATCAGAGTGGTTTATTATGAACTTAAACTTAAAACGTTGCATCAGTCACCTTCGGCACCTCCATCTTTGTAAAACGCTGCAGTTACTCATAAACCAGGAGTTACATCATCACACAGAATAAACTCGGATCTGATGACAGAAGAGTTTCATTTCTTTATGAACAGCGTTTAGTCAGATCTGTTTTTCTGTAACTGTGCTAAAACATCAGTGGTGCATATAAACTGTAACCAAACCCTAAATACTCCAAACAAGAACCCGGCTACCACGTCTTCACATGCTCCTTCAGCTCATGTTCTGTGGAGGAATCGGTTACAGCTGGCTGCACCCATGGGAGTTGTAGTCCTGGCTCCATCGTGGGTGTTTGTGGGTCTACATCTGGTGGTAAGTCTGGAATGGTTTCAATAATTCATGAAAACAAACCCATCATTTAAACAATGTTTTTATTCGTTTCCAACAAACGTAACAGAAACGAGCTGCGTTTTCCACATCAGAGAAAGTCTTTTGTTTGGGTTTGTGGACAAAAGAGAAAGATAAAACACAAACAATAAAAATGATGAAATAATCAGCTAAAGAAGGACAACTACACCGGATCAGGAAGCATCAGGACAGGAATATGATCTCGGTAGCTACATTCATTACCAAACCTTTTCCAGGAGAACCTTTCAGAATCAGAATCAGAACAGGTTTATTGCCATTGTCAGTGAACAAACAATTCACAAACTAGGAACTTGCTTCGGTACTAACGTGCTACATATAACATGAATAATACGATTAAAAATAGAATAAAATAGAATAAAATATAAAAAAAAAAACTAGAATAAAACTTTCAGCTATAAAAATGGCAGGTAGTGGTAACATGGCCGATAATGTGACATTGTGTCGAGTACAGAAGACCAGCATGGTTGTGTGTTTATAATCTGTTCACAAGTCTAACGGCAGATGGAAAGAAGCTGTTCTTATGGCGGGAGGTTCTGGTCCGGATGGACCGTAACCTCCTGCCTGAGGGAAGCAGCTCAAAAAGTCTGTGACCCGGGTGAGAAGGGTCAGCTGCTATCCGACCTGCATGCCCCCGAGTTCTGGAGACGTACAGGTCCTGGAGAGATGGAAGGCTGCAGCCAATCACCTTCTCAGCAGAGCGCACAATGCGCTGCAGTCTATGTTTGTCCCTCACTGTGGCTCCAGCGTACCACACAGCGATGAAGGAGGTGAGGATGGACTCAATGATGGCCGTGTAAAACTGCACCATCATCTGGGCCGGCAGCTTGGCCTTTTTCAACTGCTGCAGAAAGTACATCCTCTGCTGGGCCTTTCTGATCAGGGAGCTGATGGATGGCTCCCACCTAAGGTCCTGTGTGATGGTGGTTCTGAGGAAGCGGAAGGAGTCCACAGTGGTGACGGGGGTGTCCGTCAGGACGAGGGGGAGAGATGGGGCTGTGACTTTCCTGAAGTCCACAATCATCTCCACTGTCTTCTGAGCATTGAGCTCCAGGTTGTTGCTGCTGCATCAGTACACCAGCCGTTCCACCTCCCTCCTGTAGGCGGACTCATCACCGTCAGAGATGAGCCTGATGAGGGTGGTGTCGTCCGCAAACTTTATCAGTTTAACTGAGTCATGGCTCGAGGTGCAGCAGTTTGTATACAGGGAGAAGAGCAGAGGAGAAAGTACACAGCCCTGTGGAGATCCTGTGCTTATTGTCTTATTGGTGGAAACATTCTTCCCCAGCTGCACGCACTGCCTTCTGTCCGTCAGGAAGTCAGTGATCCACCTGCAGGTTGAATTGGGTACGTTAAGCATGGAGAGCTTGTCCTGGAGCAGAGCAGGGAGGATGGTATTGAACGCAGAACTGAAGTCCACAAACAGGATCCTAGCGTAGGTTCCCGGGGAGTCCAGGTGCTGCAGGATGAAGTGGAGGGCCAGGTTGATGGCATCGTCTACAGACCTGTTGGCTCTGTATGCGAACTGCAGAGGGTCCAGGAGGGGGGAGGTGAAGGACTTGAGATGAGGGAGGACCAGGCGCTCAAAAGGCTTCATGACTACAGACGTCAGCGCCACAGGCCTGTAATCATTCAGTCCAGTGATACGGGGTTTCTTAGGGACAGGGACAATGGTGGACAGCTTAAAGCAGGCTGGAACATGGCAGGTCTCCAAGGAGATGTTAAAGATGTCCGTGAAGATTGGGCACAGTACCTCTGTGCAGTGTCTCAGGGTAGCGGGGGAGACACCGTCCGGGCCTGGGGATTTCCGTGGGTTTTGCTTACGGAAAACCCTGAGCACACCCTCTTCTGTCACTGAGAAGGCAGTGGAGGGGGAGGGGTGGTCAGCGGGGGACTGTACTATTCACAGTGGTGAAGGTGGTGGGGGAGGCATGTGACACCAGAGTGGCTGAAGAAACCTGTGCAGTAGGGGGTGTGGGGGATGGGTGTTGCACTCCGGATCGAAAGGAGCCAGTTGAGGTGGTTTGGGCATCTGGTCAGGATGCCTCCTGGACGCCTCCCCGGGGAGGTGTTTCGGGCATGTCCTGCCGGCAGAAGGCCCCCGGGTCGACCCAGGACACGTTGGAGAGGTTACATCTCCAATCTGGTCCGGGAACGCCTTGGGGTCCTGCCGGAGGAGCTGGTGGAGGTGGCTGGGGAGAGGACGGCCTGGAGCTCCCTAATTGGGATGCTGCCCCCGCGACCCGGACCCGGATAAGCGGAGGAAGACGAAGACGAAGACTTCAAACCTTGCATAAAAGGAGTTGAGTTGTTCAGCCAGTTGTAGGTCGTCAGCAGCATGTTGGGCCCTAGGCTTGTAGTTGGTGATTTGCTTTAGCCCTCTCCAGACAGAGGTGGTGTCATTGTCAGAGAACTGCTCCTTTAGACGCTTATTGTACCAGGATCTCGCTTTCTTCAACTCTTTTGAGAACTGGTACTTAGCGTCCTTATAGCTTTCTCTGTCCTTGGCTCTGTGGGCTGCTTCTTTCTCCCTCCTCAGCTGTCTCAGTCTGGGTGTGAACCAGGGCTTATCGTTGTTAAAAGTGACCCTGGTTTTTGTTGGAATAATGCTGTCCTCACAGAATTTTATGTATGACGTCACAGTGTCTGTATAGTCATCCAAGTTGTCTGTGGCAGATCCAAACACGTTCCAGTCTGTTGTGTCCAGACACATGCGAAGCTCCTCCACAGCCTCGCAGGTCCACTTCTTAGAAGCTCTCACTGCAGGTTTGGAGAGCTTCAGCATCTGCCTATATGAGGGGATGAGGTGAATCATGGCGTAGTCTGAGAAGCCGAGAGCAGCTCGCTGCACGGCTCGATAAGCTCCACTGACTGTGGTGTAGCAGTGGTCCAGCGTGTTCTGCTCTCTTGTCGGGCATTTAACAAACGGTCTGTACTTAGGTAATTCCTGGCTCGAGCATCACAGCAGAATGCTTACATTTGTGGATTAAATATTCTGAGAACATCAGCAGTGTAACATGTAACATCAAACATCTGGATAACTAAAACACCCACAACTGGAATGACTTTGATAACAGAAATTCTTCATCATGTTCGTCTCCAAACAGCATTAAAAGGTGTGCTCTCCTTACAGTTTGACCACCATCATGTAATCAGGATGAGCGGGTCCTGCAGTTACGGACTCCAACAGAAGGGAACCCACCTCATAACAATGCTGTTTGCTCCTGTTTTAGACATTTGGTATTCCAACAGATGAACCTGGGTCAGAGAATCAGACGGTAGAAGACCCAGCACCCCAGGACAGCCCAGTGGCTTGCCCAGTTTAGTTCAGACCACCTCTGAATGGTGTGGATGGCTGCATAGCCCTTCAAACAAAAACAAGGGATACAGTCTTAGATCAACATGACGCATCTTTCTGCTAATTTGTAAATAAATGGACATTTACAACATTGGGAACAAAGATGATTAACTTTGAAACAGGTCCTGCATTTAGTTAAATATGTCAAATCTAGAAATATTTGTAACATCTGTTGGGTTGTAATCTCAAGTTCAACCTTTTGTCTGCTGTCATTTTGGTGTTTAAATATTGACTGATATCTGAGAATTGGGTCGAGCCTGGACGAGTTACTGAGAGGGGCTAGAGTGGCTCCAGGTAAGAGGTGTAGGGCGGGGGTGGGCTTCTGTATACTGGTGTACACCCTGCACCTACGAGTAGGGGAGTGGGTTATGACTGTTCTTCAGTTCATTATTTCAATTAGTTAAACGTTTCCTACTTAAGAAAACCCAGCAGGTTGCATCGAGTCACTGACTAGTGTCAGAGTCTTTACAGCAATCCTCACACTAAGCAAGCATGCAGTGACAGTGGAGCGGAAAACTCCCTTTTAACAGGAAAAAATCTCCAGAGGATCCTGGCTCTCTGGGGATTGAGAAAACAGAGCAGACGCACACACACACACACACACACACACACACCAACAACCACGCACACACCAACAACCACACACCCACACATCCCCCAACACTCCAACCCACCCACACACCCACACCCACACCCACACACACACACACACACACACACACACACACAACCCCCAACACTCCAACCCACCCACACACACACTTGTACACACACACACAAAATACAAGTTGACGGTTTGGATGAAGCTAATATTTTTGACAACTGAAAGCTCAACTGGATCAAAATGGTTCAAACACAGATGAGGTTCTACAGTTACCTCTGATGCTGCCTAACTTACTGAGGAAGAAGAAATCGCATTAGCTAATGATTTTGTCCATCCATCCATTCTCATCCGCATATCCGGAGTCGGGTCGCGGGGCAGTAGCCTAAAGCCGGGCGTACACTGTGCGACTTTTTCACCTTTTTGAGCCGATTTTCCACTCGTGCGAGAATCCACAAGATCGGGGCGAGTTTTGCGCTGAGCGTCGTGTAGTGTACAGGGGGTTACGAGAAGCGATTAACACTACGTGTCCAGCAATCGAGAGCTCGCACGGACTTCTGGAGTTTTTGATATTTTGCTCGTTCCTAGTGAGGGTTGAAGCGGTGCAGCGAGCGGCTGCGACCCAAAAAGTACCAGAACCACTCGCGGCGCATGTGCAATCATGCATCAACAACGCTTGCCTGCTATTTCCCTAATAACGCATGTTGTTCGTTTTTACTTCTGCACATCTTTTACACACAGTGACAAGGATTGTCAAGAAAGCGTGTTTGTCGTGTTCATGTCAAATTAAACTGATCAAAAAACACAGATTTACTTTCTTTATTTCGTTTTCCGCATCCAACCCCCATAAATCCCTGTGTGTCCTCCTGCAGCACTCCCGAAGGACAAACGGCAAGACAAAAAAGTCTGACGTGTTGTGTAAAAACTGCTATTTTAGCATATATTTTAGGTCCGACCTGTTGCTACCAGACGTACAGTGTGAGCAGTCAGGTCGCGTCCGAGAACTGGGTCGTACAGTGTGAGCACATGACTCGTGAGATCTGCTCTGCGAGGAAGTCGTACAGTTTGAGCTGAAGCTGAGTGCTACGTGTGAAAAAGTTGCACAGTGTCCGCCCAGCTTAAGGCAAGAGGCCCAGACTTCCCTCTCCCCAGCCACTTGGGCCAGCTCCTCCGCGGAAATCCCAAGGTGTTCCCTGGCCAGGTGAGAGACAAAGTCCCTCCACCGTGTCCTGGGTCTACCTTTAGGTCTCCTCCCGGTTGGACGTGCCGGAAAACCTCACCAGGGAGGCATCCAGACCAGATGCCCGAGCCACCTCAACTGGCTCCTCTCGATGTGGAAGTGCAGCGGGTCTACTCCGAGCCCCTCCCGAATGACCCGAGCTTCTCACCCTATCTCTAAGGGAGAGCCCAGCTACTCTTCGGAGAAAAATCTTTTCGGTCGCTTGTATCCGCGATCTCGTTCTTTCGGTCACTACCCAAAGCTCATGACCATAGGTGAGGGTAGGAACGTAGATCGACCGGTAAATCGAGAGCTTTGCCTTCTGACTCAGCTCTCTCTTCACCACGACAGACCTGTACAACGCCCGCATCACTGCAGATGCAGCATCAATCCCCCTACCGATCTCACACTCCAGTTTTCCCTCACTCGTGAACAAGACCCCGAGATACTTAAACTCCTCCACTTGGGGCAGGACCTCATCCCTGACCCGGAGAAGGCATTCTACCCTTTTCCGAATCAAGACCATGGTCTCAGGTTTAGAGGAGCTGATTCTCATCCCAGCTGCTTCACACTCGGCTGTGAACTGCTCCAGCGAAAGCTGAAGATCACGTTCTGATGAAGCCAACAGGACCACATCATCTGCAAAAAGCAGAGACCTGATCCTCAGGCCACCAAAACAGATGCCCCCCATACCTTGGCTGCGCCTGGAAATTCTGGTCATTAAGGTTATGAACAGAATCGGTGACAAAGGGCAGCCTTGGTGGAGTCCAACTCTCACTGGGAACGAGCCCGACTTTCTGCCAGCAATGCGGACCAAGCTCTGACACCGGTCATACAGGGACCTAACGGCCCGTATCAGAGGGCCTGGTACCCCATACTCCCGGAGTACCCCCCACAGGGCCCCCCGAGGGACGCGGTCAAACGCCTTCTCCAAATCCACAAAACACATGTAGACTGGTTGGGCAAATTCCCACGCACCCTCCAGTATCCCCCTAAGGGTATAGAGCTGGTCCAGTGTTCCACGGCCAGGACGAAAACACATTGCTCCTCCTGAATCTGAGGTTCAACAATCTGATGGACCCTCCTCTCCAGAACCCCTGAATAGACCTTACCTGGAAGGCTCAGGAGTGTGATCCCCCTGTAGTTGGAACACACCCTGCGGTCCCCCTTTTTAAATAAGGGGACCACCACCCCGGTCTGCCAGTCCAGTGGGACTGCCCCTGATGTCCACACGATATTGCAGAGCTGTGTCAGCCAACACAGTCCTACAGCATCCAGAGCCTTAAGGAACTCCGGGCGGATCTCATCCACCCCTGGAGCCTTGCCACAGAGGAGCTTTTAAACCACCTCAGTGACCTCAGCACCAGAGATTTGAGAGGTCAACCCAAAGTCCCCAGACTCTGCTTCCTCACTGGAAGACGTGTCGGTGGGATTGAGGAGGTCTTCGAAGTATTCTGCCCACCGATCCACAACGTCCTGAGTAGAGGTCAGCAGCACACCGTCCCCGCTATAGATAGTGTTGGTAGTGCACTGCTCACCCCCCACCCCCCCCACCCCCACCCCACCCCCGAATCTGCCAGGCTTAACTCATTTTCTGGGGAAACCCTGAGTCAGTGATAATAAAAATAAAATATATTAAGAGTAAATGACCAGGTTTTAAACAGGACAAATTCAAATGTTAAAAATCCTTAGTGATGACTGTTTATATATAACCATCACTAAAATACCATACCAAGCCTAAAACTGCACAAATTCTTCAATAAATACCAACATTTACCTCTTCTGCTTCCTGTTCATCGGCTCCAGGATCAAACATGGACCCCAAGTAGGTGAGATGAAAAATGACCAGAAAGCTGAAACTCAGGTTCAGCAACTTTACCCAAATGTTCTGCAGACCAAAGAAAAATCATAATTAGCTTTTGATACCTCCCAACCCTAACCCCGATGAAGTCTCGTTTATGCTGATATGATCAGAAACAAGTCCATACTGCAAACGTTCATGACAGAGAAAGCACCATTTGTACCTCTGAGGATATAATAAAAACTATCTGGTCTTTCCCAGGGTCTTGGGCTGTTTTAACTACATCTGCTGCTCCACTTTGCTTGTGCCTTAATATCCACATGGGTGCATAACAGATTCATCTGCATCCCTGGTGAAAACAAATATTACTGAGGAGCAAATAAGTTATAAAAATGTGACTTCCTGTATTTTGTTAGTTCCATCTCTCACAGTTGATGAAAACTATTTACCTCTAATCTCTGAAACTGCAATAGCAAATTTGGGAAAGAAAATAGGTTAAAAAGTTTTTTTCATGCCTCTTAACATTGTTCTAACATAACAAAGACATAAATACAGTACAGGCCAAAGGTTTGGGCACACCTTCTCATTCAATGTGTTGTATTTATCTTCATGACCACTTACATTGGTAGATTCTCACTGAAGGCATCACAGGTGAAATAACTGAAAACATGTTTTATTTTCTATTTCCTTCAAAAAAAAAAGCCACCTTTTGCTCTGATTACTGCTTTCCACACTCTTGGCATTCTCCTGATGAGCTTCAAGAGGTCATCACCTGGAATGGTTTTCCAACAGTCTTGAAGGAGTTCCCAGGGGTGTTTAGCACTTGGCCCCTTTGTAAATGGTCATGACAATAATGGAAACACATTGAATGAGAAGGTGCGTCCAAACCATTGGCCTGTACTGTGGCAGAAAAAAAATACAGTGGTTCTTTAGCATTTGCCTAAAAACCTCCACCAATAACACGTTTCGGTCTAAAAGCAACTATTGGACCATCAAGTTGTTGGTCTCGCTGAACCTCTGCATTCCCCTGGGTCCTCCACTCATTACACACTCACGTATTCAGCAACAGAAAACCACTGGTGGGAGAGGTTCTCCACTCAATAATATCAGAGAAGGGGAAACAGCCAGCTGCTACCACTTCAACTTTTGGACAAACTACCAGTCCTAAAAAGAAAGACACCATCTGAAGTCACTGACAACAAAAGACGTTTAGACCTAGAAAAAGGCGACTGGTGTTTAGCGCTATCTCGTATCTTCTGGCAATGAACGTTCAGGTATCGGGGGGCGTGGCCCAGGGGTGATAGCAGACAGGAGAGATGAGAGTCCCTAACAGTTTCCCAGGATGCCCTTGAATGTCTCCAAACAGACCAGTAACTAGAACAGTGCGTACGACAAACAGGAAGTTGGTTTGGGGAAAAGAAAATAAACACTGACTCCATTGTTGCTTTATCTGTCGTGGATATTGTGAAGAGGCAGCTAGAAGACTGGTTTGTATTTTGAGCAATAAGTGAAACAGGCACCAACCAAATGAAACACCTGACTTACAGTCGAGTTACTTCACTGAACCGAATGTCTTCAAAACTTAAGTGTGGTGTAATGGAGTAATACAAGGGGTGGCCGGGGGGGGCGGAGCTAGAGCAGGGAGGAGAACCAGGGGTGAGCATGTTGGAAGCTAATAAAAGGAGTTGAACTCGGCAACAAGGTGTTCTCATTCTGCACCCTACAACAACAACATACACGACACTTAGCTGCTTTCTTTGATGTCTGACAAACGTGAGAAAGGTGGAGACAGTACCTTCTTGTGTGGATGGCTGCAGCCAGAGTTACAGGGTCTGGACTGGATGCAGGCACCCAGGATAGAAGCAAGCCTCTTCCTCAGAACTGACAACAAACAAACAAACAACTATTTTAGGACCAAAGAGCATTTGTGTTTTCTTCTGAAACCTCTGTCCTTGAAGTGGTGTGTAGAAAGAGGCAGGTGATGCAGGTCTCAGCAGCTGTGTTTCATGTTACTGGAAGCTTACGGAGAGCGTCCTGACAGTCTGCTACGGGAACATAGTTAAAGAACATCAAGATCCAGCTCAGACGGATCTAGTGCAGATGAACTGTAGAATTACTCCAATCCTTTTTGGCATCTTGTATTAATTTCAGTTCAGTTTATTTATGTAGCACTGTAGGGGAATACATTTGTTAATTATGACCAATAAGATGTGATGATTCAATATAAATATGAAATGTCAACCTGATTGATCTTTGAAGTTTAATCAGAAGATTATAGTTACTTTTACATGTTCAGGGACCATAAACACACTCGTATTAATTCAGACAGGGTCAGTATTTAGTTAAAGGAATGTTATTCTGTTTCCTAAACTAATGGTTTATACATGACAAGATATGAATAATAAGATGTGATGTAGTGGATATGAGGTGATGTAATGTGATGTGTGAGGTGGTGTGGTGGAAGCTAGATGTTTAGCAGAGCCTTCTTTGTATCTGAAAGAAATTGTGAAATCTGAGTGTAAAATAATTTGTTGTCTGCTATAAACTAGAGAGTTGATAATTAAAAACGGCATCAGACGCAATCTGGACTGTGGCAGTCAGGTGGACCACGACCTCACGATACCTGGAGCCCGTAGATTAGCTCCGGTACGACCCGTCCAGTCTTGAGATGTCATCCGGGTCACAGCAGTAGCTGGAACGCTTTTTCACGTCCAGGTGGGTGTGGGCTCTTAGGGAGCCGTCTGGCTGTGTCAGCTCGCAGGGTGCAAAGAGGCTTTTTGTAGGTCAAAAAAGATGTCTCAAAGATGCTTGTCCCGAATTGGCCGGCTCAAGAATCAGCTAGAAACTGAATTGATCAGGAAGTAATTCTTGTTTTATTAAACTACCATGTTATGACTTTTGGTCGAGTTTTGGCAAATCAGAATTTGACACGTTTGGAGTTTTACCAACATCCCTCAGAAAGCCACGCCCTCCTCAGACACAAAGCACTGTTAATAAGAATGTTCAAAACTCTTATGTGAGGTTAACTTTAACCTTAATACGTATCTTATTGTGATGTGTACGAGTGTAAACAATGATTAACTTGTTAAATCAAACACATAGTGTTTTGTGAAATAAATGTATAGCTGTAAGAACAATATTAATTTCAAATTCATTGATTTAAGCACAGGTTATTCAAACATTTCATTTAAACATCTTGTTCATTCATCACCTATGATTATTTAATGTATACTTTAAAATCCTGTCGGAGCTTTCAGGAGATAGTGAGGAATTCAGCAGTCTGGCTCCTGCGTCAGACCTTGGGACAGATTATTTATGTCTGCGTTGAGAAAATATAAGTGGGCAGAGGTCGGTTTGTGCGTCTGGATCCTCCAGCTGGTGCAGCCTTGACTTTGCAGTTTCTGACGTGTATGAAAGGTTATGCTGTGTCAGTTAGGTGGTGAAAAATGGACCCCTTTGATACGAAACAGCACCAAATCACAACAGCCCTTCTTCTCAAGGCGCTTTACAAATTAAACATTCCAACTGAACCTACTTATCAGTGTTCAGTTCACTATTCTATAATTCATTGGGTCATCTGGATCCAGAGAAGGCTTCTTAAGTGAGGGTTTGATTACAGCAACCTTAAAATCTTGTGGTACATATCCATTTACTAAGGATAGATTGATTATATCTAGAATGGGGGCAGTAACCAAAGGAAATGCATCTTTAAATAATTTGGTTGGGATTGGATCCAAAATGCAAGTTGAAGGTTTAGATGAAGCTAATATTTTTGATAACTCTGAAAGCTCAACTGGATCAAACCGGTTCAAGCACAGATGAGGTTCTACAGTTACCTCTGATGCTGCCTCACTTACTGAGGAAGAAGAAATCTCATTAAGTCATCGCTGCTGAAGGCTAAGGGGATAGATGGTTCAGATCGACAGTGCCATTGATATTGATAAAAGCGTACCAATTCCCACCCCAACTTAGGCTACTGCCCCCCATGACCTGACTTGACCCCAGATAAGGGGCTGAAAATGGATGGATGGATGATTTTATTGATTATGTTCTGCAAAATATTTTGTGTGTCCAAACATCTTTGAAGTTGATCATTTCCAAGCAGCGTTTTAGTGGACTGACTCTGCTCACCTTATATGGACTCACACTGGCTAAATAAACAATGAAAGTAAAAATAAATAAATAAATAAATGATTAGTCCTAATATTTTAAGCAGATTACAAAGATTTAAATATGTAATACTGGCAATCGTAGCTAATAAAGAAAAAATGTACTGTCGAGCTGAACCCACAGAAAACAACATGCCAGTCCGTCACTGGCCTACCGAGCAGAGATGGGGATTGTGGCATCAACAAGTCATCTCCATGGTGTGTTTTTGTTCTGCTCAGCAACTGAACCAGGTTCATTCACTGGGCTGATTGAAATCGCCTGGTTTAGTTGTTGTCGAGCTGAACAAAAACATCACATGGAGATGACTTGGTGACGCCACAATTTCCCATCTCTACTACCGACGTCCGTTACAAAACATCAGTCACCTAACACACATATCGGCTGGCCGTTACATGCATATCTATGAACAGAGCGCATGGTTTTTATGGCGGTGTTTTGTCTACAATGCAGAAGGAATGTCAAAATATCCACTCTGGTACTGGTGGAGGTTTAAGCAGTCATCTGTAACATGAAGGTCACATTCTCAACTGTAGCATGAAATCAGCCGCCCTATGCCCGCAACTCTGACAAGGTGGGCATTAGTGACCTTTTTCCCAGGAGAGGTGGATTTCATATCTGAGACTAGCTTCAGGGGGAAGAGCAGGGCCTTAAGACGCACTTAGTTTCTATTGATGCCTTTCAGGATTTTCAAAATAAGACCCAAAATTTGGAGGTGAGGCAGGAAAATGCATGAAGGCATCTAAAAGCGGGACTGGGGACATTTATCATGAGGAAATAGCAATATCCCATGGTAAAAAGCTCCATCACCTTGTTTCACTATTTATAGCATTAACAAAATAAACGTTGCCATTACTATAAATACAAGATTGACTTGACTATGTCAGTATGGAGCATTGCTGAAACCTGATGCTATTGAATGAAATCAAAAACATCTGAGATACAGCAGCTTCAAATGCAGACATAAATGATAGCATACCATGCTCGACGTACGTGATGAGTCCAAGTGACAGCAGGACGGCTCCTAGATGAAAACTCAGACCCTGAAGACCAATAGGAAGAATCAGTCAGACAATCCCTCTGAGTCTGATTAGTGATCCGTTACATGTCCCCCCCATGGCTGAGCTTGGGTTAGGCTGTAAGGAAACATCACTCATGATGCAGAGGGGATCAGACTTTACTTACATGTAGGAGGGCACTGGCTGTGTACGTCACCAAGATGGAGGGAAACGTTCCCAGTTTGACTGCATTTTTAAACACATCTGTGGAAGATGGGAGACAAGTACAGCAGCGTGGTCATCGTGATAAATGAGGCGTAACAAACACATTCCTGTAGCAGCTTACAGGTTTTCAGCCAAACAGACACCGGGATGTTCCAGGATGTCACCACCAGCACCATGGAGCGCGGCATCTCCACACTGAGAGGCTTCACCACGCTCATATCCCTGGATGTGACAGAAGCACCCATACTCTGACTTCTTATCATGCTCATAAGGTATGATAGCTATAGACTCCACAGACATTGTCGTATCACAGCAAATCAATACAGAACTCATGAGCAGAAAGTTGTTTGTTTCCCAGTTTCAATAAAAGGTAAAAAACTGATCAAAGTTACTGTAATGATGTCAAATTACTACAAGAAACAGTAGAGCTTAAACTTGCATCCACTGGCAAAAAACACACCGTATTATCTAATTTAGGGATGTTTTAATGAATGAAAGAACACATTCTTATAAGATAGGACCGCAATGATCCTAGCAGAGAAACTCTCCTGCGGCGGCTGCACCGTGCGTCTCTCGTGTCGGTGTCCCTGAGTCACGTGTCATTTACCATCTGACTTTATCCTTCTCTTCTGTGAAGCATGATCCAGCCAACATAGAGGTGGCTTCACTGAGATGGCCCACAAAGTAGTTACTGAAGTGGAAGGACACAGCATTCTCATAAGCATGGAGCCACCTGCAGTCACACACACACAACAGTTCTAAGTTACATCCTTAACCAGTAATCAGGTTACTTCCTGTAATAGACTCATTGCTAATGTTTTAGGTTGACCACTGCTAAAGCGTCTAGTCCGTTTGCTGAGACTGTGCTCCAGAAAGCAGGATGTGTGTCCTGCCTTGTTGTTCTGGCCAGGATCCCAAAGAAAAGCTTTATCACCGCCTTGTTTTCCTACAGAGTGTGATGCTTGTGTTAAGTCAGAGGCAGACTGAACACGTTGATAAACCATATTCTGGTCAATTCTGTCACTACGGCTCGGTAGGATTACTATTACACCACATTCGGCAGAAATGACTCTACCTGACGAAGGAATCCGAGTAAAGCAAAGAAGGTAAAGTACATGTGTGCTTGATTATTTCTTTATTTTAACTACGCTGTGTTGGAAATGTTATTTTGTAAAGTCAGATGATTGACCTCCCCTAGCAGTAAGAACGTCCATCTTTGGAATGAGGAACAAAGCTAAAAGTGGACCCTAGCCCTAAATGAACCCAAATCCCAGTAATCATGTGTTGGATTAGGGTTAACTTTTATGTTATGGTGTAAAAGTATTAAAAGGCATACTATGCAACTGTGTCATATTTGTAAATCATTTTCTTGTTCTTGTTCTTCTTCTCAGAGAAAAGTGTTTTTAATACAAAAAAGTCAACCTTCAAATAATTATGTTCAGTTATGCACTCAGTACTTGGTGCTGCTACTATGAGCAAGCTACCTAAGAGCTGGTACAACAACTTACTTTTGTGAGACAGAATTTCCATAAACTGGGATGAACAAAGGGAAAAGGTACGGAGCGATGCACGTTGACACCAGGAGACAAATCTGACTTTTCATGAGGCAGAGGAAGGAACTACCCAGCCACGACCAGCTCTGAGGGAGACGGAAGAAAGGAGAATTTGGTTTTGCTCAAGTCCTGAATTACAAACAGCAACAGGAATTTCACAACAGTTTCTAAGCAGACACTAATACTGGTGTGATTTTAGAAAGGTTAAAGCAAGCTTTCAAAAAAGAATAACATGTTGTACACTACACAGGAAAATGCACTGAAAAGATGTGTGTGTGTGTGTGTGTGTGTGTGTGTGTGTTGTTCTTAAACTTTTTATGGACAACCTCGGATCACACTAATCATTAAACACTCACAGAGGAATTGCACACATGGGCAAAACTACATTTATGCACAGATCAGAGTTTACAATCACACAGGTGGGTTTGAGACTTCACTCCTGACAAATTGGTGTACACGGTATGTCTCAATGTCGGGTGAGATCTGACATTTTTCTGAACTTATTTCCCTCGAAATTTGTGCTGAAATTGAAAATGTCTAGACCTCTTAGAAATAAGAGCCAACATTTACTTTTTAATATTTTAAAATAATTGGGACCTCCATGCATTTCCAAAGAAAAATCACATTTCCCTAGCCTGGCAAGCAATCCTATACGTTAATATAGAGTCTGGCCACAACACATTGACAGATCTCAGTTGTGGGAGATCTGTGGTTGTCTTTCAAACTGTCTCTGCATGCTACTGGACAACAACCAACATGACAACACTATGGATGTCAGTCACTAGGGCAGTCCGCCATTCACTATTCAAGAAGATGCAAATAAGTTATTTTTCTAAAGAAAGGATAAAGTACCTCTATCTGCTGTTGACTCAGAGAAAAGCTCGTCTAAATAGTTCAAAGTGGATGCCAAAGCCATTTCAAACGAGCCTTCACCACCTTAGTTTTGCTCAGTCCTATCATCCCACCCACCAAACCGATAAGAGTGCTGTGATTGGCCAGTCCCCAGTGTAACAGTGGCTGAAGAGGTTCCAATGGAGCGTGGCTAAACTGACATACAAAGCAAAATCGTTTCACTTTAGCAACTGGTCTAGATATCTAGGCTAAGATTTCCCAGCTTTCATCCAGGATTTAATGGTCTCATTAACTTGTTATTTTATGAAATATAAATAACACAAATTTGAAGGAGTTTTGCCATGTGGTGTAGTTGCTAATGCTAATGGTTAGCTTCTACTAGCCAAGACATGTTCTGCTCTCTTCTGGACGCTCAACCAACAGTCTTCCTCATCGTGAGCCAAGCTCGGTGAGTCCATACATGTTAGTTTACAGCGTGGCGTAGGTCTGAGTGGCTTTTCTAATCTGAGAATATCCCTGCCAATTTTCCTTCTGTGGCAAATGCAGGAGATGGGGCCAGCCTGCATGTGCAGAGTCATCAATCTTATTCTCTTCAAGTTCGTCAAGAGTCGTCTCAAGGTACTTCACAAAGTAAACATTCCAATACAGTCCAGTTCATTATGCCAATCAGTAAAAAGTGTCCCCACAGGTTGCATCGAGTCACTGACTAGTGTCAGAGTCTTTACAGCAATCCTCATACTAAGCAAGCATGCAGCGACAGTGGAGAGGAAAACTGCCTTTTAACAGGAAGAAACCTCCAGAGAATCCTGGCTCAGTATAAGCAGCCATCCTCCACGACTCACTGGGGATGGAGAGGACAGAGCACACACACACGCACGCACGCACGCACGCGCACACACACACACACACACACACACACACACACACACACACACACACGCACGCACGCACGCATGCACGCACGCACGCACGCACGCACGCACACACACACACACACACACACACACACGTCTTCATCAGAAGTGCTATATTATTATACACACACACACAACATATTTACCAAGTAGTGTTTCTATGGTTACATTGTGAGTTCTTAGTAAATTGTGTCTTTATCTCAGTGAATCTATAATCAATTAACCGGGTAAACTAGTAGTAGCACATTCAACGTCAAAGAGAGTAAAAAGTTATTATCAGGAGAGAGAGAATGTTTAAGTGGTTAGCAGCAGTGTGCTAGACGATGGCCCCCTCCATGAGGCCACCACAGCTCAGCAGAACATCGTTGTAGCTTCTTCTGGGGAGAAAAACACTTAGAGAGAAAATAAAGTTAACAGCTGAAATAGCAGGAAATAATACAGTTAAAGAGCAGATAGTAGAAGAAAGTGGTCGAGTGTGAAAAGTGGTCAGTGTGTCCTCCAGCAGTCTAAGCCTATAGCAGCATAACTACAGAGATAACTCTGGATAACCTAGCCTTTTAGATGGAGGCATATCTCAAAAAGAACAAGTATTACGGGTTTCTCAGTGAACCACACCTTTAAACAAAGGATGTAGGCACAAATATGTCCAGTCTGAAAAGAGGGTTAAAACCATTTGTGAGTAGATCTGTGCATAATTATAGTTTTGTGGAACTTCTGATTGGTCTACTGCATGAGGAGCTCCCAAAAGAATCAGGGAGATTAATTACTGTTCAAACAGTGCAAAACATCCACTGGAAGTAAAGTAAGAAGCGGGGAAGAGAAGTGCATACATCTGGACCCAATACTAGAGTGAATTGTGAACGTTCCTAAAACAGAAATCTAGCCTAGCAGCAAAATTAGTTTTGGTTTAGCTAAACAAGCTGATATGTGAAATAGACACTGTAAAACTGTGGCCATTTGGCCAACTGAGAGACTTTAGACAAGAAAACAAAGAACAAATGGATGACAAGGTAAAAATGACCAACGTGGATAACAGAATGGACAAAACCGAGAAGTGGATTCTGTGGGTCTGATTTCCTCATTATTGTTGCTCTACAGACCCCTCATCTACCCGTTCTGAGGAGAGTCTGAGGACGAGCCATTTTTGGGCACGGTTTCTTTAAATCTGGAGAAGGAGCTGCAAACTCCGCCCCCTCCACAGAGCAGACCTATTCTCCTCCCCCAGTCAAACTTTGTAGTTCTATAAAGAAATCATTATTTAGTGTAGCAGAAATGTTACATTAGCATTTTTTAAAAATAGGAGTTATCCATCAAGCTGTTTCAGGTCAGAGACACGCAGTTGTCTGTGTTCACACACTGTCACCCCCCTGCAAGCTGTCATGGCCGACGGAGGGACAACAAGCGAGCAAGCACACACGCACGCACGCACACAGATTCAATAAGCGCACACGCCGCGCAACCTCCGGCGCTGTGCCGTCAGACTGAAGGCAGAAATGAGCGCTGCCTCCTACGTGATAAAAACTTTTAAGAGGTTTAATAACATTTTTCATTCAAGGTCAAATTAAGATATTAGCTTCTATTATGGGATGACGTATTAAAGTCGGGTCCGCTCCAGCCAGTGACTCCTCATGAACCTGACTACAACTCATGTTACTGCAGCATTTGTTGTTCCAGTCCAGCAGATCGCAGATTCAGCCACACCATAAAACAGCAATAAGTCGGTCTGAGGCAAAAGTGAACCTCATGGCTATAGCTTTTCCATCTTTTCCCCTATAGACATTTGATTACGCACAAGTAGGTGATCAGTTCAGGTTTACGCAGAGCAGAAGGAAGGAGAGCGCTCTGGTCGCACAGGTTAAACGTTCCTACTTTAAGAAAACTGTTAAATTGCATTGTTTATGTTCTACCTGGGCACTCTAAATATTTATTTAAAATGAAATCAAAGGAAATTGTAATGCTATCGAATGTTTATTAATTACCATTTAAAAAATGAAAGTGATGGGGAAAAAGGTCGATCATATTTTTTTTAACCCTGTCTGTTTAGCTTGATGTCTGATATATATATATATATATATATATATATATATATATATATATATATATATATATATATAGCCATGCCCTGATGTGGGGGCTGGGGGGTGCGTCGACATGGTCGGGACTTAGAAGGGGGTGTGCGGCTAAATAAGTTTGGGAACCACTGGCTTATAGCAACACAGATAATAAACAAATGTTGGCGGGAGTGAAGCAGACAATGTTAAAACAGGATCTGCACAATGGCTGAAAGAATGTACAACAACAACGCCACAGCACAGCTTATTTGGTACGCACTGTACTGTTTGATGGTGTTACTTTGTGGCAATGATGTTATCAGAAGATCGGTCTTCCATAAGATACCAGTATCAACTCAACTGAGCTGTTTCCAAGCAGATGAAGTGGTTTCCTACCATATTATCTGGGAACTTCAGCACAAACCAGTCCACCTTCAACCAGACTAGCGCGTTTACATGTACTTTAAATAATGATGTCCGCCTATTAAGGGCAATGCTTCAGTTTTCTGAGGCACATGTAAACACACTGAATCACAAATCTAACAGTCTTATTTTTCTCTCCATAAAACACATTTTTGCTAACTGAAGTGATTTATTTCATCCACAATGACACAGATTGGCTCGTACAAAAAAGTAACTACTTCATGATTTGTTGCTAGAGGAGGTCCTAAGATCTGTTGGATCATGGGGGCTGCACAGCGTTTCCATGCAGTCTTCATTGTACATAGATAAAGAACATCATGGTGGAATCTGTTAAATGTTTTTTTTACATTACATTCTAAGTAACACTCACCAGCTTTGTACCATCTACTGCCCTCTTATAACACGAGAAGCTGATCCACGGGCCAAAGACGACAGAGCCAATGAAGAACACGTAGCCCAGGAACTCAGCCAAGGATGGAAGGCTGCTCACTGTTCTCCTGTCTAGGTCAAAGGCCAGAGAGATGGCCTTCATAGCCACCACCATCTGAGAACCTGACACACTCACACACACACACACACACACACGCGCACAAGCACACACACACACACACACACACACACACACACACACAGAGTTAATGTTTTTAGTTTTTAAAGACATTTGATTTTGTGTTTTTCTCCAAATGCTGAATGCATTTTATGGTTTATATCTACACGGTGCTTTAGTGGGCTGGTACTCATCGATAGGCAGTACAGGCACTTCTTTTTTTTATAACTGAAGTTTTTAATTGATTTTCAAAACGTTTTTGATGTACAAATAAACATAACAAAAAAATTCATAAACAAACCAAATGATAACACTCGGAAGCAAGTACTAGATATCTCATTGGTCTTACGAACCACTTTTCAACTCGTCCCAAAAACTGTTCCAGTGTCTCTGTCCCCTCTTAAGTTGATAAGGATGGCCTCATCAGAGGCTGGGTCTAGCATTGACTGAATCGATTCATTTATCCAAGGGCACACTGTGGTCTTCCAGTGCCTTAATATAATTCAGAACGCTGTCACCAGACAGACTATAGAAACTGAAAAAAATCCATTAGAGATATTCAGCATTTGAGATCGATCTCTCAATCACAGTGATGCAGGGGACTGTTCTGTTCTGGTCCTGCTGGACCTGACTGCAGCCTTTGACACTGTTGACCATCACCTGCTACTGGAGAGGCTGAGAGACTGGGTAGGCCTATCAGGAACTGCTCTGGAGTGGTTCTCCTCTTATCTTTCTGAGCGCTCTTTTTCTGTGGCCGTCTACAAGTTTAGGTCCTCCACCACCTCTCTTACCCATGGTGTCCCACAAGGCTTTGTGCTGGGGCCCCAGCTCTTCCTCCTCTATCTGCTTCCTCTTCAGCACATCCTGAGCTCCTTCAAATAAATCTCCTACCATCTTTATGCAGATGACATCCAACTGTACATCTCCTTTAAGCCCCATGAGATGTCTAAGCTGCAGCTGTTACACACCTGCTTAGACTCTATCAAAACCTGGATGGTGGGAGCTTTCTTCAGCTGAATGAAGATAAGACTGAGATCCTCATCTGTGCCCCAGACAAGCTGGTTCCCAAAGTCAGAGACACTCTTGGTCAGCTCCAAGAGGAGCTTCTATTTGCGCAAGTGGACACGTTCTCCTCCAAGGACGCACTTCTTCTATTGTCTTAGGTGCGGTCCATGTTATCAACCTATTACTATTATTGCAATATGTATATGAAAATATCTTTACATACTGGCCTATAGGACCATCTGTCTGTCGGTCTATTTAGTAAGAGTGTGTGTGTGTGAGGCATTTTCGTATTATATTATAATCATAACATAAGTTGTATTAATATTTACACCAAATTTAAGGTGTAATTTTCCATTTAAACCAAAACAAATCTCAATCAGCTTGAATGATGGATTTCTGGTCATAACAGGGTCAAGTTAGAGGTCAGCTCTACCTCTTCTTGTTACGGCTGCTTCTGTTGAGTGAAGCTTCTCAAACTGAGACTCATCAATGGCACAACACTTGAGTGGCCTAGCTATCATAAGTTCAGCTTAGCTCAAAAGTAGCATAAGATGATCCCAATGATGACTTTGCATCCAGAAAATATGGCTGGGATCGAATCCAGGGATAGGATGTTTGTGAGGATGCATACTCGCCAGTCCACCTAGGCTGGGTCCTTGCTCAACCACTAAGACTGGTTGTCAGCGGCTGTGAAGTCAGATGGTCTAGGCTTTGTCTCTACAGCAGCCTGTAGGTCCAGTCACTTAGCAACCATGAAGGAAGCTAACAGGCAAAGGAAAAGCGCTAAAGCTAGCAAAAATTAAGCCGGGATTTTATGTTTTTCTGAGCTACAGCAGCTTTACCTCCGTCCCCAGCGTTTGTTATTAAGGCTGACAGATAACCATTTCCATGTAAAGTAATTTTGTTTACTCTACAAGTTACATAGACTGGTAAAGGAGGCAGTCTGAAGTGCCCGGTCCTGGAGGAGATACCACAAACCCACGACTACTTTTAACAGGCAAGTCGTTTATGTAGGTATCTCTATTCAAAGACATACAAGAGTCACAACCATTTTACCAGTGAATCCATTAAGCACCTCATTGCATATTTCTGAATATGTCGTACAGACGTAACAGTTTTCGATTGAGCCAGCCCAGCAGTCCCTGTAGATGGACTGGAAAGTGAGAGGAAGCATCCCAAAGCTCTCTCAGCAGACCGTCCATTATGAGTTTCCACCCGTTGCCCAGAAACGTCCAGCCACGGGTCTCCGTTCCAGTAAGAGAATCATACCACAACCCAAGGAGACTGCAGAACCCGACATTTGAAACCACAGACGCTCATCCAGTGTGATAAATATGCTGCAATCTTGGCATTTTTGTACTCCGTAGACCATTTCTTGGTTTCTTAAAGACCCACTCTAATAAACTTTTTTGGATGTTTTAAAATAGTTCACAGAGGTCTTTAAACTATGATTATGCTGTGTTTAGCCAAAATTACAAAGCCTGTGCCGTTTTCTAGTACTTAGCTTCTATACAGTGGTAGTAGCTCATTAATGATTCGCCTCTGGGTTGTGGGCGGAGCCAAGGACAGGGACACTGGTAAGGCCACCGACTCACACGCAGACGACCTGGGTTCGATTCCAGGCTGGGCCAGATTTCTCTTTCTTAGGATTAATTTAAAAAGTAATGTTTGTTGTTTTAAATGGTTAAATACTATTTTTACCACAGATTCCAATTTCCTGAAAATGTCGTGATCGGACCCGATTTCCAATCACGGTATTGGAGCATACCTAATAGTCGTGTCCCCTGTATATCCTCTCATTTTCTGTTCATGTAATATGTTCTAAAACAACTGTAAATAATTAAATGAATGATCTGATGAGCCATTCATTTGTATTTGTTTTAATGAATGTATTCAAATAGCAAACCACTAGATAACAGCATTAACATGGTAATAACAGTGGAAGGCCTCTCTCCCAGGAGGACAACCAGGGTGATGCTCCTGACCCTGGGCACCTGTGGTCCTAAACAGAGAACATCAGAAATCACAGGTGATGAGAAGGCAACAGACACGTTTTCACATTTATCCTCATGAGAAGATAAATATTATATTCTTCACACAAACTATTATTGTTCTTTAAAACATTTCAACTGTATTAATTTCTTAATGTAAGCTACTTTCCGCCCCAGAGCACAAGATGAAGTCCTGTGGTCATGTGTAATTAGGTTCACGCTTCATAAAAAGGCTTATTTTCTACATTTTCCATAAAACAAATGACAAGAAGCTTAATGAACTGCCTCTGTGTAAGAAATGTGCTATATAAATAAAGCTGCCTTGCCTAATTCACTGAAGAAACACATAAGCAGGAAAAACTACAGGACCCGCCATACAAGCTCGTTTTGGGCGATTTCTGCCTAAAATGTCAACTAAAAACCCAAATATACAAATAAAAGATGCCTACGACTATTTTTAACAAACTTACGTTTAAACTTTGCTGCTCTTCTGTTTCTCCTTCCTGTTGAAAATCCAGTGGCCGGTATGCAAAGCATGCTGGGACAGCCGTAGCCTGTGAGGATACACCAGACCCATTCTCGTAACTCGGGTGGAACGAGGACGCGTTTGAGGATGCGAGGACGAGTAAACTTCAAATTCGGACAGCACTCGTCGCTTGGCTGTGACGTCATCAACCTAAAGATGCATTCTCACACGCGTCCCACCCCTGGAGCCGGACACTTCTACTGCTGAAGGAGGCAGTTCGAACGGCCTGTGCCTACCACGTTGTAAATCTAAACGGCTCTTTATGATAGTCATCTAGCAGCGGGGAGGGTACTGGCACTTCAAGCACTGGCGGTGACTATTTTAAACTTGCACAGTTAACAATGGGTCTAGCATGTGCATGTTAGTAAGAAATCTGATAAAAATGACTTATGTCCATGAGCAACTTATGAAAGAGACCAATAACTTCAAGAGTGTTTTTTGTATGGAACAAAACCACCCAGAGGGCCACAAATGGCTCTTGAGCTGCATTTTGGACATTCCTGCTTTAAGCAACGTGGGGGGGGGGGGGGGGGGGGGGGGGGGGGGGGGCATTCAAATAAAAAACCTAAAATATATAAAACTCACCCCTTATTTTATGCCAGGTAACCACATCTACTAAATGCAACTCTCTGAAATGAAGAAGCACGAAAATAATATGTTAAAAAACTTAACACTGCAATGAGAAGTCTACGCTAGCTTAGCACATAGATGTCATGCCTCTTAACAACATTCAAACGTAGTATAGCAGTAAATATAGTGGGGAGGTAAAAAAAACAACAGGTGCTTATATTGCATTTGCCTAAAAACCAATAACACCACTTGGACCAAAACCATGGATTGGACCATCTGGTGGTCGATCTCGCTGAACCACCACACTTCCCCGGGTGTCACATTTAGGAGGGTAGGACCCAAATTGCAGAACCCAGGATGACACGAGGCAGGAGTGGATTCAAAGTAAAAATCCTTTTATTTTGGGAAAAAGAACAAAAAGTAATCTGAGGCAGCGAGCCAAAGTCCAAAAAGTCCTGGGGAACAGGAACACTCAAAGCTCTTCTTAGAGCACAAAAACCTGGACACAAAAAGCTCAACAAAGAGCACGATATCAGCTACAGAAGGCTGCTGCAGACCAGGGGTCAACCCGGTCTCTCTACTTTATAGGTAGATAGTGAACTTCATTTTTTACCCAATCAGAAGGTAGATGAGCACAACAGCTGAGAGGAAGAGGCCTTTGCTGCTGGAGTGTCTGCAGAGCAGGAGGATGAAATAACAGAGGAGGCTGAGCAGAGCCACCCACAGGATGTGCAGCTCAAAGAACACGAAGAGCCCGTACATCCCGACCAGTGTCGACACCACGTGCTTCACCACCGGCACGAAGCCTGAAACCAGAAACAAATGACAGCTCCACATTGAGTCAGCTGAACTAAGCTGGATGGGAAAGATTGTAAAACAACGCACACTGGTGTGTGGTGTAACAAGGAACCACAGACATCTACTGAGACGTCTCTGGTTCCAGCCCACATGACAGTTTCCTGATGCTCACCAACACTGAAGCAAAGTCTGCAGGTGAGGCAGAGGAGCAGCAGCACCCACACCTGTTGGAGGCTCTGCTGTAGAGTGGTGAGACCACAGCTCTCAGCCAGCTGCTGCCACACCGCCAGCTTGCTGGTCAGCTCCATCCTACACACACACACGGAGACAGACACACACACACACACACACACACACACGGAGACAGACAGACAGACACACACACACACACACACACACACACACACACACACACACACACACACACACACACACACACACACACACACACACACACACACACACACACTACTTCAGAAGTGAGACCCAGCTGCTACAGCTAACCCACTCGGGTATCTGAGCTACGTGTGCTAGACCCTCACGCGCTCATCACTAATGAATGGGTTATTAGACCGAACTAAAGACTTTCTGCATCGTGTGTCTTCAGTATAAAACACAGAAACAGTTAAATCAGCGCTTTCCTTTCTTCACTCGGAACCATAACTGCTACAGACCGAACCGGGCCCGTCTGCTGACGCCAGTTTGATAAACTCTGCTTGTTGGAAGCCAGCAGGCTGCTCTTAAACTACCAAATCTGATTGTTTAGAAACTTTAAACACGAACCTGCAGATCGCCCCTCCTCCTCCTTCTTCTTCTCCTCCTCCCGCCTTCCAGCTGATGGTGAGGGAGTCGCCATACCGCCCCCTGCTGGACCGAAAGTTACAACCGGAAACAGAAAACCTTATTTATATACATCCATCCATCATCTGAACCCGCTTGTCCATGTAGGGTCGATCAAAAATATGTTAAATCAAATAAAAATTGTGATAAAATAAGTAACACAAGGAAAGGGAGAGAGAACATGAATAGGCTGGAAAAGTAGAAAGAGAAGACGAGGAAAAGGTGGTGAAAGGTCTCAAGTTCAGAGTCACATGTACAAAAAATATAGAATAATTATAACATGCATGTAAATATCTAATGTGGGACTGCAACACTAATTATAACCTAATATATTTTTTAAGAAAACATCATTTTATAAACAAAGGAAAGTTCCGTTATTGATGAAAATGTTTACAACAATCAGGAACACACCCAATATGGAATGAATGTTGCCGTTAATATGAGCAGAAGTCACTCACCTGAACAAGCAGGTGCAGCAGATAGTGGCAGGAGGAGCAGATGTCTCCTCTGGTGGCTCTAGGTCCATAAACATAATGAGAAAACCAGAGGAAATATATTAACTCAGTGTCATGGCACAAAACAATGTTATTTTCACACAAGTCTGACTATTCTAATCATTACAAGTGTTTAGCGACACGATAGAGAAGCTGAGGAGAACGGCTGCTCCTGGACAGAAGATCCTGCTGCAGGGTGCCCCACGTTCTTTAGGAGTGAGTCTAAAACGATGTAACAAACATGTTCACTAATGTTCAAATCAGCTTTGGTTCTCACATTTAATTATTAAAATGGTAAATGGCCTGTATTTGATATAGCGCCTTCTAGAGTCCTGGAACCCCCCAAGGCGCTTTACAACACAATCAGTCATTCACCCATTCATGCTGGTGGGGATGAGCTACGATGTAGCCACAGCTGCCCTGGGGCACACTGACAGAGGCGAGACTGCTGAGCACTGGCGCCACCGGTCCCCCCGACCACCACCAGCAGGCAACGTGGGTTAAGTGTCTTGCCCAAGGACACAACGACAGCAACAGACTGAGCGGGGCTCGAACCTGCAACCTTCCGATTATGGGGCGAGCTCTTAACTCCTGTGCCACTGTCGCTTCTAAACATTTCGATTTGGGCTTTTTCGCTTCATGTTATTTATAAATTCCTGTCAGCTCACAGCTCTGTGTGCAGACCTCTGTAGAAACACAAACACAACTGTAGTACACTATTATGTAAGCGTGTGACCGCTCATCACTGTCACTGTACTTGGGGCCTCTTTTGCTTTTAATGAAATAAACAAACTTTTGCACCATCTTGTAATTTTCTGAGTTTCACCTGAGCTGACCTCAGTGCAGGTGCGGATATCAGCATGCGGACTCACCAGTGGTGCAACAGCTGAACAAGATGCATGATTATACTTCTCAGGTGTCCAACATTTCTCTATTAAAAATCCATGTTTTATTGATTTCATGTAATATTCTAATTGACGGAGAGTTTGAATTTGGGGTTTTCATCAGCTGTAAACCAAAATCATCACAATTATGAGAAATCAAGTCTGAAGAGTGCTGAAGATAGTTCTACCTTCTTCTCAGTCTCCTGCAGGCTGACCAGCAGCTCTTTATGTGTGGTAGGAGAACGTGTTTCATCCAGACAGCACGACCATGAACCAGCTGCTGGCCCAATCTCAATGCTCGCCCTGCGGTCTTCAGCAAAGTGCGCTTGGAGAAAGTGCGCAGAAGGGTTTGAGTGAGTACTACACAAGTACTACACAAGTACTATACAAGTGTGCAAATAATAGCAGAACTGAGAATGGGAGCATTGCGTCATCGATCGCAACACATGCCGGGACGCTGGTCGCTATGAAACTTTTTTCAAAAACCTTTATTAAAACTTTTAAACGTACGACCAAACAGTTATTTGAAATAAATTTACATTTGCGATGGACTGGCTCTCTGTCCAGGGTGCACCCCACCAGATTGCCCATTGACTGCTGCAGATAGGTACCAGCCCCTCCGCGACCCTACGCAGACAAGAGGGTTCAGACAATGGATGGATGGATGGATGGATGCTGCTTTGTCTAAAAGTTTTAGAGCATCAACTATTCATCCTAAAATTAACTAATTTCATTAGAACTTTTTTTTTCAGAAAATGAACTTGAGCCTTTTCTCCTGCAGCAATGACTTGTGGGTAATTCCCTTCCCTTCCAGGCATTGCTGCGGACTTGGGTGAAGTGCAGATTAATGGGTGCAATGGGGGCGTGGTCAACTTCTGGACTTGAGAACCGGGACACGTCATTTGGAATTCTAGGATGTCCAAGGAAGGTCCCGCCTTTCTCACCTCTGATTGGCTAGAAGGGCTCTTCCACGATTGGCTATTTCACGTAAGAGGAAACTGCAGGTTTTTATGCTTACAGCCAGATCTTGAGGAGTTTTTTTGAAGAAAATGAAGACACATTGCTATAAAAAGAACATCTTTTCCTGGTTTACAACAAACCAGTTTCAGGGTAACCTTGGGGGGGGGGGGGGGGGGGGGCTACGCACATTGTGCCCAGGGGCCCCTGCAATTATAAACCGTCCCTGACTCGCACCCCTGGTTGGGAATTCGCAATTGAAGGGTGCAAGAGTGGACATGTGAATATTGGGATGAGGCTATTATATGCCTGTGTTTTTTGAACCACAGACATCATACAATTGTGTGATCCCGACCAGGGACACGAGTAAGTGCGGTAACCAGATCAATACATATGTCTGCATGGTGGCGCAGTTGTTAGCACTGTTGCCTCACAGCAAGAAGGTTGCAGGTTCAAAACTCGGCTGTGGCCTTTCTGCGTGCATCGGTTTCCTCCGCGTACTCCGGTTTCCTCCACAGATCACAACATGCCCTACGAGTTCAAAACAATTGTACGTCGCTTTGGATAAAAAGCGTCTGCCAAACAAATATAAACACAAACATGTCTGTGGTCCCAATTCTCAAGTGCAGAAGTTGATCACGCCCCTTTTGCACACTTAACCCACACTTCACCAGGATCATTAGGAATCGTAGGATGTCCAAGGAAGGCCCTGCCTTTCTTGCCTCTGATTGGCTAGAAGGGTTGTCCCACTGGCTATTTCATTTAGCAGCAAACTGTCTTCCCTCGCTATGTGCAGACTTTCCTCCTGCCAGCAGCAGAACAGCTGGTTTGGAGCGTTTTGTAAAGAAAATAAATTTTGCACTATATTAACCATTTTCTCCTGTTTTGCAAAATAGTTTTTTTTTGTTTATTTTAGTTGAAGAAATATAAAATGTGATTTTATAATAAATCCTGTAGCATTTTTCTCACTGTTGCACTTATTTTACATATTTTGGCTCTCAAGCATTGAGGTTATCTTAATAAAGCAGAGTACATAAGATAAACATATGTGCCTTACCTGGGTATGAAATATAATAATGTGCCCAGCTGTGTGCAGAAGGTCTGTTTCTCTTCTAGAATAATGAAAACTGGTGAAAGTAGGTCTAAATCATAATCAGCTTTGAATTAAATCTCAGTTAAATGATAGACATTGAATCTGATGAAGACATGACTCAAACCGTAGTACATGTATGTCTGCAGGTCAGCTGTCCAATTAGATGGTTATTTTAAAACATAGCTTCAACACATTTCAGAGGTGTTATTTGTTAATCAGATTATCTTTGGGACAACAACAGCACCAAAAATATAATAGTAATAACATTAATGAGGATGATGATAGAAAAACATGAACTTTTCATACGTGTGGATATTTTCTCCTGCGTCTGAGCTGCGCTGGCGCCACCCCACAGAACTGGACACTGTCTCTGGTGTTGTTTTGCACCGTGTTCGTCCTTCCAGCTGCTGAACACCAGGCGGAGAACGGAGGGGTGAGTGGGTCAATCAGCTGGAAGAGATCCACTCCTCCTGTTCGCCTGCAGGGGGCGCTGCAGCGGGTCTCTGTCTATGGTGCTGAATCTCTGGCTCTGTCCGCGGTGCTGAAGAGCTAAGGAGTTCGGGCCGTGTCTGGGGAGCTGTCACACGGATCCAGCCCTTTGTGCTGTAGCCTGGAAGTCCTTTGTGATGGTGGTGATCGGGGTGCGTCACCGTGAGCGCGTATCTGCCTACCTGGAGATGCTGGAGCGAAGGGGGAGGGGAGGACAGTAGTCTGAGGTAAGGCTTAATGTCTGACAAAGAGCTGTTTCATTCCTGAGGCCCGGGCAGCTGCTTTCATGTCAATCTTCCTCTGACCAGGGTCAGGAAAGGGGGACGGGGATGTCTGATTCGTGTTCAGATCTATTAAAGTTCGATCCAAATGTGCGAACCGCCGCCTCGTCCTGTTCAAATCGATGATTATTATCCGGCCTTCCGTCCACTCCACGCGCCGGTATTTCGCTCCGAGTCGTAAGTTATTTAGAATAAAAACGCCTCTGGCTTTTGTTCCGTTTCTGTTTAGTGGGCGAGCAACGGGGCCGCGGAGGCGGCCGGAGGCCGGTTGAGGCCTAGCTCCGCCGGCCTGGCCTACATTCCTGCCACCGCAGCTTTCTGTCCTCAGAGCGGAGCGAAGGCCGAACCTGGTTCTGGTGCCGAGAGCAGAGTAGAGCTGCTCCTTTCTTCAGGAGACACGTTCCGTTAGTGTGATGGATAAATCACATAACCGTGTTTTCATGTTTGATAGGACGCATTGGTTTGAAGGCATCGTGGAGGATTCTGCCAACCTTCAAATGAATGTTTGAGATCAGGTAGCAGGTAGAGTGGAGGTAGAGCTGAAATGATGCAGAAGGTACATTCACCTTTAAATATGAGGTTATTTTCATTAAAACACGAAATCTACATTCATACAACCAGATGTTTTATTGTATTTAAACAATAAAGTGTTTTAAAACACAACCAGGTATGACTGACTTTAATCCCAGGTAAGTAAGTAAAAGTTTATTTATGTAGCGCCTTTCACAGATATAAATCACAAAGTGCTGTACGGTGGATACGGAGGAAACCAGAATTCCCCCAGAGATAAGGTATCCATCCATCCATCCATCCATCCATCCATCCATCATCCATCCATCCATCCATCCATCCATCCATCCATCCATCCATCCATCCATCCATCCATCTATCCACCCAATCTTGATCCAAAATCCTTCCACCCATCCATCCATCCATCTGTCCATCCATCCGTCTGTCCGTCCCTCCCTCCCTCCCTCCATCCATCCATCCATCCATCCATAATTCATCCTTCCTTCCATACATCCATTCATCTATTCATCCATCTACCCATCCATCCATAATTCATCCTTCCTTCCTTCCTTCCACCCACCCATCCATCCATCCATCCATCCATCCATCCATCTACCCATCCATCCATAATTCATCCTTCCTTCCTTCCTTCCACCCACCCATCCATCCATCCATCCGTCCATCCATCCATCACTCTATCTATCTATCCATCTAGCCATCCATCCATAATCCATTAATCTATCCTTCTATCCATTCAGTCACCCATCCATCCACAATCCATCCATTCATTCATCCATCCATAAACCATTCATCCATCTCACATCTATTAAATGACCATCCATAATCCATCCTTTACATCTATCCATCTACCATTCAATTAAATTCAATTCAAAATTACTTTATTAATCCCAGAGGGACCATCCATCCACCCATCCCTCCATCCATCCAGCCTTAATCCATCCACCCAGCCATCCAACCATCCATCCATCCATCCATCCATCCATCCATCCATCCATCCATCCACCCATCCCTCCATCCATCCAGCCTTAATCCATCCATCCAGCCATCCAACCATCCATCCATCCATCCATCCATCCATCCATCCATCCATCTATCCATCCACCCATCCATCCAGCCTTAATCCAGCCATCCAGCCATCCAACCATCCATCCATCCATCCATCCACCCATCCCTCCATCCATCCACCATCTTATCCATCCATCTATCATGTTTTATCTCATTGAATACTTTTTCTTTCTGTGTTTTATTTAGATGAGTCAAGACACAGAGACACGAACACGAGCCCGCTCTAAAGCAATCCGAAGTGAGGGCACACACACACACACACACACACACACACACACACACACACACACATCCAGAAATTCCTCAGGATTTGTGGTTTTCCTTCCTCTGGCTAACTCCTTTAACACATTAGTTAAATACTGTGTTTTATTTTACAAGTTAATCATCATCTACACTCATACACATCACACCAAGATACAACTTAAGGTTAAAGTTCACCTCACATAACATTTAAACATTCTTATTCACAGTGTATATATTCTGTCAGTAAGTTCCACCAATGCCATATAAGTTGAAAAGTATTTTCTAAATCCGTATTGATGTTGATAAATTATATTATTTGTGTTCAAACGTTAGCTTTTCAAATACTTTTGAAAATACTGGTAAAATACATATGGTATGGTAATTAGAAAGCATGGTTGGATCACCAGCTTTATATAAAGATAATAATTTTGCCACTTTTAAGTCTGTAGAGACAATATTAGTGTTCATTGATAAAGTAAATACACAAGTCAATAGTTCACTTAGAGTCAGAACTTCCTTAATAAGAGAATCACTGAGTCCATCATGCCCCGGGGCAGACTTTTCAATTGCAAAATGATATCAATAAACTTCTTTTATATCTGGGGGATCAAAGCAGACCATATCTGTCCATCTTCAAACACCAGCCACAGTTACCCCACCCCCAGTGCCACCCCTCCCGATACATTGGACTCGCATTCCACAAGGGGCCGCATTTTGCGCATAAAGGCGCACCACTGGCTTGAGGTGCGCTACGCATACGTCACCTTCAGCCGAGGCAGAGGAGAGAAAGAAAGAGAGGAGTTATCTGACACCCCGCACATTCCCGCAATGATTGACAGAAGCAACATATGACCAACCAGCCATTAAATGCGTCGACAGGTGGGTTCATGAAGCTGGATGGATGGCATCCAAATGGAAATAATTAGTAAACACAAGAAAGAAAAGGTCAAAACAAGAGGAGTGTGCTTCATTTGAAAGTGGGCAATTTTACTTTTACTAAACTTTCACAAATCACAAAAATTTGGTCTAGAATAATCTAGTTCCAGTTTGAAAAGTCTAAGTGTTTAATTTTATAATAGGAGCAGGTTAAAGTTGTTTTTTCTAGAGGGAGTAACACCACCTATCTATTTGTACTTTAAAGGTGCAGTATGTAAGAATACATTGAGAATTTTAGTGAGAAAATCCCAAAAGAGTCTAGTGTTTCAGTTGTAGTGAAACATATTTCATAACCAACTGGATGTGGGGCTTGTCAGTTTTCTCCTTTCAAAATAAAGGAAGCAGAGATGTAACTACTGTTTACCATCAGTGGGTGTGGGAGTGCCGAGTCTCCTGCGAGTTTATACCGCCGACAATTGGAAGTGGTATGGACCCCATTTCTACATTCCTGCCCCCCAATTTTATTTGCACCTTAAACACTTCCACCACCGACATTTCACGCAAACACACACTTAGGGCCTTGGGAGGGAGCACACTTAACGGCATTTGGCAGGGGGATTTCTCAGCCTCCTCCCGAGTGCCGGTGCCCACTTATAATTTTAAACTGCACTTAGACACAGAGGGCTGTGGGTGCAAGTGGGGTGGTGTGGTGGCATCAGCTGGCATAGGCCAGATGATGCCTGCACTGCCCGCTCACCACAGCCATGGAATACACCTCATCAACACGCATTAACACTGTATTGGAGCAGGCGGAGGGAGACTAGGGGTCTTAGCACCCCTCTGTTCCTGCGCTCTGGGGCAGCTCCTGGATCTCTGGGACTTGGAGCTCCCCCCGTCTCCTGCACATCTTTGGGGGACAGATCTGTGGTCCCTCACACTCTCTATTGGACGCTCCTATAGAGAAACCTTACATAAACAAGCACGTGTACACACACAGGTGCTCACATGGTGCTCTCATAAGTATGGACTTGGGCACGTTCAACACAGGTCTTAAGGCTGTGGTCGGCACTAAATGCACTGTGATTTATTATCGTGATTGTTCAGTAAAACAATGTTGATTTTGTATTTCCTCATCAAGATGACGCAGTGATACTTTGCTCTAGTCGTATTATTGTGTGTTCCTTTTCTGCAGGTCTAGACGCAGACCCCTGTTCATCATTGATTGTTTATCTTTGTGGATCTTGAAATTAACCCTGGCAGCCAGTGAAGCTGGAGGAGAAGCGGGGTGATGTGGGTGTGTTTGGAGGACTTGGTCAGAAGCCGAGCACAGGCGTTCTGAACCACCTGTAGACGGTTCAGGGAGGTTCTGCTCAGACACATGAAAAGAGAGGTGCAGTAGTCTATCCGCGGTTTCACACTGGAAGCATCAGTGGTGTGAAACAGCAGTGCAATGGTTTACTTGCAAACTTCAAAGTGGTCCTTTTCACACCGGGAGAGTCTTGGTAGAGGCATGGCTTCCTTGCTGTGGTCTTCGATGGACTCTCGATATCACACAATCCCTTGAGACTTCAGGTCACGGTTCGTTTATGCAATCTGCCATTAAACCAAAAAGATGGAAATCAGTTTGATGTGGCTGTTTTATGTCATACATGATGTTGTTCCTCTCCACTGCCAGGATATAAGCCATGAAAAATACACTGCTGCACTTCTGGAATGATGTGAGTAAATAAGTTGTTAGGTCACACGTAAGCTTTATTTATATGAAATTGCATTGCTGCAGTACTTTTATTTGGAAAATTACAAGGTATTTTACACTGAAACAGTGTGTGATTTCCAGTCTAGTTCTATGTTAGCTGTGGAAATTGACGCATCACTGCTGGTTTGAAACAGTCCATAGACTATAATGGATTATATTTGAAGCAGTGACATTCTGCTGCTGTTCTGCGCCACTGATGCTTTCAGTGTGAAATTGGGGTAAGCGTGAGAAGATGAAGGTGTGGAGAACTGTCTCAAGTTCAGAGCGGGACAGAATGGGACTCAGCTTAGCAACGTTCCTGAGATGGAAGAAGGAAGAGAGAACAGGGGAGCTGACATGAGAATCCAGAGTGAGAGCTGGGTCAAAGGTCACACAAACAGCTTGTCTGGGGCACAGATGAGGATCTCAGTCTCATCTTCATTCAGCTGAAGAAAGATCCCACCATCCAGGCTTTGATAGAGTCTAAGCAGGTGTGTAACAGCTGCAGCTTAGGCATCTCATGGGGCTTAAGATGAGCATCTACTCTGGTACTAGTGGAGGTTTAAAACAGTCATCTGTAACATTCAAGTTTATTTTCGATTCAATTTTATTCATAAAGAACCAAATCTCAACAAGTTGTCTCAAGGACCTTCACACAGTAAACATTCCAATACAGGTCAGTTCATTAAGCCAATCAGTAAAACGTTTCTTATATAAGGAAACCAGCAAATTGCATCAAGTTTTCAAAATGAACGTCACATTCTCAACGCAGCATGAAATCAACAGCTCTATGTTTGCAAGTGAGCATTGGTGACTTACTTCCAGGGGTGGTGGGTTCTAGATCAGATACACAGCTGAGTGGCTAAACAACTCACAGCTGCTCTTGATGAACATAACATCTATGATAGCTTTCAGTCAGGTTTTCGTAGAGCTCATTCTACTGAAACAGCTCTTCTTAGGGTCTCTAATGACCTTCTGACTCACAGTGATGCAGGGGACTGTTCTGTTCTGGTCCTGCTGGACCTGACTGCAGGCTTTGACACTGTTGACCATCACCTGCTACTGGAGAGGCTGAGAGACTGGGTAGGCCTATCAGGATCTGCTCTGGAGTGGTTCTCCTCTTATCTCTCAGAGCGCTCCTTTTCTGTGGCCGTCTCCAAGTTAGGTCCTCCACCACCTCCCTTACCCATGGTGTCCCACAAGGTTCTGTGCTGGGGCCTCTGCTCTTCCTCCTCTATCTGCTTCCTCTTCAGCACATCCTGAGCTCCTTCAAAGGAATCTCCTACCATCTTTATGCAGATGACATCCAACTGTACATCTCCTTTAAGCCCCATGAGATGTCTAAGCTGCAGCTGTTACACACCTGCTTAGACTCTATCAAAACCTGGATGGTGGGAGCTTTCTTCAGCTGAATGAAGATAAGACTGAGATCCTCATCTGTGCTCCAGACAAGCTGGTTCCCAAAGTCAGAGACTCTCTTGGTCAGCTTGCTTCTCACACCAAACCTTCCGTCAGGAATCTTGGCGTGACCTTTGACCCAGCTCTCACCCTGGATTCTCATGTCAGTTCTCTTGTTGGCTCTTCCTTCTTCCATCTCAGGAACGTTGCTAAGCTGAGTCCCATTCTGTCCCGCTCTGAACTTGAGACAGTTCTCCACACCTTCATCTCCTCACGCTTAGACTACTGTAACTCTCTTTTCACGTGTCTGAGCAGAACCTCCCTGAACCGTCTACAGGTGGTTCAGAATGCCTGTGCTCGGCTTCTGACCAAGTCCTCCAAACACACCCACATCACCCCGCTTCTCCTCCAGCTTCACTGGCTGCCAGTCAACTTCAGGGTTCATTTCAAGATCCTGGTTCTGGTCTATAGGGCCTTACATGGACAAGCACCATCTTACATTGGTGATCTTCTTAGTCCCTACACCCCCAGCAGGTCCCTGAGGTCCAGTGATCAAAGCCTACTGGTTGTGCAGCACCAGGCTAAAGGCCAAAGGTGACAGATCATCTGCTGCTGTGGCCCCCAGACTCTGGACCTCTCTCCCCCTGAGCCTGAGATCAGTGGACTCAGTGGTCTCCTTTAAAAAGCAGCTGAAGACTCACTTGTTCAAGCTGGCTTTTGTATGACCTTCTTCACCTCTCTTTATTCTGCTCTCCCCACCTATTCCACCTTCCTCAGGATCCACTGATTTCCTTCTTTCCTGTTCACTCTCTCTCTTTCGTAACATTTTTCTTTTAAATCTTAATTGCTTATTCTTGCTCATTTAAAATATATTTTTAAACATTTTCAAAATGCTTTTTTTCTATTTTTACAATTTTTATACTTTTTGTTTTGGTTTTTGTGAAGCGCCTCGTGATTTTTAACTTGAGAGGTGCTATAGAAATGATATTTTCTTCTTCTTCTTCAAGGGGAAGAGCAGGGCCTGATGATGCACTTGGGCGACTTTCTCCTGAATGCAGGCTTCGGAAAATATTTTGATGCTGAGGCACGAAAATGCATGAATGTAGCCATAAAGATGTTTCAGGGTATTTCTCATAAGAAAATGACAATATCACATAGTAAAAAACTCTGAAGTCGATTTTTCATGATATGGTACCTTTAACCAGTAAAACAGAGGGCATGCTAGGTGTTTAACCCTAACCCTGTTGCACCAACCTGTTAATGAATTGTAAAAGATTCCCTTAGGTTTGAAACACTAATAAATAAAATGAAATCAATTATTCAAGTGAATCTAACAGGGTGACTCTTTGGTATGTTTTTCTACACCTACTGTTAAATCTGAACAACTCAAAGACCTGATGAAGGCTAGGTGAGTTTATTATGTCCTTTGGGGTAAACCCTTAAACTGGGAGAGGGAGCACCTTGTGAACCACAACTACTCTTCTAATAAAGTCACGATATGAGAGAACATAAGTTTTTACCAGATATATGATCACATGGTGGTTTATTATAAAGATGCTAGTTTAGGTCACAGGCGCTACATTACACAAACAGAAAAAATAAACCAGGTTTGAATTTGTGGTGAGAGGAGTGTGAAAAACTAAAAATCTCTTTTTATGTCCTCTGTCGTGTTAAAAGAACAAGTTGGACCAGACATGAAGCTGGAGTTAAGGTAAATAAGCTTTTTATAGTCTGCTATAGCAGCTGGAGCTCATCACATGTAAATTAAACTTGTTTCTACCGTGTCCCAACAGCAGCTGTCCCACCCCTGGATGTGATGGGAAAGGTCATGTCAGTGGCAGATACTCAAGACACAGAAGGTAGGATTCAGGTTCTGCACACCTGCAGAACCATCCAAGGTTCTTCAGGTTAACTAAAGAAACATGCAGGAAAAAAACTACTTCACTTGTCTGGTTTTATATTTTTATTATATTGGCTATCTGTTATATTTCTAAAGCTCATCAGAGGAGACACGGGCCTGAGTAGTGTGTGTAACCTCTGGATGATCAACATTCTGTGAATTAATGACATGAAATTCCTTAGACAGCACTTGAAGTGTAGCTTATCCCAATTGGCCTGGGAAATGGAGGCCATGACCTGGATCCAGGCAGCCTTGGCCCGACGGACTAAATGGTGGACCCCGGTACATCCATTTCAGGCGCCTGATGAGCGAAAATGGGTGGTTGGTACCCAAAACAAACCTCGAAAGGCGAGAGGCCCGTGGCAGAGGAGGTCTGGAGGTTAATGGAGAGTTCGGCCCAGAGGAGGGCTCATGGCCATGAGGTGGACTACGTGGAGACGAAACAGCGTAGATACTTTCCCACCATTTGGTTGGCGACTTGGTCTGGCCATTGGTTTCTGGATGGTAGCCGAAGGACAGGCAAGCAGAGGCTCCCACAAGGCGGCAGAAAGCCGTCCAGAACTTGGCGGTGAACTGTGGACCACTGTCTGAGACGACGTCCTGGGGACACCCATGGATCCATACGACGTTCTTCAACAAGAGTTTGGGCATTCCATTTGGCCGCAGGGAGACTGAGGAGGGCCACCAGAAGGGCAGCTTTGGAAAAACGGTCGACAAAGGTGGCGATGGTGGTCCTCCCGTCAGAGGCAGTGAGGCTAGTCATGAAGTCCACTCCTATGTGGTACCAGGGCCGGAAGGGAACTGGCAGAGGTTGGAGGAGTCCGGCCTGTTGCTGGGTGGAAGCCTTGGCATGAGAGCAGGTGGGACAGGCCTCCACAAAGCTTTTCATGTCTTGCGCCATGGTAGGCCACCAGAGAGCGAGATGGATGAAGCAGAGTGTCCAGGAAACCCTGGATACTCCGCTTTATCCGTGATACATCCCAGACCCGTGTTCTACCAAGGGGGATGAGCGATCCCAGACCAGGGCTTCTTGTCGGCAGGAGAGTCTACTGGGAAGAGTCTCCTGCGGAGCGGGTTCTGCTCCTTGGGCCGCATGGATGGCATCTTCCACGGGCCACTTCAGACAGGCCAAGATCCGGTAGGGGTTAATGACAGTCTCAGGGTTGATTGGGGCTTTGAGTTGTGTGAATTGACGTAGAGAGCATTGGCCTTGCCGTTCTTGGAACCTGTTCGATAGATGTGGAAGTTATAATGTTTGAAAAAGATGGCCCATCTGGCTTGCCGGGGGTTGAGTTGTTTTGTGTTCTTCATGGGGATCAGGCTCTGGTGGTCTGTCCATATCAGGAAGGGCTCTGGGGGTTCTCATGAGCCAGTGACGCCACTCTTCCAAAGCCAATTTCACCACCAATAGTTCACAGTCACCTACCCCATAGTGCTACTCAGTTGGGGTGAAATCCTGGAGAAGAAACAGCAGGGGTGGAGCTTCTGGTCTGGGCATATCTGAGAAAGTCGGGTGAAGATGGTGGCCTGGGAGAGGGAGTCTAGCACCATGTTCAGCAGGGGGAGCGGGTGCCGATCCTTGATGGTGACTTGATTCAGACCTCTGTAGTCAATGCAGGGGTGAAGTGTTCCCTCCTTCCTCACGAAGAAGAACCCTGCTGAGGCAGGTGAGGTGGAAGGCCTGATGAAACCCTGGCCCTAGGCTTCAGCGATATAGAGGTCCATTTGCTTAGTTTCGGCCGGTGAGAGGGAAAACCATCGTCCATGTGGTGGGGTCGCGCCTGGAAGAAGGTTGACTGCCATGTTGTAGGGTCTATGTGATGGGGAGTTTGGTGGCTCTGGATATACTGAAACCCCCACCATCTCTCAATATTCAGATGGCACCTTTTCAAAGGAGATGGAAAGAGTGATGCAGTCTGGTTGTGGAACTCGAGATCTAGGGAGGAGGCACCCGGTCTGGCACTTGAGCCGCCATTGAAGAATCCGACGTGATGACCAGGAAACATGGGGGTCATGAGTCTGGAACCAAGGGTAGCCCAGGAAGAGGGGCGTGGTCATTGAGGAGACAACAAGGAACTGGATGACATCGATATGCTCTCCGACCCTCATCTGGATTGTTCTGGTGTGATGGCGAATGGGGTAGGGTTGCAGTAGATGCCCATCCACAGAGGCAACCGAGATGGGGTGGTTCTGGTCCTCCAGAGTGATCTATAGGGTTTGGACCAGCTTTTGGGAAATTAAGTTTTCGGCCGCCCCAGTGTCTAGAAGGGCCTGGGCATTTGATCAGACTTGTGGCAGGATGAGTTGGACTGCCAGCAAAAATCGGTTGAACTTGGATGAGCCAGGTGAGACACCCCATCCATCCCTCCCAGTACCGTCGGTCTCTCTTCACCTGAGGGAAGTGACCCAGCTGCATGGGTTCCTCCTCATCTGGTGTGCGAGTGGGGACCAAGCTGGGACCAGAAGGAGCAGGCTGGGCAGTTGGGAGCCAGCTTGAGGATCTGGGGCGGTCCAAGACTCTGCGATCAATCTCCAGAGCCAGCCACTGTAATGTCAGAGGTCACCAGACATTGATTTGTCAACAGACTGCTTCATCAGTGCGCCAAGGGTTATACTGTGTGCTTTCCACTGCTAAGTGACCTTGCTACCAAGAAGGAAAGCCACAGTAAAATTCCTTCTCCTGACTTATTTTCTGCCACTATTTACAAGAAGCTGCAACTCAAAGGTCTAATAAAGAAAACGAGACTCGTACTCCATTTAATAACATCAGGGCAGTTTCTAGCATTGTGGGGCCCTCTGCAAGATTTTGTTCTGGGGCCCCCCTATTTTGACAAACTGCAATTGAATGATAGCTTACCTTAGATAATCTATAAACACACCATAAATTGTCACAAATTACAAGCAAAACATGGTAGAGTAATACAATTAAACTCTCACTCCCGAAAGATTAACTAGAAAGCAGTCAGAGCGTAGACCTCCACCCTGGGAGGAGTGTTCACATCACACATCCCATAATAAAGGGGCTACATGTAAACAAGTACAACAATAGATTAAAAATTCCTGCACCAAGACAGTAATCAAGATCACGATTTTTCTGGTCTGAGATTTAATTATTTTAAGGATAACTCTGGTTTTATTGGGCTGTTAACATTTAAAGCTGATGTGTAGTTTATAATGGGAATTTTAAACCAAAACAGGATGTAATAACAGAAAAAACAAACAGATTTGATTTTTTTTTTCAGAAATGTATGAATAGAAAATGTAAATGTAGATGAACAAAAAATCTGAAATAGCAAAAATTAAAACCTAATATGTATTACAACCTTGTATTGAAACTCAGCGTTTCAGGTGAATGTTCAGGAGCTTTTAGCTGCTGTGATCTTCTGCAGAGCAGTTCTCGTCCTGCTGCAGACAAAACTCCTTCTTGTACTCAGCACATCCAGGGAGTGTTTTCTTTTCACAGAGTGGACCTGTTTCACCCCTGACCTGCCCTCTGTGCTTTGTCCATTCCTTCTCCACTAGTCCAGAGGACAGGGATGTGTATGGAGCTAGGATTGGAACAATATTCAATGTAACTTGTACCAAGTTTTGTAACTTGGAACATGTTTCATGACATGCAACTCTGGATTTGTAACTTGTAACTTTAGTTTTCTAACTTGTAATTCTCTATTTGTACTTGTATTTCTTGTTTTGTAACAGGAAATTTTCACAAACAATGCTTTTGTATTAATTTCAGCAACAAAAATTAAAATAAACATTGATTCTCTCCCTGCCATTTTACCTTTAACACTCATAACAGAGGTGCAAACAAAGCACCGTCTGTTGTTGTACATTGAATAACATTTGAGGTGGCACTGACCATCTGAGTCAAAATAATCATTTGATAGGTTGTTGGGCCTTTGGAGTGAAAGAGTGAACTATATAGATGGTGCAGAAGTGGACTGGCAATCTGTGAGTTCTGGAGATTCCAGGAATGACCAGTGCTCTAGGACTGGTGGATGTACTCCAAGCCGGTGGATGCAAGCACCCCCGCGGGCGTTGAAAATCCCCTTCGGAGATCAAGTAGACAGCAGCAAGAATCAGACTTCTTCAACCAGCTTAGAGTAGTCTGTTCATGATGAGTATTTCTGTGTGAATACTAGATCTCCAGCTCCATTCTCCTGCCTTTCAGAGCATTTAACCATTTAACCACTGGTTGGTCAGATGCATGCTGTTGTAATTGCAAAAACATGCACAGTCCAATTGGACTTGTCTCTGTTTTTCCTCTCCTCTCTTTGGGCCAACGAGTCTGTATGCTCGGTGCACCTTCACAGCAGTGATGCTCCAGTTGCACAAAATGCAGCCCTTCATGGAGTCCAACGTATCGGAGGGGGGTGGGGGTGGGGGTGGACTGTGAATGGCTGATGTTTAAGGCCAAAGGGCTATTATTTTTTCAGAACTCAGAGAATTTGACCAATAAATGACCGTAAAAACTACCAGTACTCACCTAGCAAAAAGTCCCGGAACGCTAAAGGACAGAGAGGTAGAAGTGGAGGTGCGTACCGCCGCACACCGACCTCCTTGAAGCACTGCTTTCATTCAGAATATTCAGACTTCAGTAAAAATATTCAGACTTCAGTCCATACATTCGGGCTATGGTGGCCATCTTTGATTAGGTCAACTGTACTGTAAAAAAGGTACCTACAGAAATTACCCAATAAAATTGAGGTAACATTTTGCTTAGGTAATTTATATCCCTGTTACGTTTGTAAATACCGTAAATCCTCTAACACAGGCCGGTATTCAATTAAAGGCCGGGTCTCCAATTTTGGCCGGCATCGGAGTTGGCGGAGGTGAATAATGGCCGGTCTCTCATTGTGGCCGGGTGGAATGTGGTAACAAGCAAGTACGGGGGCGATCGTTCATGTCATTTCATTTCCTTTAATGTTTTCTGTCTTTTATTTGCACCTGATGTGTTTCGCTGCTGTGGAGCGGGGCACATCACCTTGTCCTCCGACGCACTGATCACTGATGCGGCTGGCAAGCAGCAAGCACTCCGCTGTTTTTGCGGTCGGTAATCTGCCTCCTGAGCACGGCCACAGTAACAATCAGGTGTTACCAAATTATTTAACACGCGATCGTTCATGTCGGTTCATTTCCTTTGATGTTTTCTGTCTTTTATTTGCGCCTGATGCGTTTCGCTGTGGAGCGGGGCGCATCAACTTGTCATCCGGTGACGCACCGATCACTGATGCGGTCGGCGCGCACTCCGCTGTTTTAGCGGTCGGTAGATCTTTTAGAACTGCAGTTCAAAGGTAACTCATGAGGTGAATATATATGAACCCAGGTAGCAGTTTCTCTTCAGGATTGAGAGGAGATGCAGGAAGATAATAAACAGGCAGGACAGAAAAATAGTCAAATAAAAACAAGTTAGGTTTTGTACCTGCTGGTTGCAACAAACAGACACCATTGAAGGTAATCAGAAGTGAGGAACAGAAAATGAAATAATTATTTTAATGTTTAGAGCAGCAGGAACTCCGAGAGGCTGCAGGTGCATCAGTGAGTTTGCGGCGCTGCGCATGGGGAGGGGGGAGAGGGCTGAAGCAGGGGGAGGGGGGAGGGGGCTGAAGCAGGGGGAGGGGGGAGAGGACTGAAGCAGAAACTACCGTTGTTAAAAGAAATGTGTTTAACTTTGAAAACGTGGGCGCAATTTTAATCGTCAAAAACTCCAGTGAACCATTAGTTCATTTTGCTCAAATAGAAATAGAGGCCTGCCTCTAATACTGGCCCTCCTTCCAATAAAGGCCTGGAGCTTGATGGGCTTGAGTCAAATACAGGCCCGGGCCTGTATTAGAGGATTTACGGTAGTACCTTGTATTCAAAGTTAATGAATACCTAAAATACTTGGGTAAAATCTAACTGACACTTATCAGTAAATCTTACCCAATTTTCTAAGCTAGAAAATAAGCATGTAAATTGGACACAGATGTTGCAGCTGGGATCAATCCTGCAATCTTGCGCTTACTGGGCCACCTGCTCCACCTTGTGACATACACTGCTGCACAGTGCAATACTAGCATAAATAAGAATTTATTCAACCAAAAGCAACACAAAAATACCTATTTCTGTTTCACTAATGTTGAACTGAACTTGTGTTCACTTTTGCTCAAGATTTTTTAAGACATGCTGAAAATGTAAATGTGTCTCTAACTGTAACTACTTGAACTGGAAAGCCATTACAGTAAACAGATACTCTGGCCAACATGTACAATAGTTCTACATTTGTTAATTAAATCAAATAGGTAATCCAGAAGTGCTGAACTAATAGTTTTGGGTAAGTGCTACTCATTATAATTAGATTTAATTTGTTAATTAAACTGAATAGGTAGAATTACCCCTTTTTCCTTTATTTCGGTCTTTAACTAAAATATCGACACATTTGAGATGATTTTATTGAAATTTATTATTCCAAAACAATCAGTTTTCTCAGTGTGAGTGGAGTCAGGTTCAATGTTTAGCTTCATCAAAACCTGTCCACACACACACACACACACACACACACACACACACACACACACACACACACACACACACACACACACACACACACACACACACACACACACCGTAAAAGAGACTTGACTGTTCTCTTCCACCTGTCTCACTCCTCAGTGCTCTGGGTTGTCCCATTGTGAAGAAGAGGAAACTGGAGAAGGCTGAAGCTGAGGAGAACCAGACAGCACCCAAAAGGAGGAACCAGGCAACCAGGCAGGCGGAGGAAGACAGTGACATCGTGGAAGAGGAGGAACAGAAAGAGGATGGAGGGGAAGACAAAGACCTTGTCAAAGAAAAGACAACGGACGAGAAGACAGATGGGACAGAGTTAATGAAAGGCGAGTGAAACCAAAGCAGCACGTTTCTATCTAAAGGAAACATTTGATCATTTGTGCTTTGAGATCAGTTTAGTGTTTCATGCTGTTTGACTCAGAATTAGAATAAACCATGGAAGGTTTAGCATAGGAACTGCAGTGCTCCCAGTCCCAGCCCAGTCAGATACTGGTTTAAGGGTTCAAGCATTACATTTTTAAAATGGTTTTTATAATGTTCAAACCAGGAGTGAGTGTAGCGTCAGAGGTTTAGGGGTGCTGAACTCCCAGAGAGCTGCCTGTCGAGGTGATTAGTTTCAGTTTTGTACATTTACACAATTTCATTGCTACATTTGTAGAATAAAAGCAAAACACTCTTTTCCATAAATAAAAAAGGTCTCACAAATCACAAACGATGATTCTGCTATTACAAAGATCTAATCCAAGTTTAAAGGCTCTAGGCCAGTGATATCCAACTCCCTCCTCAAGGTCCAGTATCCCGCATGTTTTCCTGCTTCAACACACCAGATTTTAATAAGCAGCGGCCGCATTTATCAAGCTAGCTTACGCACAGAACGGGGTCGGAAAACTGCGTTAGCAACTTTTCACACCAACTTTGGGATTTATGAAAGAAAACTTAGTGAAAAAATGTGCACAACTTTAAGTTGACTAAGGACCTGGCTTACACACATGCTGGGCGTGGAGAGCACCTGCAGTGCTGCTGCTGAGAAGATACAATTATGAGATCCTGCAGCGTTATCACTTGTACCGCTTCGTTTTCACACAGAACAACCCCCCCCCCACACACACACACGTGTGCGCACGCGCACACACACACACACACACACACACGCGTGTGCACGCACATACACACACACACACGCGCGTGTGCACGCACACACACACACACACACACACACACACAGCCTGAAGCGCAGAATACAGAATGCAGAATATCAGCAGGGGGGCAGAGTGAGACAGAACATCATGCGTCTCTGACAGTGTGTGTGTCCTTTCACTGTGACCTGATTGATCATGCACCCTGGCTACTTGTACAAGGGAGATCTCCGTTTGGGTGACTGGTTAGCATGCGTGACTTTCACCCGGGAGTCTGGGGATTGAATCCCGATTGGACCTTTTTTTTTAATATCCGACACGACACAACATGATCAAACAACATTAATGACTTGTAAATCAAAATTAAGTTGTTGTTAAACTAAAAACAACTAAAACATGCTGGATACTGGCCCCCAGGGAAGGGAGTTTACTGGTCTAGGTGTTCCTGTGTGTCTCAGATGGAAAACTAATAGGCCTAAATAAATAAATAAATAAGATGCTGAAATCAGTGTTTTAACTTTCACAAATCAGATACAAACTTCATAAATCTTAAACTATGTTTTAAGGACTCTGCCATTAATGGGAAATGAGCTAGTCCAAGTAAGACGTATCCAGGTTGTTGTAGTTTTATGAGAAGACCAGACTACACATGATCAGGGAGGGAAACATTGACTATAATCTCTGAAATAATTCAGCTCTAATCTTGAAGTTCTGATATTATTCTCAGAATTCTAAAAAGAAAAAGAAATTAAGCATTCAATTAAATTATAACAGTTCTTTAGCATCCTTTAAAAGGGTTTGGTTTGCATGTATCTGAAACAACAACCCTAGCACCTAACCTGTTACTTGGGCTTTAGCATGATGATTGGTCTAGCCTGGCCTGCCAGACTCGTCCTCCGTTTAGTTCTGCACAGAGAGAGAGTCTGGTAACTCACAGCAAGAGAGGCACATGAGGGGCGGGACTAGACAGCTCAAAAATAACCAATCAGAAAACAGACTGAAATGCCGACTGTACCGCGAGGCTGTAGATTTCTAGCTGTAGTAAAAAAAAAAAAGATGTCTGGCGACGGCGCAAACATCTTTTATTCTTTTAGAAGAAATGCTTTTAGCGCTTCTACCTGTTGTGGTTTTAAAGACATTTAAGTCATTTAGAACAGAGGAAAGAGCCACCGCGAACTCCGCCGCTGTCCTCGTTGTTTATGAGAAACTGAGCATCGCTGTGTGACGTCTGCGACGCTGTAGTTTTAGAGCTGTAGTCAAAAATGGCGTCTTTCTTTAGAATAAAGGCTTTTAGCGCTTCTACTTGTTGTTTTAAAGACGTGTCCAAATAATTTAGACCAGAGGAAAGAGCCGCAGCGAACTCCGCTTCAGCCGCCATGTTTATGACAAACTCGGCGTTGAGGTGTGTGACGTACGCTGCTCAGCCCTGATTGGCTCGGTTAGAATTCTCAGGGGGCGGGGCTATTTGAAAAGGAGAGTTCCCAGAGCCTTTCTCTGTGCAGAGTTAACCAGAGGAGGAGTCTGGCAGGCCAGGCTAGATTATGTCACCTAATTACTGGGAAACCTGCTGTGGATCAGCATATTTTACCCTGAGACTGGGAACAGTGACTGAGAAAGATCACACAGACTGTCAGACTCGCCCTGAAAGGCTTTAACACACAAGTAAAGTCCTTCAGACTCTTCTCTACCACTCTCGCTGTCTTTCCTTTCACTTTGGTGATTCGTGTGCAGGGCACGCTCCAAACCTGCGTCAAGTCCCGCCTCCTTGCTGGATTGACAGCCACTGCTTTCTTCTCACAGTTTATGTAAGATTTAAACATGAAACTGAAAACTGTCAGCAATGCGGGACAGCCATTCAGGTGCAGGGGTGCCTCCAGAAAATTTTGATACAGGTGGCCGGATGAGGCCAAAGAAAATTTTGGGGTGGCACATGTAGTTGGTCCTTGTGGTAGCGGGAGAGTTGAGGCCGTGGCGATGCACTGCATTGCTCCTTTATTATTAAAAAGCAACATGCATCTGAAACATGTAACTAAAACTTGTGAAACGCAAACATTTCAGAAAAATACATTCCAGTTAGTTGAAAAGTTATTTCAAAATGTATTTTAGTATTTTAATTTTTTAGATGAATTTACCTATCGTCATCACAAAAAACTATAGAGATGTAAACATTTTTTAAATGGTGAGCAGCAGAAACATAATATTTTTTCTGATTATTTGTTAAATCACTAATTGTATAATTATGTTTGTGTTTTAATTGAATGGAATTCAATTCAAGTTTATTTATATAGCGCCAGATCACGACAAGAGTCGTCTCAAGGCACTTCACGTGCATTTGTCTTGAAGTTTTGAAGATAAATTTATGGTTTGAGTGAACATTAATATAATTTAATAACACTGGTCTTTCTGGGAGGGCAGCAATTTTGGGGGGGGGGGGGGGGGGGGGGCATGGCCACCCCTGGCCACTCCTTGGGGATGCCACTGCACAGGAAAGTGGCGCACAGAAGCTCAGAGCCCAATTCTGGGAAAGGTGAATAGGATCAATCCACATTTGAGGCGGGGGAGGTTTGCTGCATTTCTGTTGTAGTTTAACATTTAGGGGTGCTGCGACCCCCAAATGGGCTTCAACTTAAATTCATTTATGGCTGTTTGTGATGGTTTATGAAGTTATCAGCAGTAACCTGCTGAGATGAGCTGATTTCATTATTTTATGCAGAGCAGAGAGAGAGAGAGAGAGATTAAAGAGCAGATTCTAAAGGCTGGTTAATGTGAAAGGAAAGAGTTTCTAACGGCATTCTGAATCCACAGTGATGACCTCATCGGAGGAGGCAGAACAACAGTGTTCTCTGGGTGATCCGACCAAGAGCAGAAACATCTCAGAGATGGAGAAGAAAGAGGAGAAAGAAGAGATGAGGGAAGAGATGAATGCATCAGCTGTTACTGGTGATGATCAGCAGGAAGAAACAGAGACAAAAGACCAGGATGACCAGCTGCTGGCTGAGGACCAACCACCACAGCTACCAGCAGAAGAACCTGCCGCCGCTACCGCTCGCCGCGAAGAGACACAAAACCAGAGGGAAGAGGAAGAAGACGGAGAGAAAGAGGCAGAGCAACAGGAAAAGAAGGAGAATATGGAAGCACAGAGGACAATAAAAATGCACGTGATGAGACAAGAAAACTCTGATCACCAGTACTCAAGTGGAGATTACAACCTTCAGGTCAAAGAATCACTTCAGAGGAAGCATATGGAGGAGGAGGAGGAGGAAGAGGAGGAGGAGGGGGAGCAAGAGGAGGAGCAAGAGGAGGAGGAGGAGGAGGAGGAGGAAGAGGAGGAGGAGGAAGAACAGGAAGACGAAGAGAAAGAAGTAGAAAGAGAGATTGACACATCATTCAATTTAAGTCCAACCACTCAGGAATTTGAAGCCACTGTGTCACTCAGGGAAGAGAAGTTCAGCACCATCGTGACTGAGGAAGAGGAGGATGAAGATCCAGAGAAACAGAAAGAAACTGAAGATGATGATGGTCAAGAGAAGGAAGTAAGTGAGATAGCAGAAGAGGACCAAGACTCAAGCAAAACATCTCCGAGTACTGTAGTCATTGAAGTTCGCTCGGAGGAGGAGGAGGAGGAAGAGGAGGATGAAGTAGAGGAGGAAGAAGTGGAGGATGAGGAGGAAGAAGACGATGATGAAGAAGAGGAAGGAGAGGAGTTAGATCATGTTTCTGAGGGTTCAGAAGTAACTGATGACTCTGAGAACTGGGACATGGCTCGAGGAAACCTGGGCTTGCTGGAGCAGGCCATCGCCCTGAAGGCAGAGGAGGTGAAAGGTCAGGAGAGCCGCAGCTCCTCAGACTACCAACTGTTCAGCCCCTCCATCAAGAGTTCAGAGGCCCGCCGCGCGGCTCACTGCAGCAGAGGTACAGTCAGTTTATCGTCATCATCATGTTTGCTTTAGTCTGAATCAGACTTTCACACATCAAACTGTTTCTGCTGCTGAGAAAATAAAGTTCAGATACAAGCCAACCCAAAAGTAACGAGAACCAGAGAGGAGCCTGGAAAGGTTCAACAGAGGCAGAGCAGCCAGAGGGTTGGTGGTTCAAACCCCACTCCATCAGAGGGCCTTGGACACTGTCTCTGTGCTGCATGTGTCTGGTCAGACAGCCATAGCTTGTTTCTGTCAGAGGAGGACTAGAGAATACAGCGGGCATCGTAAAGAATCACCATCTTTCATTCGATTACATTCAACTCAGTTTATTTATAAAGCGCCAAATCACGACAAGCGTCGTCTCAAAGCACTTCACACAGTAAACACTCCAACACAGGTCAGGTCATTAGGCCAATCAGTAACAAGGTTCCCGTATAAAGAACCCATCAAGTCACTGACTAGAGTCAGAGTCTTTACAGCAATCCTCATTAGAGCCCTGCACTGAAGCCCTAGGCCCTCGGGCCGGGCTTCGGGCCAACGACTGTGTAATAACCTCGGACACGGGCCGGGCCGAGCGCCTTTATTTTTAATCAAATTCATTTTAAAAAATTGAAACACAAACGCAGCAGTAGAGCCCTGCGCGGGACTGTTTTCTTCATCCCGCTGAATTTCTGACCATTACCGCCTGCAACCGCAACGTGTGTGCTACACTCCCGCCCGCACCTGCAGCGTGCATGTCTACTCCCGCCCGCAACCGCAAAACTCGGAGAAATTATTACCTCACAATAAAAGAGATGTATTGAGTTTGCGTTATCTCTGGTCCTGGAGAAAACATGTCATAACCCGCGGCTCTTCCATCCATCTGATGCGGCTCTCTGTGCTTGTAAAATAATGAATGGATATTTAAATAAAATGCTTTATATTTTACTGAATTAATTTTATATCTGTAAGGCAATTCTATGTATAGATTGTCTGCGTAAACCTGAACAGGTCCAACCCGGTCTTACTGTGAGACCGGGTTGACGCGTCACGCTTGTGCGTAATCATATAGGCGCTTTATGAGCTGAAGAGATTCTGGGCTTCTCCTCAGACGGCTCCTGGATGTGTCGCCACATTGGAGACAGGAACAAGCGCTATTCAGCCAAAGTTTCATAATCAGGGAACATGTTCTAAGTGACAAGTCTCTCTGAGAGACCGGGTTTGGAAAACACTCGCTTCAGTGGGAGGAACCTTCCTGCATGCGCTCTGGTTCTGCGACGCGCTCCAAGCCCCTCTCCACATCTTCAGCTCGCTGTGCACATCTGCGCTGACAGCGAGCTGCGCTGAGCAGCTCAGATGTTCAGATGGGAATCTTTTCTTGGGTGATTTAGCTACATCTGCGATGTGTGTAGAATAAAATGTCAGTTCGTCTGCATGCGTCGGGGTAATTCTTTCTATTCTTTCTCCGTCAAAATAAACGGTCAAATACGGGAACTGTCCGGTCAACACAAGCCCTGCTTTTAACTGTTCTGTTTTCTTGTGAAAATTGTTGGAAAGAGATAAAATTTAACTTGATTACCACCAGAGCCAGTGCGCCGTTATCTCCGTGACGGTAAATGAGGGAAAAACAAATTGATCGGATCCTGCACGTCTTTTAACACATTGGTCAGGATTGACGTACTTTGTTTTCATTTAGTTGGTTAAAAAAAAAAAGTCGGGCTCGGGCTGGGCCAGAGAATCCTGAAAACCTTTTCGGACCGGGTCGGGCTGGGGCTCCACCCCCTGGGGCCGGGCTGGACACGGGCTCAGATTTTAGGCCCGTGCAGGGCTCTAATCCTCATACTAAGCAAGCATGCAGCGACTGTGAAGAGGAAAACTCCCTTTTAACAGGAAGAAACCTCCAGAGGATCCTGGCTCAGTATAAGCAGCTTTACTTATCCTACATAACTGAAACATATCACAGTTAAAGGTTTTCAAAAATAAAAAGCTAGAAATACTGAGATCTACCCCCCCCCCACCCCACCCCACCCCCATTACAGTATCTTGTTGAACCACCTTTAACTTTAGTAACAGACTTGAGTGTGTTGGGATACTTCTCTGTAAACGTCACACAGATGGAGCGACTTGGGTCAGATTGGATGGGTGTTGGTGGACTGCAATCTTCTAATCTCTCCACGGATTTTCTTCCTTTTTTAACAAGTCTTTTTATTAATTTCACCAACAATTATTAACATTTAACAGTTTGTTTACATTTTTAACAGAGCAAACAAAAAAAAGAACATAGAATAAAGCCACTCTCCACCACTCGCCCCACTACACTGGATCAAACTGAAGAAAAGAATATATACATAAAATAGGTGAGAACACGGCACTAAATCAGTCGACAAATACGACTCTGGAAGGGAAATAAAATTTAAAAAATCACAAATGTTTCTGAAAGGCTTTAAACAAAAACACCATCACAAATACAATACAAACAACAAACATATATTATTAAAGTATTAGTATGTTGATCAAAGTCAGTGAGGGGTGATTGGCTGACATCCACATCTAAAGTCTTCATCTCCTCCATCGATGATTTCAGCCGCTCATCTCTCTTCCGTCTCATGTTCTCACAGTATTCGAGATAAGCCTTCAAGACTCCCAGACAGTAGAAAACAGCATTCCCAGGATTTGGTTGATCTCTATAAAAACGTTAAATTTCAGTGTTCATAAATATGACAAAGCTTTCATCCGAAAGACTCAAATAATTCAACTGCCAAGAGCGGTTCATCGGTCACTTGCTCTGGATAATACTGAGAGTACTACGATCTAAAACAACAATGGCACCACAGTCACATTCTGTCACCATTTTTTAAATTATGCATCCACAAAAAATAACCAATTAGGGAGCAGGTTTTATGAACAGAGGAAGAAAACAAGTACGCCCTTGAAGTACGATTCCGAAAACGCCACACATCAACCGTTCCACAAGAGTCCAGGCAGCTTTGTATAGACTGAGCTGATTTAGTAAGAGTCAGCCATCCAGTTGCACTCCAGTCCCTGAAGATAGTCCACAGTTAGTGTCTCCACCCAATGTGAGGTAGTGTCCTGAGTCGTAACTGTAACAGGTCGACTAGCGTGATGACATGGGCCGTGTTCGAGATGAGCCAGTTCTGCGCAGCTACAAACAGGTAAACAAAACTGTTTCTGTGTTTAAAAAAAGAACGAAAGCATGGATTTAGAAAGACACAGCAAGAACACACCTAAGATGTAGGAAAATCTGTCCGAATTAAACGCCGCTTTCAGCCACGCCCCCTGCTGCGTCCGTCTGCTCTCGTCTGTTTTCCAGGCGAGGCGCTGCTCAACTCGAACACGGCCATGGTTGAGGCAAACAGGAGATCGGACCAAGGGTGGATGGGAAATGGAGTTCTATCGCTGTGCCAGCTGGAGGCCGGTCTGGATGCGAGAGTTGCGACATCTACCAGTGGCTCTTTTTACAGCTGCAAAATCTTCTTCAACATTAACCCGGAAATTCTTCACCGGCCACTTTTTCAAACTTTTCTTCACAAACCTCCTTTTTCGCATTGTTCCTGTCTGTGATCCCCCTCGGTAGTGTCCTGGCTACAATCTCCTATGATTGCCAGACTGTTTTGTCTTTCCATTCGTCCACGATTGCCCAAGATGCACCGAGGATTTACCTCCCTGTTTGTTTACGTGAGCTGTACGCTGGCCTGGAGCCAAACACTGATTCCTACCCGAACGCCTCCAGCGATGTTTATCCGATCCCAGGAAAATGTCGGCGGCAAAGAGGTAAACGAGCAAGAATCCAGGGGAGAATGAGACTTTTCTTAAACCGTGGTTTATCTCGTAAACATCGGCGTAATCTATTAGCTTCTTGTCCTTTGTTTGGCGACCTGAGCGCCACTTCCGCACTCCCGCCAGGTCGCGATGTGGCGTGGTTTCTCCGTCCAAGTTTTTTAAGGTCTGCTTATCCTCATTCCTCAGTGGCTTCTCTTTCTGTTCCCTCCATAAGTGGTTTTTATGAACACCGTGGATTGAACCCTGCTAATTTACGTCCACTAACTCCAGCTGTTTCTGTAGTTTCTGATTCCTCCACCTCACTCCGCATGGCTCTATTAAATACCCGCTATGTTAACAATAAGTCCTTCCTTCTCAATCATCTAATTGCCTCTAAAAACCTGGGTCTCATTTATAAAACATTGCGTAGAATCCTTACTAAAACTCAGCAAAAAAAAAAAATAATAAAGTACTTACGCCAAGTAGGTTTGTGACCTATAAAACATGGAGTATGCACATTTTCATACACCTCCACCATTAATGATGGCAAACGTAGATCAAGGACGCATAACATCACCGAAGCAGAAATTGAGGTACTTGTTGAGGCAGAAAAACAAAAGGAAGTGCTTTTGCAAAACAATTAACCCTCCCACTGTCTTTATGGGTGACCCCGTGAGGAAAGTTGACCATTGAGCAGGATTGATGGTTTATCCCTTGAGGTCCACGTGGCAGGGGTGAGGTGGTGCTCCCTTCTCACTCCTGCCACATGGACCCAAGGGATAAACCATCAACCCTGCTCAATGGTCAGCTTTCCTTGCGGGGTCACATCCATTAGGACACTGGGAGGGATAAGAGAAAATCCACAGTGGCACAGCGTTGCTGAAGCCGGCAATGCTGTGAGTTATTCAGAGAGATCTGTGGCGGATATAAAAAAAATAGTCCGATCTGAAGTGTGCGCACGAAGCAGTACAAGTGATAATGCTGCAGGATTTCATAATTTTACCCTTCTCAGCAGCAGCACTACAGGTGCTCTCCATGTCCAACATGTGCGTAAGCCAGGTCCTTAGTCCACTTAAAGTTGCACGCATTTTTCTGCTACATTTTCTTTTATAAATCCCAAACTTTGCGTGGAAAGTTGCTTACGCAGTTTTCCGACCCCATTTTGTGCGTAAGCAAACTTTTATAAATGAGACCCCTGGACTTTCTGTTTCTGACTGAAGTTTGGCAGCAAACATCTGATTATTCTGGTCTGATTGAGCTCTGACCGAGTGGTTATTCTTTTCTTAGCCAGCCCCGGGGTTCTGGTCATAGTGGAGGCATAGCTGTTGACCATCTTCCATGCAGCTCTACAACCTCTGGTTGCTTTACAATGTTGATGATGCCTCAGACCACTTGGCCATGAGCTTCTCTAGCCTCATGGACTCCTTCAGCTTAACCCAGCATGTTTCTGGCCCCCCACACATCAGGGGGCACACTCTGAACCTTGTTTTTACCCTGGGCCTAAATGCTGACAGTGTTTGTCCTGAGGACGTTTGTATTTCAGATCACCATTGCATTTTCTTTAACTTGTCAGTTTCTGCATCCCTACCTCCTGCTCGCCTTATGGTTAGTTCTCATTTTCTTAATGAGAGCACAGCTAGCAAATTTCCTGCTACTTTTAATCCACCCGGTTCTTCTCATTATGATCCAGATTTATTAACTTCTCAGTTTAACGAGCACTGCCTCTCCATTCTGGACAACTTCTAACCAGCACCCGTCCCCCCTCTCTACCATCCACACCTTTGTTCCCTCCTCTCCATGATTGATGTCAAGTTGTTGTTATTGTTGTTGTTAGCCTCAAGGGCAACATGCCGATTATCACTTGTAAGTCGCTTTGGACAAAAGCATCTGCTAAATACATAAACAACATAAACAACACTGAGAACTTTCTGTCTTTCTTTGTGGACAAAGTCAATAAGGTTAGATCTAGCATCTCTCCTTCAGCCTTATCGCCGCCTCTCCCGACTCCAACCAGGCCCATCATCCTAGATAGCTTTGCTCCTGTTTCTTTGCCTGAGTTAACCAAACTAGTTAACTCTATGAAGACCTCTGCATGCCCCCTCCACATCTTACCCTCATCTTTGTTTAAAAGTGCTTTTCAGTCCATCGGTCCCAGCGTGCTCTCTATAATTAATGCTTCTCTGGTCTCTGGTCAGGTCCCTGCTTACTTTAAGAACGCTGTAATCCACCCGCTTCTTAAAAAACCGAGTCTCGACCCCTCTCTCCATAGCAGCTTCAGACCCATCTCTAAACTTCCGTTCATCTCCAAGATCTTGGAAAAGGTTGTGGCTAAACAACTCACAGCTGCTCTTGATGAACATAACATCTATGATAGCTTCCAGTCAGGTTTCCGTAGAGCTCATTCTACTGAAACAGCTCTTCTTAGGGTCTCTAATGACCTTATGACTCACAGTGATGCAGGGGACTGTTCTGTTCTGGTCCTGCTGGACCTGACTGCAGCCTTTGACACTGTTGACCATCACCTGCTACTGGAGAGGCTGAGAGACTGGGTAGGCCTATCAGGATCTGCTCTGGAGTGGTTCTCCTCTTATCTCTCTGAGTGCTCCTTTTCTGTGGCCGTCTCCAAGTTTAGGTCCTCCACCACCTCCCTTACCCATGGTGTCCCACAAGGTTCTGTGCTGGTGCCTCTGCTCTTCCTCCTCTATCTGCTTCCTCTTCAGCACATCCTGAGCTCCTTCAAAGGAATCTCCTACCATCTTTATGCAGATGACATCCAACTGTACATCTCCTTTAAGCCCCATGAGATGTCTAAGCTGCAGCTGTTACACACCTGCTTAGACTATCAAAACCTGGATGGTGGGAGCTTTCTTCAGCTGAATGGAGATAAGACTGAGATCCTCATCTGTGCTCCAGACAAGCTGGTTCCCAAAGTCAGAGACTCTCTTGGTCAGCTTGCTTCTCACACCAAACCTTCTGTCAGGAATCTTGGTGTGACCTTTGACCCAGCTCTCACCCTGGATTCTCAAGTCAGTTCTCTTGTTGGCTCTTCCTTCTTCCATCTCAGGAACGTTGCTAAGCTGAGTCCCATTCTGTCCCGCTCTGAACTTGAGACAGTTCTCCACACCTTCATCTCCTCACGCTTAGACTACTGTAACTCTCTTTTCACGTGTCTGAGCAGAACCTCCCTGAACCGTCTACAGGTGGTTCAGAACGCCTGTGCTCGGCTTCTGACCAAGTCCTCCAAACACACCCACATCACCCCGCTTCTCCTCCAGCTTCACTGGCTGCCAGTCAACTTCAGGGTTCATTTCAAGATCCTGGTTCTGGTCTATAGGGCCTTACATGGACAAGCACCATCTTTCATTGGTGATCTTCCCAGTCCCTACACCCCCAGCAGGTCCCTGAGGTCCAGTGATCAAAGCCAACTGGTTGTGCAGCACCAGGCTAAAGGTCAAAGGTGACAGATCATCTGCTGCTGTGGCCCCCAGACTCTGGAACTCTCTCCCCCTGAGCCTGAGATCAGTGGACTCAGTGGTCTCCTTTAAAAAGCAGCTGAAGACTCACTTGTTCAGGCTGGCTTTTGTATGACCTTCTTCACCTCTCTCTCTTTATTCTGCTCTCCCCACCTATTCCGCCTACCCCAGAATCTACTGATTTCCCTCTTTCCTATTCACTCTCTCTCTTTCTTTGCATTTACAATCACAATTGTCTATTTTTGCTTATTTTAAAGATATTTGAAATCATTTTCTAAATTCTTTTTTATATTTTAAATTATCTGTTTTTGTGAAGCGCCTCGTGATTTTTGTCTTGAGAGGCGCTATAGAAATGTTGTTTTATTTCATTCTTTCTTTCCAACATTTTAGCAACGGTTGAGTTCGTGCTTGACTCCCTCAGGTCCCTCAGGTACTCCAGTAATCCAAACATTACATCTCCCTGAGTGGCCCTCAAAATCTTCATATTGTAATGGCCTTTTAAAATCAATAGGTCATCAGTTTGAACCCCTGTAGTTCGGAGAGTTCCTTCCTTATCTCTCTTACTGTGTTCCATAGAGAGAGACAACCTCGTCCGACAGAGTGGGCAAACCATCTTCCATCTCGTAACTCATTTTTGCACAACATTCGAGCGGTGTGCCTCTGTAATTCGGCCTTCATCGCCCTCAGATCTCTTTTAATTAAGTCAAAATCCTACGCCCGTGTTTCCTTCATTTCTGATCAAAACACCACCAGGAAGTCAGATATCAGTGCATGAAGCATTTCAGTCCTCACCTCTAACATGTCTGCGTCACTCTGGCCAGGCCTTGGCTTGGCCCAGGCCACAGCTCTAGCTGGAACCAAACTGTTCCAGCTCAAAAACGCTCCAGGCTCTTTCCGCTTTCCTTGGAATTTGCTACCATTTCTCAAAACGCTCAAATTCAATAAAAATTGCTGGTTCCACAAGAATGTGCCAGGCATTGAGTTTCGCTGCGAAAATTTACCTGAAACAAACAAACAAAAAAACACTTTTAAACGAATAAGACGCTGATAGCCCACCACATGTCCTACTCCTCCACCATCTTGGCTCCTCCTAAACCTCTCCAGAGATTCTCTATCTTCTAGGAATAAGGTCTTGGCTCTGACTGGGCCACATGAGGACATATTTGTTGTTTTGTGTTTTTATTTAAGGACACTGTCGTCGGTCAAAGGGGTGATTATTTTCTATGGTAAATGGCATGCATTTATATAACAATAATAATAATAACAATAGATTAGATTGATATAGCGCCTTTCTAGGCACTCAAAGCACTTTCCACTATTTACACACTGGCAGTGATGGTAGCCACAGCCGCCCTGGGTCGGTCTGACAGAGGCGAAGCTGCCATGTTGTGCCTTTGTCCCCTCTGACCACCACCAACAATACAGTGACTTTTAGGGTTATGTGGCCTCCTCTAGGCACTTTACAACACAATCAGTCATTCATTCATTCATTCATTCACACACATACATTCACACACTGGGGATGATCAGCTAAAATGTAGCCACAGCTGCCCAGGGGCGCATGGAGGCAAGACTGCTATAAGCAGGCATCGCCGGTCCCTCTGACCACCACCAGCAGGTAAGAAGAGACCCACGTGTTTCACTGAGTCTTTTCACCATGACTGACACCTGCTTATACAAGTAACAGGTACGGGGGTTGCCAGCGGTCATAATCCTTCAGAAACTAGCACGCATCTGTCCCTGTTCTGATATGAGTGAATGCTGTGAGATTCCAGTGGATTTGTTAAAATTATGATGTTAGCTTATATATATATTTTTTTCTTATCATGAATGATATGATAGTTACCACCTGTGGATTTTAAATGATCTCACATGAATTATAAATGTATTCCAAATAAACTCATCTGTGTAACTTCTGAGATATGTACTCAGAGATCTGATTTTAAGACTTACTTGAAGAAAAATACAGAGATAAAAGTTTTGGTCCATATAGCCCAGCCGTGGAGCGGTAGCCAAAGTAGCTTCTATACAACAACCATGCTTGTAACTTCATTCCTGCTCTTCACATTCTTTGCTGCTCAGACAAGAAAGAAGTGAAGTGTCCAACCCCGGGCTGTGATGGAACAGGCCATGTGACCGGGTTATACCCTCACCACCGCAGTTTGTCCGGATGTCCTCACAAAGACCGGATCCCTCCAGAGAGTGAGCACACACAACCAAGCACGTTCCTCCCATCACTAATATTAACATGATTTATCAGAGAAACTGCTGCTAGTCCTAATGCTGCTCATACTGACACTAACCCGACTACACGCCACTAAACGTACTGACCTGTGTGTTCACCTTTTTGTGTGTCTGTAGTTCTGGCCATGCATGAGAATGTCTTGAAGTGTCCTACTCCTGGCTGCACAGGCCAAGGCCATGTCAACAGTAACCGCAACACACACCGCAGGTTAATGCAATAATCAACACACACACACACACACACACACAAACACACACTAGATTTAGTCTCTGTTTGCCACACCGACACGTTCTCACACCCTAAGCGTGAGAACGTGTCGGCCACACACATCACCAACGTGCTTTACAAAATCTAAAATTGACGTATCCTTGAAATCTTACCTTCTTAATACCACTAATGCATGAATCAGTTGGACGAACACGTGTTTTTTTTCTACTGACATCATGTCACGGGATGGGAGCGTGTTGTAGGACTCAGGTGCAGGAAATCCCGGAGGCAGCCAGGTAGGTTAAAAATCCAAACATTTATTAAAGTCTGTGGTGAGGAGCAGGATCAGGATCAGGCGGACAAATACACGAGGAGCAAACAAAAACACAAGCACAAGGGTGACATGGAAGGGAGACAGGACGTGACACGTCAGTGTTTTAATTGGCTGTTTTTGTTTATATTTAAATGCCTGGATGTCAGCCTCTCTGGCTGCCCTATAGCAGCAGCAGCCAAGCTGAACAAGAACCAGGACAAACAGGTTCATTTGCAAGCTCCAACCAATGAGCCCCCTTCTAATTCTGACAGAGTGCTCAGGTAAGTGCCACCTGTAGTTTTCCTACCAGTTACAGCTTTAATGAGGCGCAGACTGTACATGAGAACAGTCCCTGTTTCAGGAGTTGTAACATGTGACTAACGGTCTCTCCTACAGGCCAATGTGTTTCGTGAAACAGCTGGAAATCCCCCAGTATGGCAGTTACCGTCCCAACACAGTAACCACCACACCTCGAGCCAACCTGGCCAAGGAGCTGGAAAAATACTCCAAGGTGTCTTTTGACTATGCAAGTTTTGATGTCCAGGTGTTTGGAAAGCGAATGATCGTTCCAAAGACACCCAGCAGCACCAACACATCACCCAAAGCCTTCAAATGTAAGACCTGGTCCTACTTCAAAGGTCTTGGAATGGTTCCGGCCCTTGTCTGTGACAGAAAGCTAAATTTTCCATTTATTATATGGAGCTACCTATACTAGAGCCGTCCTTTAGAACAGTGTTTCCCACCCCTGGTCCCCAGGGCACACTGAGCTGCATGTTTTCCGTGTCTCTGCTTCAGCACACCTGTCCTCAGGAGGACATCGAGTGCTGCCTGTTAATCCCTCACTCATTTAAGTCAGGTGTGCGGCAGCAGGAAAACACTGGTGTTTAGAAGAGCAACAGTTCAAACGGCAACACATGGTTGGGTGGAAGCTTTGTTTGCGTGACAGTTTCAAAAGGGGAACCGCTGTAACCCCTGCACCGCTCCTGATTTCACCATTCTGATGCACCAAGGCTTCCTAACACATGCCACCTGTAGGCTGGTCTGAGAAGGAATATTTGTTTCAATTGCCGAGGCTTACAACTTGACTTGGAAGAGAAAAAATGAGTCATGAACATACAGTTGTGGTCAGAAGTTTACATACACTTGTAAAAAATATAATATAATGGCTCTACTGAGTGTCCCGTTATTTCTAAAACTCTGATTTATCTCTGATAGAGTGATTGGAACAGATACTTCTTTGTCACAAAAAACATTCATGAAGTTTGGTTCTTTAATGTCTTTATTATGGGTTAACAGAGAAAAGTGATCACATTTGCTGGGTCACAAATATACATACAGCAGTGCTAATATTTGGTTACATGTCCCTTAGCCATTTTCACTTCAATTAGGTGCTTTTGGTAGCCATCCACAAGCTTCTGGCAAGCTTCTGGTTGATTCTTTGACCACTCCTCTTGACAGAATTGGTGAAGTTCAGTTAAATTTGATGGCTTTCTGACATGGACTTGTTTCTTCAGCACTGTCCACATGTTTTCAATGGGGTTTAAGTCAGGACTTTGGGAAGGCCATTCTAAAACCCTTATTCTAGCCTGATTTAGCCATTCCTTTACCACTTTTTCTCCTCCTTGAACCGTCACCTTATCGTGGTGGAGGAGTTTGAGTGCCCTAATGATCCTAGGAGCTATGTTGTCTGGGGCACTTAGTGCCCCTGGTAGGGTCTCCCATGACAAATTGGTCTTAGGTGAAGGGTGAGACAAAGAACGGTTCAAAGGATCTTTCATGGCGGTTAAAATGAAGAGTCGGAGTACCCGGCCCGGAGGGTTACCGGGGTCCCACCCTGGAGCCAGGCCTGGGGTTGGGGCCCGTGAGCGAGCGCCTGGTGGCCGGGCTTTCGCCCATGGGGCCCGGCCGGGCCCAGCCCGAACCGGATACATGGGCTCGTCCAACTGTGGACCCACCACCCGCAGGAGGAACATGAAGGGTCCGGTGCAATGCGAATCGGGTGGCAGACCAAGGCGGGAGCCTTGGCGGTCCAATCCCCGGACAAGAAAACTAGTTTTTGGGACATGGAACGTCACCTCGCTGGCGGGGAAGGAGCCGGAGCTTGTGGCAGAGGTTGAGCGGTACCGGCTAGATATAGTCGGACTCACCTCGACACATTGCATTGGCTCTGGAACCCGAGACCTGGAGAGGGGTTGGACACTCTACTTTGCTGGAGTTGCTCCGGGTGAGAGGCGGAGGGCTGGGGTTGGCTTTTTGTTAGCTCCAAGACTCTCTGCCTGTGTGTTGGGGTTTACCCCGGGGGACAAGAGGGTAGCTTCCTTGCGCCTTCGGGTCGGGGAACGGGTCCTGACTGTTGTTTGTGCTTATGGGCCAAATATCAGTTCAGAGTACCCACCCTTTTTGGAGTCCCTGGGACGAGTGCTAGATAGTGCTCCATCAGGGGACTCCATTGTCCTGCTGGGGGACTTCAATGCTCACGTGGGCAATGACAGCTTGACCTGGAGGGGTGTGATTGGGAGGAACGGCCCACCTAATCTGAACTCGAGCGGTGTTTTGTTATTGGACTTCTGTGCAAGCCGCAGTTTGGCCATAACGAACACCATGTTCGAACATAAGGATGCCCACCGGTACACTTGGTACCAGGGCAGCCTAGGTCACAGGTCGATGATAGATTTTGTAGTCGTATCATCTGACCTGCGGCCGTATGTTTTGGACACCCGAGTGAAGAGAGGGGCGGAGCTGTCAACTGATCACCACCTGGTGGTGAGTTGGATCAGATGGCAAGGGAACATGCCGCGTAGACCTGGCAGACCCAAACGCATAGTGAGGGTCTGCTGGGAACGCCTGGCAGAAGAACCTGTCAAGACGGTCTTCAACTCCCACCTCCGGCAGAGCTTTGACCACGTCCCGAGAGCAGTGGGGGACATTGAGTCCGAGTGGGCCTTGTTCCACTCTGCGATTGTCGAGGCGGCTGTTGCTAGCTGTGGCCGTAAGGTGGCCGGTGCCAGTCGTGGTGGCAACCCCCGTACCCGCTGGTGGACACCAGAGGTTCGGGGAGCCGTCAGGCTGAAGAAGGAGGCCTACAGGGCGTGGCTGGTCTGTGGGTCTCCGGAGGCAGCAGACAGGTACCGGACAGCCAAGCGGGGTGCAGCAGTGGCAGTTGCCGAGGCAAAATCTCGGGCGTGGGAGGAGTTTGGTGAGGCCATGGAGAAAGACTATCGATCGGCTCCAAAGAGGTTCTGGCAAACTGTCCGGCGCCTCAGGAGAGGAAGGCAGCAACTCGCTCACACTGTTTACAGTGGGGATGGGGAGCTGCTGACGTCAACTGAGGCTATAGTCGGACGGTGGAAGGAATACTTTGAGGAGCTCCTCAATCCCACCAATGCGCATTCCGAGGAGGAACCAGAGCTGGGAGGCCTGGGGATGGACTGTCCGATCTCGGGGGCAGAAGTTGCTGAGGTAGTCAAACAACTACACAGCGGCGGAGCCCCGGGGGCGGATGAGGTTCGTCCTGGGTATCTCAAGGCTATGGATGTTGTAGGGCTGTCATGGTTGACACGTCTCTACAACATTGCGTGGTCATCGGGGGCAGTTCCTAGGGAGTGGCAGACCGGGGTGGTGGTCCCCATCTTTAAGAAGGGTGACCTGAGGGTGTGTTCCAACTATAGGGGGATCACACTCCTCAGCCTCCCTGGAAAGGTCTACGCCAAGGTACTGGAGAGGAGGGTCCGATCGATAGTTGAATCTCAGATAGAGGAGGAGCAATGTGGTTTTCGTTCTGGCCGTGGAACTGTGGACCAGCTCTATACCCTTGCAAGGGTGATGGAGGGGGCATGGGAGTTTGCCCAACCAATCCACATGTGTTTTGTGGATTTGGAGAAGGCTTATGACCGTGTCCCCAGGGGCACCCTGTGGGGGACACTCCAGGAGTATGGGGTGGGTGGCTTTCTGTTAAGGGCCATTCAGTCCCTTTACCAGAGGAGCGTGAGTTTGGTCCGCATAGCCGGTAGTAAGTCGGACCTGTTCCCAGTGAGGGTTGGACTCCGCCAGGGCTGCTCTTTGTCACCGGTTCTGTTCATCACTTTTATGGACAGAATTTCTAGACGCAGCCGTGGTGTGGAGTGTGTCGAGTTTGGTGGCAGGAGAATCTCTTCTCTGCTTTTTGCGGATGATGTGGTCCTCCTAGCTTCATCCAGCTCTGACCTTCAGCTCTTGCTGGGTAGGTTCGCGGCCGAATGTGAAGCGGCTGGGATGAGGATCAGCACCTCCAAATCTGAGACCATGGTTCTCGACCGGAAAAGGGTGGCTTGCCACCTCCGGGTCGGGGGAGAGGTCCTACCTCAAGTGGAGGAGTTTAAGTATCTCGGGGTCTTGTTCACGAGTGAGGGTAGGAGGGATCGGGAGATCGACAGGCGGATTGGTTCGGCGTCTGCAGTGATGCGGACGCTGAGCCGATCTGTCGTGGGGAAGAGGGAGCTGAGCCAGAAAGCCAGGCTCTCGATTTACCGGTCGATCTACGTCCCAATCCTCACCTATGGTCATGAGCTTTGGGTAATGACCGAAAGAACGAGATCGCGGATACAAGCGGCCGAAATGAGTTTCCTCCGTAGGGTGGCCGGGCTCAGCCTTAGAGATAGGGTGAGGAGCTCGGACATTCGGGAGGGACTCGGAGTAGAACCGCTGCTCCTCCGGATCGAAAGGAGCCAGTTGAGGTGGTTTGGGCATCTGGTCAGGATGCCTCCTGGACGCCTCCCCGGGGAGGTGTTTCGGGCATGTCCTGCCGGCAGAAGGCCCCCGGGTCGACCCAGGACACGTTGGAGAGGTTACATCTCCAATCTGGTCCGGGAACGCCTTGGGGTCCTGCCGGAGGAGCTGGTGGACAAGGCCGGGGAGAGGACGGCCTGGAGCTCCCTAGTTGGGATGCTGCCCCCGCGACCCGGACCCGGATAAGCGGAGGAAGACGAGACGAGACGAGACGAGACTTTACCACTTTTGATGTGTGTTTGGGGTCATTGTCCTGTTGGAACACCCAACTGCGCCCAAGACCCAACCTTCGTGCTGATGATTTGAGGTTATGTTGAAGAATGTGAAGGTAATCCTCCTTCTTCATTATCCCATTTACTCTCTGTAAAGCACCAGTTCCATTGGCAGCAAAACAGCCCCACAGCATAATATTCCACCACCATGCTTGACTGTAGGCATGGTGTTCTTGGGGTTAAAGGCCTCACCTTTTCTCCTCCAAACATATTGCTGGGCATTGTGGCCAAAAAGCTCGATTTATGTTTCGTCTGACCACAGAACTTTCCTCCAGAAGGTCTTATCTTTGTCCATGTGATCAGCAGCAACCTTCAGTCGAGCCTTAAGGTGCCGCTTTTGGAGCAAGGGCTTCCTTCTTGCACGGCAGCCTCTCAGTCCATGGAGATGCAAAACACGTTTGACTGTGGACAATGACACCTGTGTTCCAGCAGCTTCTAATTCTTGGCAGATCTGCTTTTTGGTGATTCTTGGTTCCCTCTTTACCCTCCTGACCAATTTTCTCTCAGCAGCAGGTGATAGCTTGCGTTTTCTTCCTGATCTTGGCAGTGATGAAACAGTGCCATGCACCTTATACTTACAAACAATTGTTTGCACTGTTGCTCTTGGGACCTGCAGCTGCTTTGAAATGGCCCCAAGTGACTTTCCTGACTTGTTCAAGTCAATAATTCGCTTTTTCAGATCCATGCTGAGCTCCTTTGACTTTCCCATTGTAGCGTTTGTGGGCGTTTGTATCCAATGAGCCCTATTTACCTGGCCTAAGAGAAGTCACCAGCTGTAGTCACTCATAATCACTCACAAGAAGTTAAGAGGCCATGCTACGAAGCTCAGTTCACTGACACGTTTCTAAGTCACCAAAATTGCTAGTTCATGTTGCTGTATGTATATTTGTGACCCAGCAAATGTGATCACTTTTCTCTGTTAACCCATAATAAAGACATTAAAGAACCAAACTTCATGAATGTTTTTGTGACAAAGAAGTATCTGTTCCAATCACTCTATCAGAGAAAAATCAGAGTTTTAGAAATAACGGGACACTCAGTAGAGCCATTATATTATATTTTTTACAAGTTTATGTAAACTTCTGACCACAACTGTATTTGGTTTGGTTCTTATGTTGATGATTTGAATGAGTTTCTCACCAGTCCACTAACGCCTTTTGTCCCTTTTGCACACAGCTAAACCATTCCCCAAGGCCTCATCCCCCAGTCACTGTGCATCAGGAAGCTTTTCCAAGAGCACTCTGTCTTCCAGTGGTTATGACTACAGCCAAGATGCCGAGGCAGCCCACATGGCAGCAACAGCAATTCTCAACCTGTCCACTCGTTGCTGGGAGAGACCGGAGACTCTCAGCAACAAGCCGGTGGTGCCCTGCTCCAAGGTACGCGGATACGTGTACTCATATACGAACTTTAGAACTTTAGTCACAGAATGACTGTCTAAACCCCACAGGAGTCGGATATCGAGGTGGATGAGAATGGCACTTTGGACCTCAGCATGAAGAAGACTAAGAGAGAGGATGTACAGTCTCCAGAGCCTTCGCCCTCTTCATCTTCTTCCTCTCAACATGCCGGACCCACTTTGTCTCAGGGACACACTCAGGCAGATTGGGAGTGTCCACAAGATTTTACCAAATCAACTGAAGTCAACGATCATGAAGTCAAGGATGATGAAGAGGTACTGAAAAGACCTGCAGCTGTGTTTTTCATCTCAGTAAGCCGATACTAAGTGAAACTGTGCTGCTCCTGGTCTGTTTTTAAATGTTAAGGCTCCTACACACTAGCGTCGGCTCCACCCCGCTGGGACTGGGTTTGGAGTGCTCTCATTTAGGTAGCCTTAGAGTTTCCTGTGCCCAACCGGTCGTTCTTTCAGCCCTCTTCCCAAGGTGGTCTGATTCCGGCTGAACCGGTCCGACACACCCACTGCCCACTGATTGGCTTGCTCAAATTCCTACCTACCATTAGAGGGAACCCCTGATTGGTGGACAGAATCAGCCTGGGGCTTCCTGCATGCGTGGTTGATTTTTATGCTGGACACCAAGGAGGAGAGAAGCCTCTGACTGAAGCCGTCTGCACGACGAGTGCATGCCCACACGCTTCAGCTTCAGCTGTGCTGGGACAGAAACAGCAGTCTGGATGCAATATCAAATCACTTCACACTGTCACAAGTAAAGATGCCCCTGTCTGACTAAAAACCACAAAACTGAGCTAAATGTCTAGCAACACCAGGGCCGTTTCTAGCATTGTGGGGGCCCTCTGCAAGATGTTGTTCTGGGGCCCCCTTATTTTGACAAACTGCAACTGAATGATAGCCTACCTTAGATAATCTATAAACACCATAAATTGTCACAAATTACAAGCTAAAATGGTAGAGTAATAAAATTAAACACTCACTCTAGAAAGATAACTAACTAGAAAGCAGTCAGAGCGCAGACCTCCACCCTGGGAGGGGTGTTCACATCACACATCCCATAATAAAGGGGCTACATGTAAACAAGTGCGACAACAATTGATTAAAGATTCCTGCACCAAGACAGTAATCAAGATCACGATTTTTCTGATGGTCTGAGATTTAATTATTTTAAGTATAACTGGTTTTATAGGGGGCTGTGCAGAGGTGCAGTGGTTAGAGCTGTTGCCTTGCAGCAAGAAGGTCCTGGGTTTGATTCCCGGCCTGGGATCTTTCTGCATGGAGTTTGCATGTTCTCCCTGTGCATGCATGGGTTCTCTCCGGGTTCTCCGGCTTCCTCCCACAGTCCAAAAACATGACTGTTGATTGGTCTGTCTAAATTGTCCTTAGGTGTGTGTGTGTGCATGCGTGCATGTGTGTGTGCGTGTGTGTGTGTGTGTGTGTGTGTGTGTGCATGCTTGTTTGTCCTGTGTGTCTCTGTGTTGCCCTGCGATGGACTGGCTCTCTGTCCAGGGTGTACCCCGCCTGATATCCCATTGACCACTGGAGATAGGCACCAGCCCCCCCGCGACCCTGCATGGACAATCGGGTTCAGACGATAGATGGATGGATGGATGGATGGATGGATGGATGGTTTTATTGGGCTCGGTGTTTCCCCTACACAGGCTCAGGTATGGCACAGCGCCACGGCTATGCGATCATGCCCCCGGACCCCCCTAGAGTAGTTTAATACTCATCATCTGTTTCATGTCTGCTGTTTGGTGCTGGTGCACACCCTGTGGTGGAATAAGAACTGGACAGATATAGATCAGAGAAATTTCAACACCCACACTTCACGAAAGCTTGCTACGTCCCTGCACGCACGCATTCTCCTCCTCCTCCACCCCCTGCTCTCACGCGGCAGCGAAACAGTCCCGAGCGCGTGCTTTTTCATTGATTTCTTTACATGTACAACTTTCAGTGTCTGACTTTCAGGTGATATGGTCTTTTAATGTTCAGGTGCTTTTAGCGGCTGTGGCCGTCTGCAGAGCAGCTCTCGTCCTGCTGCAGACAAAACTTCTTGCACTCTGAGCACATCCAGGGAGTGTTTTCTTTTCACAGAGTGTACCTGTTTCACCCCTCACCTGCCCTCTGTGCTTTGTCCATTCTTTCTCCACTGGTCCAGAGGACAGGGATGTGACCTTGAGCGGAGGTCACTGGAGGGTTTTCATCCTCACTAAGCAGCTGTGCACACTGCTGCTCCTGAAATGGTTGATGCTTCATGGCCTCCATCTGATACTTGTTGCTGATTTGTTTGTGGAGCTGGAGGTGAGAGGAAGCTGATAGCCAGGGGATCTTCTGGGGATAAATCTGGGTGTCGTGGGTGGGCGGTACCTGAGTCCAGAAGATGTGGAGCAAGCCCACGTGCTCGGAGATGCGCTCGTGACCTCATTGGTATCTTTGCGCCAGTTTTGTAGACCTCCCATATGCTCAGTCAGGTAATCAACCCGGCCAGGGTGGGGCAGGCTGGGCGGAGTGGAGTCGATGTTAGTGTGGAAGTGCTCTTATTTACTCAGGAGACACATTTCATGAGATTATGTCTCATTCTTTGTGTTTAGATGGAGTACATGCCTCCTTCTTACACATCATCAGAAGGTGACGAAGAGGATCAGGAGAACCCTGAGGATCGAAAATACCCCGGTGAAGTTACCACCAGCAGCTTTAAGGTCAAGTTTCAGCCAAAAGACAGCAAAAAGGACATTCTAGTGTAAGTATAACAAAATACGTTGTTTTTTTAGTACTGCCGTGTGATGAATGCCCTTTCTTTGTCCTTTTAGCATGAATATGGTAAAACTCAGAGTTTGGCGTTTGCGATGTGTTTCACTGTAGAGTCATTGTTGAAAAGCACGACAAACCAGCTAGAAATCTCCTAAGGAGACAAAAATGTTTGTAGATATTTTACGTTGAAGTTCTGTAATAAAAGCCAGGATCTCACTAGGATGGTACTGTTGGTGACCCGTTGTACTTGGATGTAACTGACTTTCATCATACCTGCTAGGGATGCACCGAAAAATTGGCCACAGAAATTATTTGGCCAAAAATGACTCGTCAATTTTTGGTTTTCAGCCACAAGACCTGAATCACCAAAACAACACGGCCGACGTCGGCAGTCAGGTGAACCGTCTTCGTTTCAGCCCGCTCTGCCCTTGTGGCTACTTGCTCTTTGCTTCATAAAAATAGTACATTCGTACTGATTTCAGAAGTCAAGCTTTTCCCTTTTAGTAGGGCAGCAGTTGCTCAGGAGGTTGAGCAGATTGTCTAGTAACCAGTAGGTTGCAGGTTCGATCCCGGCTCCGGACGGTGAATTCTACTGATGTGTCCTTGGGCAAGCCCCTTAACACACCTTACCTGCCGGTGGTTGGAGGGACTGGCGGCGCCTGTGGTCGGCAGCCTCGCCTCTGTCAGTGCGTCCCAGGGCAGCTCTGGCTACATCGTAGCTCATCACCATCAGTGTGTGAATGGATGAAAGATACACTAGCGTGAAGCGCTTTGGAGTCCTCTGACTCTGAAAGGCGCTACACATTTATCCTTTAATGCTGTTTTATTACGAATGTCGTTTTAATTCAGGACTAGTTTGTTTTGAGCGTAATGAGAAAGAAGTGAGCCGGCTCTCACGTGATTGGTTTAGACGAGTGTGGTGCACGCATTTAGTAAACAGAAATCCAACATCGCGGTGTACTCGAAGTCTGAAAAAGCAGCGATTCTGATTTTAAAATCTTAGAAACTTCTCAATTTGTGAACAAAAAATAACTTTTATGGAAATGTGGAGCTGCAACATGAGCAAAGTCCGTACTTTGTCCTTGCTGCTGCTATCCGAACCCATGTTGTCCGCGCGAGCACTGACAGTCGTAGACTTCAGCGCTGCAGCTCATGTTCTCCGTGAGAAGAGGAATGGACTTGTGTGGCAAAGCAGTAGTAGTCCTACACAGAAGAATTTAAAAGTTGTTTGACACTTGGTGTTTTTATTAGAGAATATATTTAATTTTACAGTATTTTCTTTCTCATAAGCCTGGGCATCTTTCATTTATTATTTTTATTTATTTTATTATTATTTAATGTAGATGAGTTTGGTCAAGTGAAACATTTTATTTTGAGTTTTAATTTATGTTGGTCATTCCAAAGGGTTCAAATTAAGGCAACTGGACTTCTTTGGTTTCTTGAAGGCGTTTTGCTCATCAGCTGAGGAGCTTTGTCCATTCCAACTGGAATATGGGAGAGTCAACATTAACACACCTGGGCTATTCAATTCCAGGCCTCAAAGGCCAGCATCCAGCACGTTTTAGTTGTTTCTCTGGTCCAACACACCTGACTCAGTGGTTGAATCACCTATGCAGCAGTTCATCAGGCCCTGTTGATCACCTGCTGATTAAAATCAGTGTGTTGAAGCCGAGTAAAACCAAAATGTGCTGGATACCGGCCCTGGAGGCCCTGTTAGGAGCTGTAGCTGTCCCGCCTCTCCGTCTGCTGCTGAGTCCTTGGCCTCTATTGAGAGGGAGTCGTTGAGTTGATTAGATGCAGGAAGGTGACCTAGACTGAAACTGCTTAGGAATGAAGATACTGGAAAGATTTTATCCAAGCCCCTCCCCTATTTAAAGTGTGTTTTTCACTCTCGACATAGATAGCTTCTTTTTTTTCTCTCCTTTCTCAAACCATCTATCTTCTCTGTCCAGAATGTGTACTTTGTCATCTTCAAAGGTGTGTTCCTTGTCCATCAGGTGTAGGTGGACTGCAGACTCTTGACCTGAAAAGGTGGCTCTCCTGTGCTGTGCAATGCTCTTGTGTACTTGCTGGCTGGTACCTATCTCCAGCGGGCAATGGGCAATCAGGCGGGGTACACCCTGGACAGACAGCCAGTCCATCGCAGAATACAGAATACAGAATATCAGCAGGGGGACAGATTGAGACAGAACGTCATATGCGTCTGTGACAGTGTGTATCCTGTCACTGTGACCCAATTGATCATGCGCCCTGGCTACTTGGACAAGGGAGTTCTCTGTTTGGGTGACTGGTTAGCATGCGTGACTTTCACCTGGGAGTCTCGGGATCTAATTCTGATTGGACCAGTTTTTACATCCACCACAGATCTCTCAGATGAACTCACAACATTGACGGCTTCAGCAACGCTGTGCCACTCCGTGGATTTTCTCTTATTTGTTTTGCAAAAGTACTTCCTTTCATTTCTCCACCTCACCCACAAGTACCTCAACTTCTGCTTCTGTGAAATTGCACTTCCTTGATCTGCCTTGATCTACGGTCGCCATCGTCATTGGTGGAGCGCTGCAACACCCGGCTTATGTATATGCATGAGATCCACAAGACACTTTGCATTGACCATTTATGGCAGAAAGTGGGCGTGTTGAGGGCGGGATGTGATCCAGAAACACCTGAGCACATTTCTAGATAGTCTTTGATTTATAAAGCGGAGTTTGCGTGCAGCTCTGCGTACTCCATGTTTCATAGATCACAAACCTACCTGGTGTAAGTACACTTTTTGCTGAGCTTAAGTACGGTTTTAGTAAGGATTCTACGCAATGTTTGATAATGAGACCCCTGGACAGTCCTCACTACATTAGACTGCATAAACGACGCTACTGAGCTTCTGTTTGGGTGTTTGGTCTTTTGGATGGACCAGTTTCTGTCTGAGGGTGTTGTTGGGTTTGAAGTTTACCAGGATGTTGTGTTAGGAGAAGATTCTTCTAAGTTTCTCTGAGACTCCCTCCATGTATGGGATGATGGTGCCATTGTGCCTGTTGTCCTTTTCTTTGCTGGTTACTGCTTTGGATGCATCCAACGCAGAGGCGGGGTTCCCAGAGTAGTTTCAGCTCATTAAATAACAACAGACAGCTACAGCTTATAAACTTGACTCTCCCATATTCCAGTTAGAATTAACAAAGCTCCTCGGATGAGAAGAAAAACATCTTCAAGAAACCAAAGAAGTCCAGTTGTCTTCATTTGAACCCTTTGAACCATGACCTGGATGACTGAGAACCTTCCCCGGCATATATTGTGTATTATTGCTATGTCAGCGCTAAAATAAATATTTTCATGGTTTTGTGATGGAGTTGTTGCAATGCCTTGATTTCAGTGGTTTTAATTATTGACTATTTCTTTCAGTGTTTTGGTTTTCAGCCTTGGTTTCATCATTTTTGGTTTTTGGTTTCAGCCAAGAACTTTCATTTCGGTGCATCCCTATTAACTGCAGTTTGCCTGTGTGATCCTAAGATACTTGTGACATTTCTGAACATCTGCAATGTTGTGATCAGGTGTTTCTACCTCTTCAGTTGTGATTTTTCTTTTCTCTCTTAGACATCATTTGACCATGTTATTTTTTTAGTCCAAATGACATTCCAATGTCTCTGTCGTATATCCTAGTGAGTCAGTGCTTCATCACATCTGCCTCTGTTGCGCCAGGGCGCATACGACAGACCATTACCGCAACATTACTACCAAGCGAGGCGGAACGAATGCCGCAAAATTCGTGCAACGCCACGCCGGCATTTATAGACATACCATTGTGGTAATATTACGCCAATTTGCCGGCATGGTGTGTCTTGTAAAAAGGGCTATTGATGTATGTCACACCTGATGCTAACCTGTGCTAGTGGCTTTGAAATTTCCTCCAGGATATTCTTTCACATTCTCATTGATGAAAGCTCTTGGTGTGCTGTTGGCATTGTTGAAATCCACGCCCTGGGGTATGGAGTGAGTTTAGGTTAGGGTATCTCAGTGGTCTGACAGCTGGTACAAGACTTCTCTGGGGTTTCTTCCACCTTCCTTTTGTGCCTTCCTCATCTATTGATCTATATTCTATACATCCTAGTTGATATGATGCCTGACAGATGTGTCCATATTGTGCAGAGACATGCACGTCGTGAGTAGTTAGATGATACTGGGTCATCCATTCTCAGTGGGTCCTGGTTTCATCTGTACTGCCAGGTATTCATGGAGAGCAGTCAGTTGGTGTGGATCATATCAGGATCTGGTGCAGTCCTCGTTCTTGGACGTCTTGAACTGTGACTTGTCCTGGTTTTAGTTTTGGGAGATTTCTGTGATTGAATCTTAGATCTTCCTGCCATGGCACATTGGTGTGGTGGGATATCTCCTTCTCCAGGTGCTCTTCAAGAATTGTTCAGTCTCAGCTCCTGGTGGGTCTGTCCTCATGTTATCACTGAGAGGATACTTTGGATTGTGGAGAACATCTTGTTGATTCTCCTTGCCTCCACTTGTCCAGTTTATCTCTTAAAGCAGGCAGCCAGGGCTGTGAGACATGCTTTGATATTTTCAGCATTCTCAGGTAAGGACAAGTTGGGGATTTTTTGTCATGATCCAGCTCCAGCTATGCCTCATCTCTACAGCAACCACAGCCTTCTCCCAATCAGCCTCACTCATCACACCTGCTTCCATCTCATCAAGCTCATGTAACTCAGCTGCTTCTCCTGCTATATAAGATCCATCCTGTTTGCCAGGCAGGGCCAGATTATCGAATGCTCATATCAGTAATTATTCAGCCTTGTTTCCCAGACTTGTACCCACAGATCGCAACCCTGCCTCATCCATGGACCTCCTCCTGGTCTTATCCCTTTTGGATTTGTCTCTTGCCTTCGGAAATCATGGACTCCGACCTTGTATCTGCCCCCGATCTTGATCTTGGATTTCCCCTTCTGGACCTTCCTGCTCTCTTGGTAACGTTCCTGTGTGCCTCCTGAA